AGTTGGAGAGATGCGCGCGTAAGGGCAAATCCGAAAAACTATAAGTTTGGGCATTGAGCTCATATTTGGGCCCATGACCTGTCGATTCAAAGAAAACTGGGTCACGAGTAAAACTCATCACTTTGCCATGACGTATGGAATTTTCAGGCATCCAAGATCTTTTAACAACCCAAAATCCAGTTTTTGTGCTTTAATAATTTTTGGAAACGTTGTTATTTTCCCTATTTTAATTCCTCGTTTATTCCTAGGATTTGTAGGGTATTTAAACAACTTTAAATCCGTGGTTAGGGTTATGGTATATTATTTCCATATTCAATAAACTTGAGGTTTCCTCTTTTTCTACCTGGTGGATTCCATAGTTGGTATGTTCAAACTAAATTTTAGCCACTCAATTGTCACACAGCGTCACTAAATCTACAACATAGCTACAAATCACTGAGTAATTGCATCTTGTCCACAGTCAACTCTCTCGCGCACACTGACTTTCTCACTCTCAAAATTCATAGTGATATTGGGAAGCTAGCTGAAAACCCAGTGCACTGACTAGAGCAAGTTGAATATATAGCAGCCACCTACTTCATTCAGAAATGTCACCGTCGAAAGTTATGGGCCCATGGGACGCCTAATGTTCGTCCCAGAACTATAACTGCTCAGAATCAGAAATAAAGCCCATCCACCATGTAACCCAACCTAACCTAAACCCTAAACCCAGATGGATTATGTCTTTCTGAGTCCTTCAATTCCTCTTTACAATCTTGATGTCCACAATGCGATTGACATATATATATATATATATATATATGCACATACAGAAATTATCCTATGCTGATATTTGGATGTTGTGTGGACGTTGTATATGTTGTACTACCCCTCCATGCTTTCCTATTTGTTTACTATGGTGTCCACAAGAGTAATATATATGTGTTTGTAATCAGCGGAGGCACAGTTGCTCGGTTTCGGTTTTGTTATTCATTTATCCTCTGTTTTCTTGGATTTATATGTTAATGTGTTCCTTACTGCCTCACTGACAGTTGGTCGAGCACACTGCCATGGCTAATATTTAAGCAGGAATAAAAGGGTGGTTAAGTGGGTTTAGTTGAAGTAAAACATGCAATTAATATTTGCAAAATTAAAGATGGGGACATGCTTTTAAGTAGTTTGAAATTAAAGATGCAAAATGGAAGAAACACACAAGGAGTGGGGGATAGAGAAACCGACAAACAGAGATTCCATATGTGCAGACTCTACAGAGAAACGTCTGGGTCATTAAAAAAAAAGGATAGATGGTAAATTCAAAATATTATATATATATATATGCTTGTAAATAATAAGAGGGTCCTTATCAGTTACCCTCCCCAGGCTCCAGTCCAGTACTTACCAGTATCAGTCCCTTTGTCTTTGACCATGCAATGCAATGCAACTCACTACTCACTCAAAGAAAGAAAGAAATTATTAAGACACAGAGAAGAGAGAGAGAGATTTTAATTCTTCCCTTTCCTTTGCCTCTCTCTCTCTCTCTCACTGTCTCATATAACATAACATACATACATGTCACAGTCTCACCACCTTCACCTTCAACTTCACTCATCTGCATAATATACAGAGCCCAGAGTCCACAGGGGGCACAGTGCCACAGTGCACTCTTTGATGCATAGATTCCTTTAATTCTGCCAACCAACCAGGAAAGCTTCCTTTGTTTTCTCCACACTAGTCCCCAGCCAGCCAGCTATATATATTCTTTCTTGGACCATATATATATATACATATACATGCATCCATCCATCTTACCTGATCTCTTTCTACTGTACCAAATTATTCAACCATCACCATCCATCTCTCTCTGTCTCTCTGAAATTCGAATCTTTTATGACGGAGGGCCTCGAAACCCTACAAAAACACAGCAAACAACATATGCACCATGCATGTATATGTATATTAAATTCTGCCATATATATTATTAACTCAATTATTCAATTCTACTGTAAAAACATTTTTTACAATGGTAACATCATTAGATGCACATGTCGCTTTTCAAGGCTCCTTGTCATTTGCATAGGCTCACTCTCTCTTGTAGGAGAATCGAAGTGAGGACGTGTATCAGACTTGGTGGCGATATGCACAAGGAATGCAGTAATGAACTTTACAAATTGCGGAAGCTAAAGTTTTGAAAGTGATATTTGGATTCGCTTCGGAATTCGGATACCTATAAACACTCGGAGATGAGATAAGGTCAGTCAGATTTGTCTTTTCTTCGCCATTTCAAAATTTTGGTGCTAAAATCACTCTCTGCAGAATTCAAAGTAACCACTTACATCACATATATATAAATATTTAAGCATGTGGTTTTTGTGTACATTTAAAAAATAATAATAAAATTTACTAGTTCTCTTGAAATTGAGAAATAATTACATGAAACATGAATAACATTATTTTGTTATTTCCGATTAATCACGATATGTCATGCGTGCTAACTTTTTCACGTGGCATTATGTGATTGACCAAAAATAGCAAAACAGTATTATCCCTATTTCATACAAGTTTTTCTACTTGCAATGGCCCCGGAAGAAAGTTGCCCCCCAACTTTTTATGGGAAAGTTTTCCTTTATAAGATGACTAAATGACATAAATAACACTGAACATTTCCAAACAAAATATTTTCAGTTCCTTTCAAAAGTTATTATGGATCTTCTCCAATAACGTGCTGCAATAGAAAGAACATAAACAAAATAGTGGTAGAAATCTGCATCAAGACGACAAGAACACATCACATCATGGGACAAAACTTATAATGTTTGGGCAAAAAACTAATGATGTTTGGTCTGGAGGTCAAACGATACAGCATGGTTTTCAACCTTTTGTACCAAGGATTCTCGGTGCTGATAATAATAAAGGTCGATTAGAACATGGACATAGGAGGAGGAGGAGGAGGAGGAGGAGTGTTGAAATTAAACTCGGTAATGTCGACCAACCATCATGCATTTTGGGACCCTCAAAGTTGTCATCTTTTGAAAGTGAAAAGGAAAAAGCAAGATATTCTCCCTGACTCAGAATTTTATTTGGACAGAATTTGTCCTGTATGCTTATAATCTCTTCCACTTCATGGTGGAAACTCCGGTTTGTGTTTCTGCCTCCAACAAATACCAAATCCTAATACATTTTTATATGATGATCCCGAATCTTCTAGAAAATTAGGAAATTAATCCCTTGACTTTTGGAAGTTGAAACCACATGAAATGATGAAATTGTATGACAAGAGAAACCCACGAACTACAGTAGCAAGCACATGAAAACTTTTTAAAAGCATATTATTATTATATTACAAGAATTTTAAAGAATTCTCAGAACCAAACTGTTTAGCGCTGACTTTTTTTATACCATCCATTGGGGGTTAGACTCATTCAATGTAAAATTCTACAACTATTTTTTTATATCAAAATTCTACAAAAATCTTCAAATTATTTATTACTAATCTTACAAATTAGATTGATTTTCTCTTGTATAAATCAGTTTACCAAATTAAACAAACACACCTCGAGTCCTCCGGCATAGGCATGGCCATGAACGTTTCTAGGCTATGGAAAGGTAAAGGTGGCCGCAATTTATTTATTTGGACAGCTTAAATTAAAATTTTGACTTTTGTTTAATTGATTTTTCCTTCACCATAGCTTTTGCGTTCAGCTACACGCCATTACTTTAGCAAAACCCACTCCATCCACTACTCACGCGTGCATTGAAGGAATTTGGAATATAGTTCGCTCATTCAAATTTTTTTTTATGTGATCTTTGACTTTCGATGGGAAAATTCATTAATTAATATAAAACGAATTAATAAAATTCCAACCAAGAATCTTAGAATAGCAAGCATTGTCAATATGTATTATTAATTAGGTACAAGAGGAAGAGGGATATATTTAAACTTTGATTTTGGGTGCGTGGAGAAATAGTGCTTTCCATGACAGATACAACAAAGCTTACATATTTCGGTGTATTGTAAATAAAGGATTAACCCTTATACCTAAGGCTAGACCTACCACTTGCATAAAATGACTCAACCACGTATTGGATTACTAATTAGCTCTTAATTTAATGGTAAGTTCAATTATCATATTGTCGGATTATTTTGGATCGGCAATCAAATCTAGCGAGGTATGAGTGAAATTTGCTCATTTTGATGAATGGGCTCTGTTCTGTAGTTCAATTTCATAGGTGCATAATGAATAGGACCTCAAATGCAGAAATAAATGCTTTTAACAACATTAACTACACGTTCCTTGTAAATAATGTAGCATTTTAAGTTGTTAACTATCAATCAACACTCTAAATCGTGCTTCCAGTTCATTGGTTCTATTGAATGAATGACATGATGGTCATGGTCCTGATTTTAGCGTAATGGCTTAGCTTGACAAATCAAATTATCGGATAAGAAAGAAAAACTACCATACATGCGTATGACAAACATTGACATCCATTAATATCTGTCCTCCAAGGAAACAAATTGCAGAGTTTGCGTAATAAATTCTTAGCGGAATTATTGGGAGTTTCTGATGATATGATTGATGACTACTTTGTTAAATAATAACGAATAATCTGGATATTAAAAAAAATATAGAAAATGTGAAGATAAATAAAATAAGAGATGATCATGGAACAAAAGAGAAGGAAACCTACACGTCGCAATCATTACCAAATATAATTCCTGCTACCTTGTTTCTACGCCGGCACTGTAGGGTCTCATCTATGCCACTCCCATGGCCTCTCTCCCAAACAATTCAACCAAAATTTAAAAATAAACAAAGGATTAGTTAAACAACAACCACCAAACTAATAACCCATTTGTAATCTGTCTATCAATTCACAGTCTCGGACTCAGTGTAGCTTTTTAGATCACAAATGGCTTCTAGTTTCCGGGATGGATAGAGAAAGAAAAAAAGCAAAACAAAAGAAAAGAAAAATAAAAAAAGTGGGGTAAGAAATTGAAGAGAAATGAATGTGATGGATGATCATGGGGAGCCATTTTCGGATCGATCGAAGTGGAGAAGTTGACCAGAGCATTTGGGGCAGTCTTCGAGCTGTTTTGGAACCATGAAATACATGAGACAGGCTTTACAGCCAGCCACTACCAACACATTATTATTATTATTATTATTGTTAATATTATTGTGCTCGTTATTGTTAATATTCTCTATCTGCTGCAGCTGATACCTCTGTCTGCACAAAGATGGCGACGACTCAGTCGAAGACTCTTCGCTATCATAGGAGCTGTTTTCGTCTTCTGAGTAGTATTCTCCACTGTATTCTGTTCTTGCTCTCGGATCTTCTTTTGCTTTCATCCCGTTCCTCCAGTTTATGTAGTAAATCTCCCCTGTCTGCAAATAATTAAACATTAATTAGAATTAAACCCATCATCATACAATTAATTAAACACCAGCACCTTAAACAAAAAATTTGGTCCTTGTACTTGTTGGCTTTGTAAGTTGAACAAGTAAATGTACTGGCTATTGAAAACGACTGTGTATCATAAAGCCCAGATTTTTATTTTTTTTTAAAGTTTCTCTCGTTTGACATAATGCAAAGTTTGCAAACCAAACAGAGTTCTCCTTTATTGCAACCAGGAGAGGAAAATCTACCATGAGATGATCAAACACAGAAAAGAAAAAAGTTCGTCTCTTTTTACTGAAATGTACCAACAGGAATGTCAAAACCAGTGAAGCTTTTCTTTTTTGAGTAAAAAGTAAAAAACTTTGAAAAGAAAAGCTTCTTCCCTTTCTGAGGATTTTTGGTCTGGTATGGTACCCTATCTTCACTCTGAGATTTATAAAAGAAAGGGCTTTCCTTTTTTTTCTTAGCTTTCAACTAAAGAGAGCATGAAGCATTAAATACTGTAAGCAATTAATGAAATTACAGAGAGAATAAAGCATTAAATACAACAAGCCATGAGTGAAAGCTCCCCTGTACATTCAGAAAGTTGAGGAATTTATTGAAGAAGTTGCAAGATCTGCCATGTTTTTGCATTTATTCAAGCTTTAAAAAGGATAAAAAGACCAAACAAAAACATGGGTTTTGTTAGTTGAAGAAGGAGGGAAAAGAACCAACCTTTAAATCGAGGCATTGTTCCCAATGGTAAGGAAGAGAGACATGGGAGTTGAGCTCTAAAGTGGCGTCATTGCTGTAATTGGGAAGCAGTTGATTCTGGTGCGCAATATCATCTGAGGTTGATGAGGTTGAAGACGATGACCTTCCCTGCCGCGTAACGCTTGAGCCTTGCCCTTCAACGCCTGTGAAGATGCAGCTGCTGCTCTGTTGCTGTTGCTGGTGGTGATGATGGTGGTTCAAGGAGCAGTTTTGGAGAGACCTCTCCAGAGAAGCAGCAATCGTCGCCATGTTTGGAGCTGTCATTGACTCTCAACAACACAGAAAACCCCAGAATATGATTGCAAAAATCAGCTTCAACAATCAAAACAAAATCAGCCACAACAGAGAGACTCAGAGAGAGAGAGAGAGAGAGAGAGAGAGCGAGAGAGGATTTTGGAAGGGCAAATATAACAAGGGAAGGGACTTCAAAACTTTGGGTACAGTCACACAAACAGGTAGAGGCAGGCAGGGCGGGGTAGAATGATTGGAGCTCACGCCCTGTAACTGCGCGTGGGGATCTTTGAGCGCATACCGGGTGGGACCACTATGCACTTTGTCTCACATGATCGCTTCCCCTTGCTGAGGATCACAGGCGCCACGGAGGCGCGTGATAGTAAACAATGCTCCCCAAATACAGAGAAAGTTAGTAAAATAAAGCCGATGGAATAACCTTGGGAGGCTTCAAATTAAAAAGCTAAAAAAAGAGCCAGTAGATTCGCAATTACCGAAACTGAATGCCGGAACTTTCTTTAACAAACAATTAACAGTTTCTAACCAATGAGGGTTGGTTTAGTTAGTAAAGTTTCTACATTGTGTATAGCTTCATCAGTATTTGAGTTCAGTTGTCAGCAGTAAATCCTTCCAGCTAGAGAGTATGGATATGCGTTAGAGCTGATAGTGAGAGTCACCAATCTCCTCCGATACTTTTTATTTTTTCAAATGTTGGTAACTTGGTCGATTTTTCCAAAAAATAAAATAAAATAAAATAAAAATGAAGTTGGTGGGGTTTTGACATGGCGGGACGAGGGGCTTGGCAGACGTGTCTGACAACGCGCGGACTCTCCATAAATGCAAAATCCACACAAACAGAATTGAGATTAAAAAAATTATTGTGGGTGTGGCAATATTTTTATTTATTCATAAATATCAATAGTCTTCATATGAGGCCGTGAATCAAATTTGGCAGTTGAAACCCATGTAGAGTCCAATGATATATATCCTAGCTGTCCTAGAGCAATTTGGCCGGTTTGGCTAGACATGAAGTTTTATGAATTTAAAGTCAAACCACATCAATGTTAATTATCACTAAGCACTAGCTTGTTCATGAATTAACAAGGAAAAATCTTTTGATGGATCAAGTTTATGATCCTTTTTTCAACGTAATCACCTATGGACACACTGTTGTACCATGTGGTAATTAATCATGGAAATCATGGACAAGTTAAATATCGATCATGATTGGACCTCAAATATTAGTTGAGAATTTAAAGTCAAATTACCTCTAAATCACCAAATCTTATTCACACTTTTCAGTCTTGATCCTTTTAAACGTGCACCAATTAAGTGCTCCTTTGTTATAAACTTGCAGTTTAATTTATAATCCTAACACCTAAATCCTCTTTTTACTCAAAGTCAAACGTGTGTTGAATGTTTCATCATTCATAACTTATAATAAGGTTTTAAAAAAATCTACTTGCCTCGAGATTTTTTATTTTTTGTTAAAGTTAGAAAGGGAAGGATGAAAATTCACAAACAAGGATACCATGGAGACTTGAATCTAGGACTACTTAGAAATACACCAAAGACGCTAATCCAACTAATACCCTATTAGTATCACAATTGCATATTTAGTATTTACCGTTTAGCAACGCTAGCATGTTACATTAAATGATTAAACCAATGTGGCCTGAAAAGGGTCCATTATAATATTGGTTCCCTCCACCCCGAGCTAGATAGATAGCATGTTGATTTTAAAACATAAATTAATTCAGAATCAAATATCAACATTCACCATTAAAAGCTCTCGTTTGTGTACAGTACAGTTAGACTTTTGGAGCCCAAGATGGATTTTAATAAGAATAAGGTTTGAATTCTTTGAAGAAAGAGAGAATGTTTACAGCTGATTATTTTATTTCGAGTAGATAAACTATTACGAAATTAATAGTGGAGGCAAACAAAAGGACAGGATGAGAGGACAGAGCGAATGTATTGGGGGAGCTGCCTGTTTCTTTATGTATGCATGTATATACCATGTATGTATGGGAAGGTAGGTAGAAATATTAGTGGTGCAGAATATATAAATTAAGCAAAATGGGGTTTGTGTTAGTTGTTTTTTTGTGATGAAGTTCACGAGATGGTTGATGGCTGGGGGCCGTGGGGAATATTGGGAGGGAGCTAGCTAGGGTCTGAGCTTGCTCTGGTGGGAGGGAGCTTTGAGACCCAATATCACTCAGATTTTTCCTGTTTGTGGAATCTATTCTCCTACTTTTACCAGTCTTCCTCCTGACACCAACTCAGCAACTCAGAAACTCTCTCTCTCTCTCTCTGTCTCTCTCTCTCTGCATTAATATTCCCTCTGCTGCGATGACCAGCGGGGAGAGTCCTTGGGATGTTCCACTGCTTTTGTATTTGTATGCAAATTCGGAAATCCATCTCACGGATTTCATTGCAATCCCATTTTTCAAATTCTTGCTAACGAATTATCTAATTTAATTTCAAATTTCTCTGAGCAAGAAGAAGATGTCCCACTTTTCATGACCAAAGCTATGTCACTTTCCTTTTATTAAACAGAAGAAAAAATATCGTATACCCTAACAAACCAAACTCCAAGCTCAGAATTGGAAAGAAGCTAAGCAATATTGTTATTAAAGTATTATTTTCAAACACTTATCGGTACTGTGAGTCAATATTGCTATACTGCATGTGTACGTATGGTCAAACATGGCTGGTTTGTTGCTGTTCTTTCACAAATATTAGTGTAGTGACCCTGTATTTTTTTTATTTTTTTTGGGTTCAATTCAAAATATAGGTATTACCCCATGGGCCTTTGTTCAGCTTTAACTTAGTGCTATGGCAGGTCATGGACTCATGGCATCAGTCAAGATGTACAAGACACACACACACTCTCTCTCTCTCTCTGAAACATCACATTAGGGTTGAAATCTAGATTAGCAACATGGAAGGAAGATTATATATAAAAAGAATGAAATATTGGTATGTTTGAGCGAGATTTCCAATTCATTCCCTGCACATGTAGCGATGAGTTATGTGAGTTGAGGGGGCCAAGGGAAGGGAACATCCGCTAGTGGTCTAAGACGTGCTCCTCCCTCCCTCCCTCGCTCCTGCTGCTGGGTGGGTGCGCACGCAGTTTATTTATGTTGTCGATTGTGTTCATTGGAAGGGAAGCTCCATAAAGCTTCTTGCACGGCACCTACATTGCTCTTTTCTCTATAAATTAATATGCTTTTTTTACATCCATCTCACATTTGTGTTGTTGGATCATAATCATATGATGAGAGCAATGGGTAATTAGTACAGAAAAATAAGATAAGCCAAGAGATATTTAAGATGCTAACTTCTGTCGGTTGCCTAACTTTAGCACTTGAGCAATTGCATTAATGCCAAGGGAATTTGGTTTTATTTGCTCAAGAAGAAAGAAAGTAAAAAATAAATGTACCTGAAAAAAGAAAAAAGAAAAAAGGATGAACAGAGGTTTTTGAAGGCTTATTGGATGACCAATATCAATATGGCAATGAGTGTTAAGTAGTGGGACTCCTGGTGTGGATGGGATGGGATTGGTTAAGACATCCCATTTCACATGTCCTTGTTGCCTGCAAAATTTTCTCTGTGTTTGGTTGTTGTTGTGGTTTTCTTTGTGTTTGGTCCCTTCAATAGGGTACAATGCATGCAGTGGTTTAAAACAATCACTCGATGGAAATATATCATAGTTTACTACTCTTGAAAAATCAAAATAAAGAAATTAAAGTTAATTGACAATTACAAACAGTTAGATCTCTTAATTCATGCCATACTGTAATCTAACAATCAGCTATCGTAATTTCAGAAATTGGATCATTAGCATCCTACATTCTAGACAGGTTTATTTATGTCCATGCCCTTGCTCCTTTTCTTTGCTAAAAAAAAGAAGAAGAAGAAGAAGAAGAAAAATAAGGGGTAATGCACAACAAGGTCATTCAATTATTTCAGGATCTTGTCCATTACAGTGCGTTTGGATGAAGAAATTTAAAAATACAAAGGAATTCATAAATGATGGAATTTAAAATGACGGAAATCAATGTTCTAGAATTTGTAACTTTTTTATTTGGGTAATAAATTTCTTGTTGTTAAGAAATTCTATGATTGCATTCATAATTCAGCCAAGAAATTCATTAGCCACAAAGGGCCAATACAAACTAGTCACAAAAGGGTCATTACAATAATGAAGCATTCTAACATAAAAATTAAGACAATTTGGTGTGCCTCCACTCACGATCACGCAGGATCGAAGAAACTCTGACATAGACATCTCGACTAAGATTGCAAACTTAGAATAATAAAAAAAAGATAAATCTTGAAAAAACCAAGCCATAACAATACAAATAAAACTTTCACAAATGAGAGAATAAAAGCTCTCACAAAGGAGAGCTGAAAAACTTTCACAAAAGGAGATGTGAAAACTACACAGAGAACCCAAAAAGTCTCTGTAACTTATTCCAAACATAAAAAAAAATCACTAAAAAGATGGTGGTGCAGATCCGACTCCGAAATGCAAGTGAATATCCGACGCTAAGACGCGGCTGCCTATAATAGTTGGGTGAAAATCATAACAAAACTAAGGGGGGGGGGAGCAAAGGCTTCCTCCCCCCTCAAAGTGAAAAATGCTCTAGGAGTGTTTTTTTTTTGGGAGAAAGGGGGCTACGGTTTTGGAGAATAAATTATGAATCATCAATATTTGATTATGTTTGGGTAACAAATTTAAATACATAATTTAACCTTTATTTGTAAAGTTATCTTTTTTTAAAACTCAATCTCTCTTGGAATTTTAAAAAAGAAGACTTTTAGATGAAATTTAAAATTAGGATTTATGACCTCCAAATTCCATGTTTTTTTTCTCATGTAGAATTTCTAAATTTCTATGTTTTTTAAAAAATCCAAACACGGGAATTGGGTCATGTCAATTTAAAAATTCCGACTTTTGTCAAAATCCCAAGTTTATTTCCCTCATCTAAACGCATCGAGGGTATTCTTATGTGTTACAAGCTGAAACCTCTGTTTTTAAACAAGCGTTAATTTGAGCATCAAGATTGAAAAATTTGCAGGTGAAAATAGAGGGAGACTCTAAGACATTTATACAAATTGTCACAAGAAAAACTGATACACCTTGGAAATTAAGATCCATTGTAGAAGATATTTGAAGACTGCTTGCAAATTTTAGCTACTAATAAGAAAGCTAATATGATTACTAATCAATTAGTTAAGAATGGGCATGAGTATAATAACTCTTGTATTTGGTTTAATAATTTTCCTATGGATGTAGTTATTATGTTTTACTTTAATATGTATTGAACTAAGTTTCCCCTTCCCAAAGGGGATCTCATTTGTAATGTCTTTCTGTTTTCAGGAAGAAAAAAAAAGGCCTTTTGATTGTATTGAGTTTACACATGGCCACTCTCATAAAAGTCCAGTCCGGGGTTGAAGGGGTTGAAAAACTGGAACCCCAAGTGATAAAACACCAACATTGAAAATTGAAATTGAAGCAAGGCTTTTTGGGTTTGGGCCTGCCTTTCCAACAACAACAACAACAACAACAACAAAACAAAACAAAAAATTATATAAAAATTTAATACGCGTAGCAGTAAATAGCACGCGAGAGGAACTTCGATGGAAGGTAAGAGGTGACGGAGGACCCAAATTGATTCAATCAAAGTAAAGAACTTGGAACTTTCGTGGTTTCTAGAAAGAAAGATATAAAAGTCAATAATCCCATAGACCCCAAAGGGCATTATAGTCATTATAAAAAACGAACAATTTCCATCTGTGCTCAAAGACCCCTTCTTGCTTCTTCTCTTGTGAAATCAGCCAATTTCTGTTTCAATTTGATTCACCAGACCCCTCACAACACAAATATCACAAGATTTGATCGATCACCGCTCACAAACAAAACAGAGAGAGATGTCGAAGGTGGACGAGCCGGTGATGGGCGTTCCGTTCTACGTCGTACAGAATCCTTACCAAGCAGGCGCGATCCCCCCAAACGCCGTCTATGGCGACCCAAAGGGCATTCCTATCCACCAAACCATTTACAGAGACACTCCCGCTCCCTTCAACTGCGTTTACTGTGGTAATTCCGGACTTACCCACGTCAGGTAAATTCCGGGATTTCTTTTGGCGCGGGAGATTTTGGCGTTTGTTCATGTTATTGTTGATGGTTGAAATTGGTTTTGATCATTGATGGTCCTTGATGTTTGAATCCCAGATCAAAGCCAAGCCTGGCAGCTGTTGTGGCTTGCATGATGCCTATGTTTCTTGGATGCTGCTTTCTTTTGCCTTCATGCGACTGTCTCTGGCATAAATATCATCATTGCCCAAGTTGCCAAGAGAAGGTAAACTAACCACTCTCTCGATTCAGAGCCTATCTTACTCTGTATACTTTGATCACTTTGATTTTTGGTTAGAAATTCATCATGGGTTTTGTTTGTTTAATAGGTTGGTGATTTTGAGAAGTCAGATCCTTGTATTGTTGCGGATCCTCCACACTGGACAGAACACAGCTTTGCACTGCCTGCATGATCTTCACTTCGTGTATGCGGCTTCTTCTCTGCTTCTGTCTTTGAACCCCATATTTACATATTTTGTGATACATGTATTCTTAAGATGCTGTATAAATCTACTACTTCCCCTTTTGCTGCGTAATAAAACAGATTGATAGTAATTTTTAATATGTGCAACCTTTTCATCAAATGCTTTTGTCAATTTCAACGTGCATGCGATTTTATTTGCAATTTCAAATTCTTGCGCCTGAGATGTTGTTACATCAGGAGGAGCCATATTAGGTTGATCAATAAGGTACCAAAATTTAGTCATTAAGTTCCTAATCAAAGGCTTGGAAACCCTTTTCCAGTGTGGTGCTTCTTTACTGCAAAACCAGGCCTCTGAGGTCTAGTTCACAGCAGTGTCATGTAGCTCTTGTTCAACCGTGACACCGCTCATGTTTTGAACTCCATCTAAACTTGCTCGAACCGTGTCTCCAGATTGGTAGTGGTTTGATCAGGAATAACAGGGTTGTTTGAAATTGGCTTCCATAGAAAAGCAATGTTGTTGGGGTAAAGATTACAGATATCAAGCAAATCCAGTGACTCTCATTTTTGAGCAAGACAATGCTTCTTAGAACTTGCTTTGCACATGCCAACTTTCTTTAGGAACTTGAGACCGCTATCGGTGAATTTCGCATCTGGTGTATATGAACTTCTCCATTGTTTTTGTAAATTGCAAATCCCCTGACGAAGGGATTTGCGCTCTTGCAGTTTTAGGTGCGTAAAATGACCAAACCAAATGTGTGTGTATATGAACGCTATGGCTCTATCTATCTCAAATCTCGAATTGATTATGTCAGGTGAGAAAACAGAACCAAAATAAATAAATAAATGATGTGAAGGTTGTCAGGACGCAATTACTAAAACAAATTGGGAATTCTTTATAAATCGTCACTAAACGGCGTAGTTTGATACTGAGATTTTTTATTTCTTACAAGAGTTGAAGTCAGAATAATTAGGAGAGGAGGTTTACACAAATATTCATTGGATGCCTGAGAGTTTTGAATCTCTGCCCACATAAGTAGAGGTAAAAGAACTTAACCATCTTAGCTATACCCCACATACGAAGTTGGAATACATTTTAAGTTAGAGAATTTGTGGTTGCGCTAATTGGGCCAAGTCGCATTATTTGCGCAACTGACGAATTATGTTTTCATGACAGGCGTAATTAGCCCCATGGACCCGACAAAAAAAAAACAGGGACAAATTGTGAATGCCTTTAGCAGGTGCTAGTAGAGCCTAGTATATATGGTCACATATTGTACATGACGATTGATTTAATGAGGGGGTCCTTAATAGCCGTTCAATTAAGTGCAGAGTCCTTATTGTACTGCTGGATTCACACCCTCATTTTAATCCCTCAACGTAGCCCCTCATTATAAAAACTTCTCATATTGTAGGCTTCCTACCTGAGCTCGCCCCCTTGCAGTGAGAGTGCAGTAATCTTTCAGACTAAGTGTTTCAGTCCATCAGAAACAACCACATGACTATCTTGACTTGGATTAACAGTATGACCATTTGGAACTTGACTGAATAACACAAATAACAGAACAATGATCAGAATCATCAGTTCCCGCTACATTAGTCTTCAATAAATCAACCGCCCACCAAACAACCACTTTCGTCACAGTTAAATAAATTTGGTTTCAGATTCGCATTGTCAGCAAAAACAATAATAAATGAAATGAAACACGTACCTCATCTATGAGTTCCTCAAGAAGCTCGTACATCCTGGTGGAAATCTGTTGTCCCCATGGAAGAAGAGGTCCGGCATGAGATAAAAGAACCTGTCTCGGTAGCCAAGGAGACTGCCTGTAGACCACACAAGGATTCTAAACCAAGCTTAGCTATAGCGCCACATTATATTTTGAGAGAGAGAGAGCCCTTGGGAGGCTGCAGGCAAGTCATCCTTGGCTACAAAACAAGGCTCTTTATCCTCATGTAGGACCTTTCTTCCCTCATCGTTATCATATATAATAGAAGATACATAAAGATATATAAAGATATATATATCACCCCACTGGGTTTGGCTTGTCCAATGCAATGCTTCAGAGCCTGTATTTATAGCCAATGAGCGACGTGCAGTAGATTCATCTCATCACTACGTAAAAGTGCAAAAATATTAATTAGTATTCTCTTACATATATCCATTCTGCATGATCCCATCATCAAAGTTATTGTCGTGGAATATATTCTCGGGTGGGTTCTAAATTTCATGGCCCAACGTAGGCCGCCCATATTCAAGGATGGGTCTAGATATGTTGTTGATAATGCAGATAGATAGCTTTTTTTAAAATCTTTTTTCTCTGCCTTCTAAAAATGCCCCATCAGTTCTTTCATCCATTATCTCCAAAATAGAAAAAGCAAGGCTCACATGTCACTCTGCCATTGCTCAGACTACCCTCTTTGCCTCTTGGCTATTTCCAAAGGGTCATGGGAAATTGATTTCATGTCATTTTGTGCCCTACATATTTTATGCTTGCATTTGCATATACCTTTTTTTTTCCGTCCTTTTTCATGGTTTAGGGTTTTGACCTTACTTTCAAGGGTTGGAGATCCACTTGGGAGGAACAAAATCTCTTAAGGAAATATATTTAGCTTTCTTCGTTTGTCAAGTTGATCAATTTCAAACATGAAATGAATTTCTTCCACGCATTTTCTTCCTCACTGTGTGTATATTATTCCAATTCCGACAATTAGTGTCAACCAAAGCCACATGTCGACCCATGACAAATCAACTAGTCTATATCTTTGAGCCAAAGCAAAACCATGAAAAGCACATATCAAATCGATCAGCTTTTTCGACCCCAAAAGAAAAAAAACGATCAGCTTTTTGGGGTTGCATCCGAGGGACATGTGTCGTGTTGTGATTGGTACTATGATATGAGAAGCTCTTTTGACTTGTGTATGTGTCACGCTCATGTGATATGAATCATTTTAGTTCTTGGGGATTTCAACGCTTAAAAGCTAAACACTAGCTAAAAAAAATATATACCAAGCTTCCTTTATAAAGAAAGAACCCAAAACGCCATTAATTTATGTACTCCTCTGAATTTTTGTTAGTCTCTTTTCATCTTTGTCCTCGTGCACATGGAATAATAAGAAAACTAAAGTGCGGCTCCGTTTGGTTCACGGAATGAATTTGAGGGGAAATTATTTTCTATATCATTTATCAAAGGATAAGAAATGGAAGATTTCTTTCCCACGTTTGGTAATGCTGAGAAAATAACCGGGAGATATCATTTTATTTCATTTCCACTACAAGAAAACATGGATTCGACAACAAAATATTACTAAAATCTCCTTGCCTATAACAACAATAGGTAACAACTTTTGAAAGTCCTTGCGTAGTCTGACATCTGTGAATGCGGGAAACCTAGATCCTCGCTTATTAATTTCATTTTGTTGCCAATTTCATGGAGGGGGAAATTTGCCGCCAAAATGAAAATGTAATAGGCAACAACTACATGTGTGCTTGCATATAGCTATGAGCAATAATTGTTTATCATTGCTTAAATTATAAGGAGAGGACATGGAGAGAAAGGGCAATAACGTGTCACATACATAAGGCAAGGAATTGGTTTCCTTTTGTTTTAATAAAACCAAGGAATCTAATTAAAATAAGTAACAATTGGTATTGTTGCCTATTCATTTTACACACAAAACCTAAAAAGAACAAAAAAAAAGAAGATATTTTCAAGGCACTCAACTCTATCTCAAAATTCTATAATCTCCTTTTTGACTCAAACCTTCTATGCTTATCCCAGCTCCTCCTTCATCTCCTTTCTAACCCCATTTAACCCTCTTACTTTCTCTCAATCATAGAGAAAAACCAAAGGCCACCCCACCCACACAGGTTAGCTGGAAGATATGGTCTTGATTTCTCAGTTTTTTGTTTAATTTTTAATTTTTAATTTCTTTCTAATCCCAACTTCTCATCCTCTCTTGTAGCACGAAGAGACACAAAATACCCACTCATTCTCTGTTTTTCCAGCACCATGACCATCACCTAGAATTGGTAATCCCAACCACACCATTAAATCGTTGTCTCTCTCATTTTGGGTAAAAAAGCTTTCTTTTCTCTCTATTTTTTTTTACGGTTTCATTTACCCCTTTTTTTTTGTCTTTGTTTCTTTATAGGTCATTCAAAATTTTTTGTTGGATAAGGTATTTAATTTGCAAATTTCCCTACTTTGTTTTTCAGAGTTTCATTTCCTTGTTTTTTTTTGGTCTCTTCTTCTTTGCAGGTTCTTCAAAGAATTTGTTGGATAAGGTATATTTGTCACTGCACTAATATGTGGTTAACTTATTTACAAATATTGTGGGTATGCACGTTGTTTATAAGGCTTTACTAAATAATTTGTCCGCATAACTTGTTCAGCTTTTGTTTTTGTTTTAATATAACTAATTAGTTGATTTTGATAAACTTTTATCATTAATATGATTGAGAAGCCTTGTTCTTTTTATACGTTTATGTCTTTCTAGAAGCATTGGTCTGCTAAAACATATAATTTGTTTGGTTTCACTATAAATTCTTCATTTATTGAAGTTGGGCATTTGGTATTGTTCATTTGTTGTCTCTGGTTTAGGATTTTTCAAAAACCTTGATGTCATTGTTTGAATTTTGTGTTTATCAAAATCTAGAAACCACATGCTATCGTATGTGGTTGGAAGTTTTAAAACTGATGAGGCTTTATTAATTTGTTGGTTGCATATAACTTGTTCATTTCATTTTGGTTAAAAAGAAATTTTTTGAGATATTATATCATGGTTGTGTGTGTGTGTGTGTGTGTATTGTCTATTTAGAGAATGTCTTATTTTTTCTGAAATTGAAAGCATAATGTTAGAGTTGCTCACCACCGGCCATAAAAGAGAAGAACTCATTTGGTTTGAGGAGTCCAATATGGATAGACAGTGGATTCATAATCGCTATCGACGTACTGAGGAGTATTCAGATGGGGTTATGGAATGGTCGACCCCTCTCTCATTGGAATTGGCTTTGCGATTTGTTTAAGGATCCAGATTATCAGGTACACATTTGTATTTTTTTGTGTTTCATTGATTGGTTATATTATATAATGAATTATTATTGTCATTCATGTTTAATTTGGCAATGCAATATAATTTTTAAATGTAGGAAATTTATATGGCTAATGCAAACAATCGCAAACAACAAAAATATAGCCATAGAGGAGGTGCACAACCATTTGTACGACATGTGCAAGCAAAAGTGAAAGTATGTATTTGACTACAAGTTAAATTGTTAATTTAAATTCTGTTTAATACAATGAATTTATATGATGGAAGTTAAAAATTGAGTTGTTCTCTTGATGCCTACTCATTTGTTCTTTTAATTTACAAAGAATGGAAGGCCCCCATCTTTCATTGAGAATTGGGGGATCCACACCTAGACAGGAATCAACAATGGATCAGTGAGGCTGCCCAGGAGAAACATGTAAGCCAACAATGAGTAAATCTGATGTAATGATTGTTTTGTTACGTTATTTGGTGAAACATTAAAAAAGATAAAAAGATAACAGAAAATAAAAGAAAATAAAAAAAGAAAATAAAAAGAACCGTTTATTTATATGGTTCTCTTGGTTGGTGTTTTAGTTGGATAGGGTGTCTAGAGTAGATTGGGTGCCCTTTCTCTTGTCTTTTCTATTTGTTTTCCATGTATGACTTGCATAATCCAATTACATATTGCAAATGTTGACGCATGGAAAATATGAATACAATTTCAAGTTATTATAATTCATATTGAATCCTAGCTAATATTTATCAAATTTAATGTGGAAGTAACTTGGTTACTTTATGGCTTTACTTTCCAAGAAAAAATGAAGCAGAAATGAGATGACCTTAAGGCAAGGCTAGTTGATAAGGCTCCTGAGGGCACTCCATTTGATTCCATTGAGGTGCCATTGGAATCAGAGTTCCAGATCATGGCGGAGGACCTTGGCAGGAAGGGTAGGACCATTCGTGGCCTTGGTTCATTACCTCGGATGTAGAAATCCACATCTAGTTGTGCTTTTTGTTATGGGCCTTCTATGGATCAATGGACCGAGATGCAAACTCAGTTCAGCCAAATTGTGGTAGTGTTTTTGCTCTTCAAAAATAGAATGAAAAATTGAGGGCTGAATTGGAGGCTATCAAGGGATCTCATGGCCAAAGCAGTGGTGAATCATTGCAGCAGCAACACCAGATTCGCCGCCCATCAAGTGATGATGCATATGACCATTTATCACCTACAAACAGTGATGAATATAGAGCATGATGCTGCAAAGTCATCCGTATGAACAATTATAGGATATTTTGTTGAACCTGTAACCACTTGATAAAAAATATATTTTGTTGAACACTTAGAATTAATGTCTTATTTTGGTAAACACCCTTAGGTATTAGGTAGCAATAGATGGTGTTCAACTATTTTTATGACTACTTGTAAAAAGTTTTGAACACTTAGGCATGCAAACATTGCATATTTTGTATATTTTGAAGTGATGGAACAGGGTTCAAGACTTTATGAATATAAATATTGACTTTGGTGTGAAGTGCTTCATTCTTTATATATCAATTCATATTTTATATAACCAGAAAAAAAAATTAATTATTTAAAAACTTTAAAAAAAAATTAAATATATGGAATAGGCAACAATTTCAACTTGCAATAGGCAACGCCAAGTCCTTCCTATAATAATAAGCAACGAGTTATGTGTGGTTTCTTTCTGTGATATGCAACGACATGAAAGTTGTTGGAGACGCGAATAGGCAACAACATCACGGTCGTTCTCTAAGACAGACGCCAACGCGTAACTTTATCGTTGCATTAGTGCTTGAGCAACAACTCATGTATTTCATTGCATATTCCATTAGGACATGGGTATAATGCAACGATCGTCGCAACGACAATTTTTCGTTGCTTATATGTTCAAGCAACAAATTTTGACGTTTGGCAAAGACATCCAATTGTTGTGGAATGGGGGTTTTTTTTGTAGTGTTCCCATGTTTGTTTTGAGTAGGAATGGAAAACAAAGTTTGTATAAATTTTCAATTATACCCATATTAAATCAAATAAAAAAAGAATGCATTTAATGATATATTGTAATTCTAAATTGTTAAAAGGGACAAAATGGTCATGAAAAATGTTTATTTAATATTAGCTCATTTTCCTAAACTTTCCCATGAGGAGGGAAAACAAAACCCAAGTTGGGCTATATCCTCAACTTGGCCAAGATGACCCCCTAACCTCCAAATAGGAGAAACACTTGTGTGATTGCTATACCCATCAATTACGACATGCCACTTGTGATAACTTTTCCACGTGTCAACATGTGATTGACTGGTGAAAGCAAAACAGTACAAATCCCCATTTTACACAAGTTTTTATGTCCAAACAGAGCAAACAAAAAACATTAACTTAAGGAGAAATGTAACAAACACTACTAAAAAAAAGGACTAAAAGAGACTGAGGGCAATCAGTCCCTTTTACATTCTTTAGTGACTGAAAATAGTGCCTAATGTAGTCATTAAATTACCTTTCAAACAGATTCAATATGCCATCAACAACAGCAAGAACTTGTCCCATACGTTTTATTTCTACAACCAGTCAAACAAAAACCATGAGTCACTGAGCAAAACTCATTCGAATGAAAGATTTGTAAGACACATAACACAGCTGTAGCCCAAACCAGACAATGCGTTAGATTTAGAAACACAATACAATACCAAGAATTAAATTTAAAACTAGACCAAGAAATCTAGACACAACACAGTACCAAGAAAAAGACGAGAATTAAAAGAAAAAAATAATAGACAAAAGGGGTGCGTATAGATTTGAAGGAGAGAAAAAGAGAAGTTTCAAGAAAGTTGTTAAGAAAATATAAGAGAGAGAGAGAGAGAGAGAGAGAGAGAGAGAGAGAGACTAACGGAAGGAAAAGCGGAGAAAAAGGAGGAAATAGTAGCAATCTTGGGAAGTAAAACAAGTGTGGTTAAGAAAATAATAATTGAAGAGAGAGTAAGCATAGAGAGGTAGGAATCTTGGGATGAGAAAAATGAGGAAAGCCATTTTGGTATACGTATAATTTCACTTATTTGGTATAATGAGTCTTTTATTTATTTATTTTTAAAATTTTAATTAAATTTTTGTGTTGATTTATTTTCTAATATATATATGACCTGAAAGTATTATATATAATTTCTTTAATACTGAAGGCACGGATTTCCGAGTTTTTAAAAATATTAGTCATGGAAAATTATTGAATCAGTTCCTTTTATTATTTTATTTATTTAGAAAAGGCGATTTCATTGAGAATAAAACATAGAGTTACATATTATCCTTTACCAAAACATCATGCACAGCAACATGGGGGTCTTGAAACCACGATGATGTCTCTGGTAAGGTAAGAGCTATACGAGCTAAGCGATTAGTTTCCCTAAAAACAAAGTGAATAGAAGTATCCTCAAGCTAGAAAAGCAGAGATCTGCAATCTGAAATCAAGAAGCTGAGTTGGGATCTGTCCTCTCGCTCAGCTATGATGTTCTGAAACACGTCTTGTGCATCCCTTTCAATTAGTTTAGGCCCAGGATCAAGTCCCCTTGCGAATAGGAGGGCCTTACACAGAGCAAGAGCCTCAGCGTGTGCAGGCAAGGAGATATAACTAAACTTGCACGCCATAGCAGCCACAAAGCACCCCTCACCGTTTCAAACGATAAGTCCACCACCACCAGTGCTAATCTGCACATTGAAAGCTCCATCTACGTTGATCTTGATCGCTCCAAGCAGAGGTTTCTGCCATTTTGCCTGAGCTCGCGAGAGCATCGACATTGGAGAAGGTTGATGATCCTTAAACTCATGTAATAGACAAACAGCTCCATTAACTACTTCAAAGGAACTCTGACGCGTTGCCGTCCAGACCACCGAATTTCGCTCATTCCATAGACTCCATAGCAGCATGAAGAGGAGTTCAATCGTTGGCTGTCCTCACGTAGCAGGACATGTTCCAGCCATCCATTGAGGTCCCCTATTGCACGATCACGCCATTTTGTCCGCAGAGGACTGCTTAGACAAATTAAGGCCGTGAAAGAGCAATCCAATAGAACATGAGGTAAGGACTCCGCCTGAGCTCCACACAACACACAACCACCTAAATCGCCTTGGACCCCCTCACTGAGCAATCGGTCCCTGGTAGGGAGAATATTATGGAGTACCCTCCAAACAAAAACCTTTACCTTTGGTGGAACACATACCCACCAAAGCCGAGACCATGCCTTAGTTGAGACACCGTAGTAGTTGTCACGATTGGATGAGCCTTCCCCAGCCTCCTCAAAAAGGAACTGGCGGGCTACCTCATAGGCACTACACACAGTCAAATCACCCTGCTTTTCATAGTGCCACACCAGCCGATCAGCTGGGATTCTAAAACTGAGTGGGAGGTGAAGAATACAAGAGGCCTCTTGAGCACCAAACCAGGCATGGACCAGATCCTCATGCCACTTATGCAAGACCGGGTTAATAAGCTCACATACTAAAACATTTTCATGACCTGTCACAGTTGCTGAAGTTATCTGAAAAGAGTTGGGCTTTGGGATCCAACGATCACCCCACACTTTCACCGACCAACCATTCCCAATTTGCCAGCGGGAACGTCTAGCTAATACAACTCGTGAATCACACAGGCTCCTCCAGATATAAGATGGAGCATGACCCTCAGAAGCTTCCAAAATTGAATAGTCTTTGTGGTATCTTGCTTTCAACACTCTGGCCAGAGGGGAGTAGGGCTGAATTTCATCGCAAAGGGAACCGGGTATTTGAAAATAGCTCATCTGGTAAATGGGAACGGCTTGAGCCACCACCTTCAACAAAACTTCCTTGCCTGTGAAACTGAGTAGCTTCTCCCGCCAGCCTTGAACCTTTTTCCAAACACGTTCCTTAAGTGGGGCAAAATAAACATTACGAGATCTGCCAATAAAAGTTGGTATGCCCAGGTGTTTGTCATGCTTGTCCACTTCTTGCACCCCAAGTATTTGGGCCAAGGCCTGTTGCTGGACATTTCTACATTGCTACTGAAAGAGACGCAACTCTTCTGTAAGTTAATTCTTTGTCCAGAAGCCCACTCATAGGATTGAAAAATGTAGCTCAGATGCTGGCACTCCTCCGGCGTTGCCCTTGTAAATAAAAAACTGTCACCTGCAAAAAGTAAGTGGGATATTGATGGAGCTCGTCGACTAATCGCTATCCCATGGAGGAAGCCATGTTGCTCAGCCTGTACGATTAGACCAGAAAAAACCACCGCACATAGTAAAAACAAATAGGGAGACAACGGGTCCCCTTGGCGAAGACCTCGTTGTGGGGATATAAAGCCCACAGGGAAGCCATTAACAAGGAAATAGTAAGTTACAGTGGTAACACATGTCATTATAAGTTGAACTCATCGTGGAGCAAAACCCATGTTGTTCATAATGGTTTCAAGAAAACCCCACTCCACCCTATCATAGGCCTTACTCATATCCAATTTCAATGCCTGGAAGCCCAACTTACCGTGTGTACGGTTATGCATATGATGAAGCACCTCAAAAGCGACAATCGAGTTATCAAAGATCATACGGCCTGGGACAAAAGCACTTTGATGAACGCCAATCACATCATTCAAAATTAATTTTAAGTAGTTGGACAAAACCTTAGCGCCAATCTTGTAGATCACATTGCACAAACTGATAGGACGAAGTTGGGTCATGTTTGTTGGATCCTTCACTTTCGAAATAAGAGCAACATGCGTGAAATTGAGTTTAGGCAAGAGCCTACCAGTCCGTAGAAAATCCAATACTGCCACTGTCACCTCATAGTCCACAACTATCAATAGCTTTGGAGGGGTGCATTTGGAATAAGGCATGCTTAACTTCATCAGCTGTAAACTCACTCAACAAGGTCTGATTCATTTCCGGGGTCACTTTATTTGCCACTAACACACTCATAGGCTCAAAGGTGCTACTACCTATGAATTGGAATAAGGACTGAAAGTATTTAACCACAGTATTTGCCAGGCCGCTCTCAGACTCTTGCCAACGACCATCACTGTCATAAAGCCCAAGGATTGCATTCTTTCTATGTCGGGATAAAGCTTTCTGGTGAAAAAACTTTGAATTACTATCCCCAGTTTTAAGCCAAATTGCTCACGAGCATTGACGTCAGAAAAGCTCGTCTTTGACCAGAAGAAAGTCCAGGTGCGCCGTCAGCCGCCTGCGTTCTACCACCGTTTGTGCAGAGCATGGATGATCCAATAACACCCCTAACTGTGCTATAGTTTTCTGTATCTCAGCTTGGGTGTAGCCAAACCGCTCACAACTCCAAGAAAGAAGTTTTAACCGTGTGGACTTAATTTTTTCAAAAACAATCTCTGGTGCTCCTCTTCCAGTACCATTCAACCATCCTTCATTAATTGCATTAGCACAGTCATCATGTTGTGACCAAGCTTCTTCAAACCGGAATAAATGCTTCCTATGGGCCTATGGTGCACACCCAAGCCTAAAGACAAGCGAATAGGCAGATGGTCTGACTTCGAAGGGTTCAAATGAAACACCTTGGCCTAAGGGAACATCCTACACCACTCCCAGGTTGGCAGTCCACATTCCAGAAGCACTCTGATATCCTCGGGGCCATTACACCACCAAGTAAATTTGGGGCTCGTGTATCCAAGGTCTTTCAAACCACAACTATCAATAGCTTGTCTAAAGTTTTTCATTTGGCGTTCATTTTGTACTGCTCCTCCCAGTTTTTCATGGGCTGCCAATATCTCATTGAAATCACCTAAGCATACCCATGGGAGAGAACTAGCGATACTCAATCGGCCCAATAGCTCCCATGACTTGTATCTTTCAAAAGTTACTGGGTGACCATAAAAACCAGTCAACTGTCCAAGGGTTCCCGAGCCCTTGGTAGTTCCAGCTTAACAGATTCATGGCGCCCGATGAGGTTGGACCTCGCCAACCTTCGCCGATCCCATCATAGAACGAGAGGGTGCAAAAGAGAGACATGGACGTTTCCCAACATGCATACACTCCAACTGAGACACCAAATTCAGACTGTGTTTCCCATTTGAATTCACCATTCTGCTTTGTCGTGGGCCAGCCCGACACCTCCTTCCTTTCGGCTTACTTGGACGCTTACCACCATCCACTATATCTTGTGCTGTAATCCTCCGAATAATGGGGCTGTGATTAAATGGGTCGTCATGTACTATATCAATGTGCTCAGCCCCAAAAGAGAGTACTGTAACTGGGTCCCTTAAAAATTGCCCATCCATATCTGGCTCCCTACTTAATGGCCCCAAAGTCAATTGTGCGCCAATGACAGCAGCTGTGATTTTCTTGCTCAATTAAGGCAATATTTATACCCACAGAAGCACCTTCCAAAACAACCACAAAATCTGGCGGGCCATTTAGGTCTGGAATATAAGTCTCCGATCTTGTTTCCTTTTCTAGGATGCCATCTACCACATGAATTCCGCTACTGAGGTCGCATGCAATTAATGCATGATTTGCCGACCCAGTCGGCTCCACCACTTCAGCCCTATCGTCCTCATGTGCAAGTTCCACACTGGCATATGTCTCACTGTCTTCCACCTCCATCGGCGCAGGGATTGACCACCCCTCCGAGGAAGGCAGACCAAAACGCCGCTCTTTGGGTTTGCGATAATCGGGGCCGAAAACATATTGCTGAAACCATAGTCCATATGGTTTATCAGTATCGTCCCTTTTCTCCCCTGTGTAAAGGCCACACTCTTTCTCACCATGGTCCAGCATGCCACACAGGTAGCATGTGATTGACAGTTTCTCATACTAGATATGTACCCATTCCACCGTCCCACTAGCATTAGGCAACCGCATGGCCAACCAATGCCTCAAGGGCCGACTGACATCCAGGAGTACCCAAATGCGTAAGAAACTTTCGAAGCAATCACTCTATCTGCTCTGATCAATCACAACATAGTTCACAAGCATATCGCCAATCAGTTTCCCCATAGCTTGAGTCATAAAGACTAAGGGAAGGCCTTTAACTTGCACCCAGAACTCTTGGTATCGTAGAGGTATAGTAAGCGAATCAAGTAATCCATCAGTTGCAGCCATGATCAATAGAGAATGATTGAAAGTCTAGGGTCCACCCCTCATGATAGTGTCGCGAGCCCCCTGGGTCTGAAACAAGAACACAAACCTGTCCTCCTCCATATCGATAATCTGGACTTGTGCCTTTGGGTGCCACAAGGACGCCATTATGCGCTTGAAAGACTCCTTATTATATGGTTTCCGGGTTAGTTTGCCCACAAGTAAGAACTTTGAAGTTAGCAGATCTTTGACCTTATGTTGTTCTACCACTAGTCCAGCATGTTCCTCATTGGTTAAGGCAAAGTGGGCTGCAAAACGAGTCATCAGATCATCCATAGAGCCAAGGAAGGTCTCGAGAAGCCAAAGCCCTCACCAAAACCCCGTGCCAAATATGTGGAGGACACCGACTGCTTCCCCAGAACATACACCGCCGCCATAGTGTAGAACGTTGGTGAGTAGTAGTCGTCGTTGTCCGCCACAATAAAACTATAACTCTCCTAGAAACCCTAATGGAACCCTAGGGGTTTTAGAGAGACTCCCTGAATAATGTCCCCTTTTTATCATTTTATAAAGACTATTTCTATTATCAATTATAGAGATTGTTTTTATTTTAGTCTCCAATAAAAGGGTCCCTGTTGAGCGTTTTTCTAGTAGTGAAACTTCACATCTCTATAATTTAGGGAGTTGATTTTCCCACTCCTCTTTTCTCCACTTACACTCTCTTTTGATTTTTAATACTTTTTAATCAATTTTATTCTTTTTTGTTCTTTCTCTTTCCTATTCTATCCTTACTCTATATTAATTTCTTTTTACTTCATTTTAATATTATTTCCTTTTCTAAATAAATAATAATTTTTAAGCAAATATAAAATATAAATAAATATATAAACTTAAAAATAAAAAATAAAAACTATCTCTAGCCGCCCCCACCTTCTTCCCCAAACCCTAGCACCCCATCTTCTCCTCCCTGCTCGCCACCATCTCATCATCGTCACCCACCCCCACCTTACCGTGTCATCACCGCCAGTCGCCCCCACCCAATCCTCCCCTCTCAGTTTTTGGTTTGGGTTTTTTTTTTTTTTTTTTTTTTTTTTTTTTCATTCACAAAAAAATTAAAAATTAAACAAATATCCCTCTCTCTCTTCCCGATAGTGATAGCCTAGAACCCCAACCCAAGAGCCCTCATCTCCGCCATGTTTCAATATGTGGACCTCCACTTTGCCGCCATGCCTCCTCCATTCATACATCAACCCAAGAGCCCCCATCCCAATGGGTTGTTTTGTCGATTTCTTGAACTCGACGACAAAACAAGAAAATTTTCACACTCCATTGTTCCACTCCACCCCTCCTCCAATTCGACATCAACGAGATAGAAAATCTAATCAAGCCCAGCGTCCAATCTTGCCTTCTGGGTTCAATATTTAAAATGACAGAATATTACTCAATATCGACGTACAAAACTCTCCCCCACGTCGATTTATGTCAAAGGATGATGTTATAAATAGCATTTAAGGCGTGGATAGGAACATAACCGACATGGATTATAGATTCAACGTCCGTTTTTGTAAAATAAAGGACGTGGTTAATAACTTCACTACGTCTAGAGATCCATCTGCTTGGCGTTGTAATTACTTACCACGTCGGTTCTTATTACATAATGACGTGGTTGTCCTTTCAAAGTCACTTGTTTGACCTGCAGTGACGTATGTATGTGCGGAGACGTCAGTTGTTTTAGACTAGCAAACGTGCAGAACATCTATCACGATAGTTAATGGAACTGAACGGCCTTTATTTGGGGTTTAGATGACGGTTTATTTTAAGCAAACCGTCTTGATTTCTTTTTCAGATGTCTGTTTTTTTGTTTTACGGTATGTTCCCTTGTTGAAACCCGATGTTGTTTTTATCTTAGATGTCTGTGTTTCCAATTTTTATCCCTGGCCGTCGTACTTTACAGCTTTAACCCAGCTTTTTTAATTTTTGATTTGTCTTGCCCAAAGCCTGCATAATGAAAATGTGATAAGAATTAAAATGTTGTACATAATTATTAATTAATGTCATACAATTAACTGAATAACTAAGGTCATACATTACATCAATCAATCAATCCATATATCTTCACACCCATCTCTAATATTTTCATTCCCAAACTCACCTACTAGGTCATCAAATGTGTCAACATTTGGTATCCCTCTAGTAAATGGCTCACACTCAATTCTAGTATCACCTAGCACATCATCACCAATAACATCATTATATTCTCTATTAAGCATTGATAACATTACCGACCAACCACGATGCATTGGGTCGTCAACATAAAATACTTGTTTGACTTGAGAAGCCATAACAAATTGGTCATTCCTATGTCTAATTTTACTTAGATCTACAAGGGTAAATCCAAGTTCGTCAATTATAAGGCCCGAAGTGTTATCTATCCAATCACACCTCAAGACTGGGATTCTAAACTTTTGGTAGTTAAGGTCCCAAATTTCTTGAATAACACCATAAAAACCCATATTGGAGACAATAGGGTTTTTATCCTTGGCACTAGCAACTTGCATAGTATGTGCAAATAAATAAACTCCACTATTTTGGACAGTTCGCACATCATCTTGTGCCTTGGTGTTAAATTTAACACCATTAATAAGATAGCTCCTATATGATGGCACTGCCATGCTTGAACCAGTTGCTAGCCACCTCAAATTTTCTGATACGCCATTATGCTCTTCCCCATTAAGTTCACTTTGAACCTGCAAATTAATCATATATACCTTAATTCAATCTAACATATAGAATGGAAGAAAATTAAAAGTTGATGCATGTCATTCAATAACATATATATACCTTAAAGTGGAGTTATTGAATGAAAGTGCAATTGTGCTTATCTTGCAGCCACTTTGTTCTCTTTCTAAATTTTGGATAAGTGGTCTTGATGTGGATCATATGTTCCCTACATTGACACCAAAAAATCAAGCATTATGATTCCTTGTATATAAGATAAACATAAGGAATAATAATATTTAAAGTGGCTCCATATGAAAAATAAAAGTCATACGTACTCGATATAAGGTATGACTTCCTCCGTATTCTCCAAGACATAAAAATGTGCCTGGTTTAACAAGTCCCGATCAACTAAGCTTACTGTGCAACCTGATAATGGCTTCGAAACTCCCATCTTCTGGCTTGAAGGCACTCCAACTGTATTAACTTCAGATAAATGCTCGGTGAAAAACTCTACAGCTTGTTTAGCTATATACCGCTCAGCAATGCAATCTTCCGGACGAGTACGGTTATGAACATACCCTTTTAGCACTTTCATATACCTTTCAAATGGATACATCCATCTAAAATATACTAGGCCACATAGACGAACTTCTCTGACAAGATGTACTACTAGATGAACCATGATATCAAAGAATGAAGGAGGAAAGTACTTCTCAAGCAAACACAAAGTAACTACTACATCTTCTTCCAATTTATCTAACTTGGAAGCATCCACCGTCTTTGCACATATAGCATTGAAGAAGAAGCACAATCGAGTTATTGCATACCTTGCAGGCTTCTCTAAAACAGAACGAATTGCCACAGGGAACAATTGTTGCATCAAGGTATGACAATCATGAGATTTAAGTCCAAGAAGTCTTGAATCTTTTAAAGATAGAAGATTTTTTATATTTGAACAATAACCTTCAGGGACCTTCATAGCATAGAAAGAATTGCAAACCGCTCTCTTCTCTACTCTTGAAAAATTCCAAGGTCCTAGAGGCAAGCGAGTACGTCTTTGTCCATACTTGGGTTGCAAATCAGTTTTGACCCCCATGTTCAATAAATCTAACCGAGCAGCAATCCCATCTTTATTTTTTCCAAGGATCTTCAGCAATGTACCAATGATACTATCGCAGACATACTTCTCAATATGCATAACATCTAGGACATGCCTCATATGAAGGTATTTCCAATACTCGAGATCAAAGAATTTTGATTTCTTCTTCCAACAAACTCTGTCACCATCATTCTCACCAACACTTCCCCCATTTTTCGAGCCCCATATGTAATTAATATCTTCAACAATGTGCAACACTTCTTCTCCATTTAATGGCTCAGGAGGTGTGCCATATTCAGGTTTCCCATTAAAAGCTGCACGCGCCTCCGATATGGATGATTGATTGGTAACCATTTTCTATGCCCAATGTAACAAATTTTGTGGCCATTTTTCAACCTGTGACTAGGTGTATCATCGCCGCATATTGGACAAACTTTTTATCCTTTAACAACACAACCAGATAAGTTCCCATAGGCAAGAAAATCATTAACTATCCACAATAATACACCTCTGAGTGTAAAGTATTCTTCTATATGTGCATCATACACTCCTCTAATCTCATCCCACAGAGATTTTAAATCATCAATCAAAGGCTCTAAGTATACGTCTATATCATTTTCAGGTTGTTTAGGACCGGAAATCAATAAGGTCAACATCATGAACTTCCGTTTCTTGCATAGCCATGGTGGGAGATTATATGTAACTAAAATAACTGGCCAACAACTATATCTGCTACTTAAAGAACTGTGGGGATTGAATCCATCATATGAGAGAGCCAATCTCAAGTTTCTCGGCTCTTTACCAAACTCGGGCCATTTATCATCAACAAGTTTCCAAGACGGGGAATCCGCTGGATGAGATATTTGACTGTCAACTGATTTTCTAGCAGCATGCCAAGTCAAACTCTTAGCTGTCTTATGTGATTGAAACATCCTTTTAAACCTTGGAATTGGAGGAAAATACCACACCACCTTCACTGGCACACCCTCTTTCAAGATTTAATCTTTGCCTTCCTTCCACCTTGAGACACCACAAGTAGGAAAATTAGTTGAATCTTCATAATCATTCCAATACAAGATGCAATCATTGGGACATGCGTGGATTTTCTCATAACTCATCCCTAAAGCAGACAATGTCTTTTTGGCCTCGTACATAGAGGAAGGTAGTGTATTTCCTTATGGAAGCAAATCTCCTTGAAGTATCAATAATTCTATAAAACAAACATCACTCATCCCATGTTTTGCTTTCAAATTATATAACTTCACCAAAGCCGACAACATCGTGTACTTACTGCTACTAGGGTACAAGGGTTGATCTCCATCCCCAATCACATTGGCAAACTCATAAGGATCAAATCCAACGTCGCCTAAATCATTATCATCCATCCCTACTTCTTTAGAAACAAAACTGAACTCACATTGCTCATCCTCTTCCACATTTCTACTAGCATTAGTAGTCCATTCCCAAGGTTCTCTGTGCCATGTCCAAATCTTATAGCTTTGGTCAATTCCATTAAAATATAAGTGGTCCCTTATAATTCCAACTCCAAACAATCAAATATTCCCACATTTAACACATGGACAACGAATATGAGTTGTATTTACAAGATTTTCTACAGCAAAATTCAAAAATCCTTCCACACCTAACTTATATGCCTTCGATCTTCTATCCGCATGCATCCATGACTTATCCATCTCACACACTATAAAATCATACATATAATAAAGTGAAAAGACCAGCAATGAAACACTACTATATTGATAGAGAAGAGAACAAAGTGGGAAAAATGGAAAAAAAAATTGCACAATAATCAGACGACGGTTTTTACAAAATAATCGTCGCGTAACATAGATTATGATGACGGTATGTCTATTTACCATTGTCTTTAAGCAAACAACAAGATATTTGTATTCTTTTTGAAGAACATGGCTGGGTTATGGTATACTAAAAATTTAGACGACGGTTGGTGGAAAACAACCGTCGTCCTGGTTTACAAAAAACCAATGCCTAATTCTTCCATCCCCATTCCATTTCAAAGAACCCTTAACAGAATGCAAACATCAAAACATAAAAGAACCCATATTAAGAAACCACAGCTCAGAGAATATACAAACTAACAGAATATTTAGAGAGATCTAAGAGAATATCTATATATATAAAGCAAAAGGCAGAGAATGGTGAAACATTCAAAATACTAGAAAATGTCATTGGTTAATGCAAACATTAGAAATTAAAATTATTAATCAAATGAGGATAATATGGTAAATTCACACTTTTTCATATTATTTTTTTTTATAAAAAAAAATCAGATAATGAATCCTATTTTTATGGAACACAACTACCCATTATCTTTTTTTGATTCTAAAATAAATTTAAATTTTTTTAAAAAATTTTTAAAAAAAAAAGAAAAAAAAAGCCTATTGCAGGCGTGGAAGCGCATGCAGAGAGGCTAGTACAAACTAAGAGAATATTGAGAGAGTGCTGAGAGAATATATACAAACTAATAATAAAAGAATATTGAGAGAGAGCTGAGAGAATATACTTACATGGATATTGAGAGAGAGTTGAGAGAAAATATCAAATGCTTGAGAGAGCTCAGAGAATATACCCAATGCTTTGAGAGAGAGCTCAAAGAAAATACCCAATGCTTTGAGAGAGAGCGAAAACTTTAAGACAAATTTACATTGAAGAGAGAGAATGAAATACTTTAAGGTTAAATGGAAATTTGGAAAATTTTAGATCCCAGTCAAAAATTTCAAAGGACCGCATTTTTTTAAAGACGACGGTAAATACAACCCAGTAGTCGTTTAATTTCACATTTACAACGACGGTTCTGTTACATTTACGACGTTGTATTATGTTTTGACGTTGCCCATACATAAACCGACGTCTAAAATATTAAAAAATTAGCTTTGGTGTGCGTTTCCTGGGATTCGAACGCGCGAATTGACCAAAAGAGCGAGAGCAAATCGGTGTCGTTTCAACAAAATCTAAACCCTAAATTTTACAATAATTATAAAAAAAATACACAAGTATGAGAAAAATGAACCGAAAATTGCTACGGACTCCTTACAACAATGCCTTCTATATTATTAGGCTAAAATCTATATTAAAGAATTTTCAATTTTATGACCACGAATGGATCACATAAACCTTAGGGTTACGTAATGGAAAGTATAATGACTATTGTGCTTTGTCTCTAAATCATTTTTACTTTTGTTATCACTTCTAATTTTGAAATCTAAAATTAAAATTTTCAGGCATGTAGGGGATAGATATTGTCGATTTATTTTTCAGATTTTTTATGAATATTTTTTTAATATTAGTAATTAAATACAAATAAAAATAATTTTAACATTAAATTTTTTAAAGATTTAGGGGGGATAAAATCTTCCAATGAGTGCATAGTAGTTGTCAGTTTATTTTATGGAATTTGTTTTGAAATTATTATGAATATTAGGAATAAAATATAAAAGTCATACAAAAATTGAATACAAAAGTACATAACCGATGTTGCATCAGTTTACAACGACGCTAAGTAACTCATAACGTCGTCCTAGTAAACATTAAACGTCGCAATGTAATAATCATTGTGTTTAGTTATTTACAATGTTTATTACTATTCTGACGACGACGTTGTTTATGGATACAACGTCATCATTTAACATGTAACGGATGTTGTATGTCTCTACTAATTTTTTCGTAGATTTCAGTTTTTTAAAGAAACCGACGTGTATATCAACCTTAAATGTCATTTTTGAGAAATGTCATCGATGTTTTGTTTCTCGCTATAACAAGACGGCGGTGGTTTATATATAACAAACGTGTAAAGGTGAATGAGACGTCTGATTTTGGGAATTAATTTACATTTTTATGATTTATATTCATTTTAGTTTATTTTAACACATTTTTACAATATATTTATTTACATTGTCAAAAAATTAAAATAAACCTAAATATTTTTAAATAAATGTATATTATCAATTATTGTTTTGTGACCACCAATGGATCACATAAATCTTAGGGTTATGTAATGGAAAGTATAATGACTATTGTGCTTTGTCTCTAAATCATTTTGACTTTTGTTATCACTTCTAATTTTGAAATCTAAAATTAAAATTTTCAAGCATGCAGGGGATAGATATTGTCTCAATGAGTGCATAGAATTTGTTGGTTTATTTTTCGGATTTTTTATTAATATTTTTTTAATATTAGTAATTAAATACAAATAAAAAAAATTTAACATTAAATTTTTAAAAGATTTACGGGAGATAAAATCTTCCAATGAGTGCATAGTAGTTGTCAGTTTATTTTATGGAATTTGTTTTGAAATTATTATGAATATTAGGAATAAAATATAAAAGTCATACAAAAATTGAATACAAAAGTACATAACTGACGTTGCATCAGTTTACAACGACGTTAAGTAACTCATAACGTCGTCCTAGTAAACATTAAACGTCGCAATGTAATAACCGCCGTGTTTAGTTATTTGCAACGTCTATTACTATTCTGATGACGACGTTGTTTATGGATACAACGTCACCATTTAACCTGTAACGGATGTTGTATGTCTCTACTAATTTTTTCGTAGATTTTAGTTTTTTAAAGAAACCGACGTGTATATCAACCTTAAATGTCATTTTTGAGAAATGTCGTCGATGTTTTTTTTCCCGCTATAACAAGACGGGGGTGGTTTATATATAACAAACGTGTAAAGATGAATGTGACGTTAGATTTTGGGAATCAAAATTCATTTTTATGATTTATTTTCATTTTAGTTCATTATAACACATTTATATTTATAAAAAAAAAAAAAAAAAAAAAAAAAAAAATATATTCATTTGATTTTTATTTATTTATGAATGTTCAAATAATTACTAAAAATATGTTTATATACATTGTCAAAAAATTAAAATAAACCTAACCATTTTTAAATAAATGTATATTATCAATTATTGTTTTGTAATTGCTTGTTCACGAATTCTGCCCATTCCAGCCTGACTTCGTCAATATGTTCTTGAGTATACACAAATGATTCCTTTTTCTTGTCAAACTGCAAATAAAGAACAAAAACCGACGTGTTACAAGTAATAAAATGACGGTTTGGAAAGCAAACGTCGTGGTATGAAAATAAAGAAATTATATATTAAATTTTACCTTCTTCTCAAAGGCTAGGGTTGGATCATGAATTATATCTCTCATGAAACGCATCACGTAATAGCCACACTCTACATTTTTTGGTTGTCTAGGAGTGCCTTGTAGATTTTTCCATATGGGTGATTTACGTGATGATTGTTTCCCTGTGTGAGAGTTATACATTTTGATTGAATTGTTTCAAGAAAAACAAAAAGTGTTAATGACAAAACTAAAAATCAGCATCAAAATTATTAACCGTCGTGGTAAATAATTGAAGACGACGGTTTTGGAAAACAAATGACGTTGTAGTTTATATAAAACGTTGGAAAATAAGAACCATCGTTGTGTTTCACTCTAACGTCGGTGACGAAGAAAAACGACGTATAACCAAAGTTAATTTTAAATGAAAGTTTAGCAGAAAAAATTAAAAAGTCCTAAAATTAAAAACAAAATCAAGCTGGTATTTCAATTAAGACGACGGTTTCAAGAAAATACTGACGTTGTAAATGATTGAAAACGTCGGTTATAATATACCGTCGTTGTGTTTTCACTACAACGTCGGTATTGGAAAAAGTTGTCTTATCAATCAAATGCAGATATAAAAAATCATAGGTTTTCATTAATAAACTTACGTATTCACTATATTTCTCATGTCCTCGTCAACAAAACGGTTTGGCAATGAATTCATGTAATAGACAGTCTCCTTAGCTGGTCTTACAATTATTAACACCCAATGACCCCTACACAAAATTATCCATATATATTAAATATACTACAAAAATATATATTACAAGGAACCAATTAAGTATAGAAGGGGACTAACCCTGGATTATAAGGCACCAAGTAAAATTGATCCCCATCTGCCTTTTTCAGGCTTTCTGAGAGATGTTTTGAGCCGTGAGATAACGTTCCAGATTGAGAGTTGACTTGTCCAGGGTCCACGAGGCCAACAAGTTTTACCATATTTTCCATTTTTAAATAGTCAAATAGGTACCTAATTAAAAATATATGAAATTCAATTAAATGAGATTTTAATTTAAAAGAAAGAAAATGTAAAAAAAACAAAATTGGATTTCTAGAATTACCTCATGTATACTGCAATCATTGTGGCTCCAATCTTAACCATGGAAGCAAATTATAAAATGTCTTCACTCAAGAGCCAGGTATCATGATCAGTGCCAAACATTTCCTCAAGCATGTGAACTGTAATGGTCTCGTTAGCAGGCTACAACTTGGTCTCGACATATTGGCATAGGGCTAACAGAGGAGTTGGTATGTCAAGCTTTGAGAGATCCTGTAACAAGAAATAAATAAAGAAATAAAAGTTAGTGTGTTCATGAAGTAAAATAAACGACTCCAATAAATCAACAAAACCAACATGGTATATAATATCAATGACGGTTTCTAGAACATACTGACGGGGTAAAGGTTATAGACGACGGTAAATACATAACAGTCGTTGTGTAAAAGTTATAACGTCGCTATACAATAGAAAGGTGGTCTAGGTTAAACTAGACGACGGGTTTTAAAATAAACACCGACGTCTATTTAAAATTTAAAATTCAGAAAAAGCAAATGTCAAAGATTTTACATTTGATCTTGACGGTTTTCAGCAGCATCAGCATCATTCGTGGGATTGTCTTCTTCCAATTCAGGGGCTCTCACATTAGAGCAGCTTGCTTTGTCAGACATTGGATTTTTTGGGCTTTGCTCTTAAGGAATTGGAGTAATTGGTGTAGTTGGTGTAGTTCGAATTTTACTGAGCATGTTGGGATCAAAGTTGGGAATTAGTTGACTGAATTTTTTCAACATAATTTCCCTCTCTGCTCTAACTGCCTCCATAACATAACACTTTCCTTCAATTTGTCAGCAAATTTTACTCTCTGCTGTCTCGGCAAATTGAAGAATTGAGTTGGGGAAACCCCAGCTCCAACACCTCTGACCCTCCCACCATGCTCAGGGGTTCCCAAAGCCATGGTCAAAACATCGTTGCTCCCAGAGACAGTCAGAGTGCCCTCGGAGACTTGTTTTTTCAAATCATCCTAAAAGTGAGAGAGAGAATGTCAGTGAGTGAACAGATAGTAAAACTGATCAAATAAATAAATTAATAAAAATATTAACCGACGTGGTAAAGAGGTTATAACAACGGTTTATTTTAAAAACAGACACAGAAAATAATTTAATACGTCATCCCAAAACTACCGTCGTTTTGTATACATTAAAATGTCAATCAATGAAATAACCGTCGTTTATTTGACATCATAGATAAAAATACTTAACCAAAATATTCACTGATCCAGAAATAGTGTACAAACCAATTGCAGAGAAATAGAGAAGGAGAGAGAGTGTGTGTGCGTGTGAATATGAAGAAGGTTCAAAATTTAATTTAAAAAACCTTATACAAACACACAAAACCGTCGTTGTAATTCAATGAAGACATCGGTTTTATAAAAATACTGACGTTATATATTTTTTAAAAGGCAGTGATTAAAAACCTTCGTGGGGTTTCATGTCTAACGACGGTTGATAAAAAGACCGACGTCTGAATGAAAAATAAAACCTTTGTTTTACAAGTTTAGAATAGAGTCAGTGAAACTTACGATTAATTTTACCTCCTCTACAACCTTTGGATCAGGGATGTTTCCCTGTTTATCTTCTCTTGCCTTCTTCCATAGCAGAGATCGATCGATTTCTTCACCGGGCATGGTTTCTTCCTATTGATCCTCCAAACCAACGTACCCTTTTCGAGACAACCTATGGTTGTACTCACATTTCTCCCTTCTCTGTGACTGCCCAGAATGCACAGCCTCAAAATCTAGGGATAACCTTGAAGCTACAATGGCATCCCATTTAGATTTCTCTATGAAGTTATAAAGCTGAGGGGGCTCTTTTAACTTCTCCTTCTCATTTGCGAATGGAAGGATAAACTTCCTAGTTAAGGTAGACTTAAAATCCTTCCATTTTTTGGTGGCAGACGACAGCACCATCTTCTTGCCCCCTTCCCCAGCAACATAAGCCATTTGAACAGCTTCCCAAATATACTCCTTCAGGTCCTTGGGCAATTGAGTCCATTTCTTGTCCACAAGAGGGACTCTGGTGCGTGCCAAAACACCAATGTAACTCTACATCTCAATAGCAGCCTTGCCATGTGGTTTGCCACTTTTATTGTACTCAACCACATGCTTAATCTTCTGGATTTTCCTTTTCACAACACGGCTCATTGTACTGCGAGTAGATTTCGTCACTTCGTCAAATGTCGCAGAGCTTGGGTCTTTCTCGGAAGATGAAGTAAATCTCATCTTCTTTGGGGGATTGCTTGGAAGAGATTGTGCCTTTGAAACTGCAATGTCTTTGCCTTGACCTTTGGATGCCTGAGAATCCTTACTTTGAGATTTCGAAACCATGCTTACAGAGAAATACAAACTGCAAGAAAAACAACGATGGTTAGGTAAAATACAGATATAAAATGAAAGTTCAGACGACAGAAAAAAACAGAACTGTCGTGCAAATCAACAGAAACGTATACAACTTAGACATTAACTTAATGCGACGGTCATTAAATAAGACCGTCGTTGTATTTTAAATTATAAAAAAAAACCCGCCCAGTTTTCTCTCTCCCACGTTCTTCCAACAAACCAGATGACGGTTTAAATAAAACTCGTCGTCCTCACATGACCTGTAAGTGCGAACATTGAAAGATTTGGCATTTTCAAACCTGAGTCTTATTTCAAACATCAATGAGACTAGTTATTTAAATAAAAAAACTTCAAATGAAGAAAAAAACGGAGTGAGAAAGTTTTCAAACCTTTGGCTTGCTAAGAAAGTTTCCTTCGGAATCAAATTTTGGAGACAAACATGAGGAAGAACGTAGAAGTTGAAAGGGAAACTAAGAATCAGAAACGCAACTTTTCGGAAATGAAGGGGAAACTGAGAGAAAACTGAAAATTTTAGAGAGAACGTAAAAGTTTAGGTCAGGTGACCAAAAAGTTTATATAGTGTCCCAAGATAAAGACAACGACGGTGGTCATAGAAACCGCCCTAGTATGTAGTTACGACGACATTAAAAAGCCTTTTGACTTTTTGTATTCCGAAAACGACGTGGTTAGTTGGGCGCTACACGTCAAAAGTTCACTTTTAAATAAGTAATATTAGAAGTTACCACGTCGTTTTTTTATATTAAACCGACGTGGTTTTCAAAAACCTTTTTCTCTTGAATTTAATAACCGACGTTGTTTTTATGTTTAATACGTCCTTATTTTTTCAAGAACCGACATTGAGTCCTTTATTAAATGGCGTTAGTGTTAATGTAACTGACGTGGATATGAAATTTTTTTTATAAATTGAGTTTTTTTCCGTGATTTCTTTCAGTTTCAGTTTTCAATTAGCGTTCCAACTTCTTCTTGCCCACTGTCTCACCTCTTAGGAGGCAATTGTTTTGGATGTTGATGTGTGTGTATTTGTGTCTCAATTGAGACACAAATACACATACATCATCAATCTCTAAAATATTGTCTCTGAATGCAAATCTGTGGTTGCCGTCGTCAAATTTTAGAGGCAATTGCTTGGATGTTGATGTGTGTGTGCGCTTGTGTATCTGAAAGACACAAACACACACACATCATTAACTTCCAAAAAATTTCCTTTCTAAATGCAAATATGTGGCTGCCGTCATCAAATTTTAGAGGCAAATCTGTGTCTTTCTGTGGTCCGATTATGATGAGGAACAGAGTTCCATCTGGTAAGATTTCGTAACTCTTGGGATCTCAGATCTGATTTTGTCGGCTATTTTCTATATAAACCGTCATGGTTATTCTCAATTCTTGACATTAAGTTGATCTACAGATGTAGGATAACAAAATTCAAGAAATAAAAATTTAAAAAAAAATTTACAATTAAGACGACGGTTTAGATATAAGGTTGGACATATAAAGTGTATAAATACGACGGTAATTTTAACTTCACGACGTATATCTTGGATCTCAGAAAAATCTATTATGTCGGCAGTTTTCTATATAAACCGTCGTGGTTATTCTCAATTCTTGTCATTAAGTTGGTCTACCGTCGTAGGATACCAAAATTCAAGATATAAATATTAAAAAATAATGTATTTAAGACGACCGTTTAGGTATAAGGGTAGACGTATAAAGTAAATAAATACGATGGTACTTTTAACTTCACGACGTGGTAAGTTTTATTACACGTCGTTAATTGAACAAACCAACGTGGTTAGAGTCAAAGATACCATCGTAGTATTGAACATGAAATAAGTCGACAAATTTATATTTTATGTCGTTGTACATCTATTTAAGACGACGGTATTTTGTAATATACCGCCGTGGATTCTTTTGAAATTATGCAACACTTGATACGAAAACTTGGTCGTGGTTATTGCGGAGAAAAAACGACGGCTGTTTATTTAAACTGTCATCTTTACTTTCTACGTTGGTTGATTCATACCTTCTGCCGTTATTTGTGGGCTCCGAGTTTACTCTGGGGAAAACATTTTTCAAGAAGACGTCGCTTTTTAAAATAGGTGTGTCGTGTTTTAAAAACAACCATTGAATTCCCCATTTTTTAGGTGTTTAAGTTATTCTTACAAGGCGGTTTTATAAAACCGTCGTCTTTTAAAACACAACGACGGTTTTCCATTAAGCTGTCGTTTTTTTCTGATCGTCTTTTTCACTTTTTGTAGTAGTGTGAACAATGGAATATGTGCATATCCAAGGTTTCATAAGCAATATTACATAGGGTACCGGCCACCTTAACCCCCCCAACCCAAGCACAAGCAAAGCAAAAGAGAAACACAAAAGAGAAAACCCTAATGAGACTTTAAATCACTTTTAGTAATTCCTTGTAATGTTGTATAAGATCTTACAAGACCATATACAAAATAAAGGTGTACATAATGAGACTTTACATCTCTTTTATTCCATGTAATATCGTCTAAGATATAACAAGACAAACAAAATAAACAACGTGAAGAAATTATAGCTTATGCCTTTGATGAATCTTAATTAACAGCTTCTAATTAGGACTCATGGCGGTGTTAATTGTTCCAAACGTACTTCCTTAACCAATTTCCCCATTGGGTGTTAAACAAGTAAATCCCATCTTCCTGCGCTCTCCATATGCAATGGACTCCACCACCACACAGTCTCAAAAGTTGTTTATCAAGTTTCCATGCATCAAAAACTACTTGGTGGTTCTGGTACTTTAAATTGCAGAAGTAAAGGGTGGTGCCAAAGAAATTCACACGAAATCCGAATTCAAACTGATCCCCGCGATGAGGAAGACTATGCGAAATGACATCATCTGCGGATTTACATACGAAGGCCAGCTGTTTGTTGTCAAGGTTGTTGACAATGCGGATGAAATATTTTTTACCAGGTGTGGCCGACGAGTCACCACGGGCAACAGATGCTAGCCCTAGGAAGAACACAAGACAGCAGAACTGAAATACTGCTCCTCTCTTCATTTCTCTCCCTTTCTCTTTCAGATAATTCTGCTCAAGGTAGAGATTTTGATTTTTTGATCGAGATATGTATGCATTCCATATGCTTTTATATTGAAAAAGAATGCTGTATATATATGTATATCCATAGTAACCATTTCTGCTGAGACTACCGAGTGGTTAGCTGGTGAATGGTATTAAATTAATTTCGGATATTTGCTTGCATGACATACTTTATGTGTATAAGTGAGTAAGATTTTTAATTATAACATATACATTTATGAGTATACAGTGTTTTCTTGCGAGGCTTTTTAACGTGTGGTCTAAATTAACAATATCACAACATAATTATGTATCATACATATATTGCATAGAGGGAGCATGTATCTCATTAAATGCCCGAAATTACCAAATAATAAAAAAAAGTAGATAAAATAGCATGAAAATGAATGTTGGAATGCTGGCTGTCCTTTCCCATGGAATAAGAAGAAAAATACAGTGCACGGAGCCTGGACGTGTATCTTATCTTGTTGGCATTTGCAAGTTTGTTAGTTTTTTTCTTTCTTTTTCTTTAATTTCTCTCTCTCATGGACCTCCCTTTTAAGCCAAAAACTTGGTTGGAGAAAATCATCAGCCACACCATACTCGTCGGAATTAATCCAATTTCTTTGATGTACTCTGATTTGTCTAACACCGAGTAGACAAATGCCATGTCTTTTTGAAAATGTTATAGATGATGCATCCAACACAACTACGTACCTAAACTACTCTCACATGAATTTTTCCTTATCTTTTCATTTCATCTAAGTTCGTAAATCATGCAGGCCAGGTACAGATACGTTGTTCATCACAAATCGAGTATCAATTAATTTGGCAAATGAATTTGTTTAGACGACATAGGATGGAGCTGTGTCGGCTTAATTTCATCCACTCTCAAGCAATATCGGAATTTTATCCGTATCCAAGGATTTGATAAGCATTGTTTTGTCTTCTTAACAGAAATTGAAAAGGGTACTACATAACTTGGCCAAGAAAGAAAGAGACATTAACTTAAGAAGAAACATAACAAGCTATTACAAGACAAATAAAATAAACAATGTGAAGAAAGCTTTTGCTCTTTGAGTCTTAACAGCTACAAATTAATTATTAAGAATCATTTTCCCATTTTCTCCCAAGAATACTTCCTTAACCAATTACCCCGCTGGATGTTATACAAGTAGATCCCATCCTCTTGCGCTTGCCATATGCAATGAACTCCACTACAGAGGTCCAAAAGTTGTTCATCAACTTGAAATGCATGAAGATACATACACAACAGACTTGCATGTATAGTGACCATATACGCTAAGCCTGCTATATGCTTATGTGGTTTAACCACATGTACTTGGTGTCATGAAATTTGTAAACCACGTATCCTTCTCGTATAGGAGATTTGGGCCCTGGGCTGGAACCTAAGCTCCTGTTTACCCACGTAGATGAGTAATCTCCTAAGGAAGATCTGCACACTTGGAACAATATCAGAATAAGGGTGGACTAGGGTTAATCCTAGTTCGGACCCCTCCGATGGTTAAGTTAAAAACTAACTTGAACTGGAGAGCAAATGGATATAGGGTTTCCACAGTGAGAATATTTATCACCTTTGTCCAGAGATATGTGAGGGGTATTTATAGGGGGCAAAAGGAGAAAACCAGATATTTTATGGGATAGATCTTTTCTTTATTTCCCTAAGTTTGAATCACATTTAATGCTCTGTTTTCTGATCACCCTACTTTGTGACAGGGGTCAGGTGGCTAAGTGATATGTCAACAAGGATGGGAGGTGTATTAAATGTTCTCTTTCTATCACCAACTTGTTTTCTCAAAAATCAAAGGGTAAAGCGACACTTGCTTGAGGATGGGATGTGCGTTAACTGACCCTTCTTGGTTGTCAGGTCTATCCATCTCAAGGGCGATACTGATCAATTTGGCAAGGGTTAGGTCAAGCTTGCCGATCATCCATGCACTTCTGGTTGGAATAGAGCACCTTGGTGATCGGGTAAGTACCCAAAACACCCAGCCACTGGTCCAATCTTTGTTTCATCGTATTCCGTCTGGTCGATGTGCAAGCAACCTGGTCTGTCGTGGCCACATGGCATCCTTTGATGGGATTGACTTATAGAGATAATCTGAGCTATTAACAAAATTAGGTGGTTCAACTTCAATGGACATATACAAGCATTTGCCATTTCCTTCTAAGCATACATATATATAGAGAGCTTATATGTAATTAAACAATGTTTTTTTGTTCTCTTGTACGACATGGAGTGTTAATTGGATTGACCCACATCTTTGGTGTGCTCCCAATAGTCTTGGGTGATACCCATGTTTTTTAAGTCTTAGATCAATATTGGAATATTATCCTTGATTATCCAGGGATTTGATATATAAGCCTTATTTTCCTTCTTAACAGAATTTGGAAAGGGTATAATATATATAGGGCATATGTAACTTGGCACAAGATGACCCCCAAACAAAGCAAGAAAGAAATCCGAATTCAAACTCATCCCCACGGGAAGCAAGACTCGTCTGCAGATTGGCATTTGAAGTCCAGCTTTTTATTGTCCAGGTTGTTAACCAAGCGAACAAAGTACTTGCTAAAAGGTGTCACAACCGTGATGCCTTGGGCAAGAGATGCTAATAACCCAAGGAAGGAGAGAAAGCTGTACAACTAGAAAATTGCTTTTCTCTGCATTTTATGATATTATAATTTATTTTTGATGAAGATATTTTGATATGTATAGATATTGCATTCATATAGTAAAAGAATGAATGGTACATATACACAACCTACTTCCATGTATAGCGACCATATCTGCTAAATATGTATGTACATGATGCATGCGCAAGCTTACAGGGTTCACATAACTGTTACAAGTGTTTCTAAGTAGGTATAAGTAATGCTTTCTTGCTTCGCCCCCCCCAAAATATATATATATTTTTTATTTTTTTTTGCGAGGTTTTTTGGCAATATATTTGTATGTGTGATTCAAATTCACAGTATGACAACATAAATTATCATTTCCCTTCTAAGTACATATGTTATGCATTGAAAGGGCATGCATATCATTAAATAACCGAAATTGTGAAATGGCAGAAAGTCCATCAAGTTCTTGAACCAAGCATAACTTGTATTAGGCCCGACCAAATAAAGTGTCGTGCCCTTATCAATGGGTTCAGTTTCAACAATGTAAATGTATAAGAGCATCCACAGTGGGAGGTGTATAATAGGGTGTATGTTCAATATACACTCTTTGTCGCCGAAATCATCTCCAATGGGAAGAAGTAGATGGTTGTAAAAATACATCACAACCATAGATATGTAAAATTAGATGCACATTTGCATCTTTTTTTACATCCTCTACAAGCGGGACCCACAAGAGAAAAAGGGAAAGAGAATGATTGGAATTCAAAATGGAAGGCCCAGATTTCATGTAATTTGCATTGCACTTCCAATGGCCTAGATTTCTACATAAATATTTTTATGTTAGTTTGTAGGTAAAATCATATGTTCTCCAAATTTAAACTTTTTTAGGTCCATTTATTTGGAAATAAATAAATAAATCTAACACGCACAAAATTAATTTTAAAAAGTTAAAACACAAAAAAGAATTATTACAGACAAATCGAATATGCATCTTTGGATTTACATCGTTTTCCATTGGAGCAAAAAAAAATATTTACACCCACTGGATGTGTTAATGGAATGTAAAAGTGATTTTACACCATCGAAAATACACCCCTCATTGTGAATGCTCTAAGATGATGGTTTTTTACACAAATAACTGGAAAAATTCAGTAAGTACGAAAATGATCCATATAAGAATAAAACCACAGAGAAAATGGTGTAAAATTTACAGAAGTCAGCTCAAAAATAGGCCCGACCACGTGGTACGGCGTTTCTGTCAGTGGCCTATCTTTATCAATGGGTTGAATTTAAACACTCCGAAGACCACACTTGCAGAAAATACATGTTTTTTTTTCAAACTTAAGATGAAAGTGGCAAGCAAGAGCAATGGACCAAAGGAAGCTCGTTTTTCATCATGCAATTGCACATTTGTTCTCTCGTACGACTTCGTATAGAAAATAACATGTTTTTTTTACTAGAAAAATACCAAGGCCAAAACAAAAGTGATGGTATTTTGTTCCTTTAAACTAGTATTTAGTTTTGTAGTCATAATTAAAAAGTTTCGGAAAATATGTTATTCAGAATTAGGATTTTTTCGATGGATGATGGGCTAGCTAAAAATTTTAGCTTAAACTCTAATGATTTTTGTTTTTTTTCCATAGACTAATTTTCAATAAACTTTATAAGAAAAATACATATTAAATACTGCCAAAAAATATATATTATCAAAATTAATATATGTTCATATTCAAATTTCTTGTTTCTTGACATCAACCGAATAAGCTTCACAAATACAAAGTGAAAAAATAAAAATAATTAAGTTTCACATATAAATTAATTGTAAACACAAGAAGCATATAATTAGGTTAATATTTCGTTTTTGAAAGCCTTTTCCCACCTGTGAGTTTCAATTACCTACAACTGTCTGTAATTGTGAATTGAAGGACTCGTGAGGGTTTTTATTGAGTCCAATGTTAAAAAACTTTCCCTTTTTTTGTGGATAAAACATGATTATTGACTTTGCCAACAAAAAAATAAAGGCAAAAGGCCACATGCTTTGAGGGGGGAAAAAAACCAATGCTGCTAAGAAATTGCACGATTCGCTCAATTTGATTGGAGGATTCGCTCAAAGCAAAAGGTAGCAATTTTGGTGGGCCATATAAATAGGGATATGATTTTCCCCACTTTTCTTTTCTCTACTTACACTTCCCTTTGCTTTTTAATACTTTTTAATCAATTTTGTTCTTTCTCTTTCCTATTCTACCCTTACCCTACATTAATTTTATTTTACTTCATTTTTATATTAGTTCTTTTTCTTTATACTTAATTTTCCAACTTGCACTCCATTTTCAATATTTTTTTTTCCTTTAATCGAGTAAGAAATTAAGTTTTTTTTTCCTTTAATACTGAAAATGTAAGTTGAAAAATTAAGTACAAAGAAAAATAAATAATATAAAAGTGAAGTAAAAAAGAAATTAAGGCTCATTATCACAAAACGTCCCTAAGGTTTACAAACTATCAGATTGCATCATGAATATTTTTTTTGTGTCATTCATGGTCCTCAAGGTTAGTATGCATGATCATAAATGGTCCCTGCCGTTAGGTTCAGTCAAAAACTATGTTAGTTCGCTGACCTGACATATATGTATATCACAAAACATCCTTGAGGTTCTCACACCTATTACAAATGGTTCTTAAGAAATTTTAAAATTTTAAAATTTTAAAATTCATAAAATTTTTGTTTTCTTTTTAAAATTTTATGAATTTTAATTATTTTAAAAAATATATTGAATTTTAAATACATGTGACACTATAATTGCAGATGTGGGCTCCATATATATGTCACATCAACAAACTAATGAAGTTTTAAAAAAATAATTTAAAATTCATAAAATTTTAAAATGAAAAAAACTAAAGGTTTAGGGTTCACAAATGGTCCTCAAGATTAAAATCCTTCTATAAATGGTTTTTTCATTTATAAATAATTTTAAAAAGAAAACCTAAATTTTATGAATTTTAAATTTTAAAAAAATTCATAAGGACCATTTGTGATAAGTGTGTAAATCTCAGGAATGTTTTGTGATATATATGTATGTCACGTCAGCAAACTAACAGAGTTTTTGACAGAACCTAACGGCAGGGACCATTTGTGATTGCACATACTAACCTTGAGGACCATAAGTGACACAAAAAAATATTAAGGATGCAATCTGATAGTTTCGTAAATCTTAGAGACGTTTTGTGATAATAAGCCAAGAAATTAATGTAGGGTAAGGATATAATAAGAAAGAGAAAGAACAAAATTGATTAAAAATTATTAAAAAATAAAAAGGAGTGTAAGTAGAGAAAAGAAGAGTGGGGAAATCAGCTCCCTATAAATATAGATTTAATATATTTTTTTCTTCAAAGCTTTCCTGGGCTACAACCCACCTCATGGCTTAGTTCTGCCCTTTCTCACATGCTGCTGGGTGGTGATGGTGGTGGTGGTGGTGGTGTTGAGGCCCAAAAAATCCATGGATTGGGCCCGAACAATTATCAGCCCAATACAATATTTCATAAGGGAAAAGAAAAAACGGATCTATCGCATGCAAGTTATAACCCACACGCCACGCTAAATAAACAAATTATCATGCTATGATAAAATACAATCATGCTAAAAAATTAAAACAATCCTTCAAAAGGGCGATAAAGTAAAATATGCCGAGCAACATGCCGTGCCGTTATCTCGCACCCAACCACGCTACAAGCCTAGGTGGGCCCAAGCCACTCAAAAAAGACCCGGGGCTTGCTTGAGTGGGTTGTGGCATGGATGGTAATAAATCAACATGAGGCCCATTGATGGACCAAGAAATGGAAAGTCTCGGGTTGCTTGGGAGCCTCGAGACTCAAGCCCATTTCTTAGGTCCAAACATGTGGGTAAGCACAAGAGAGAAAAAATAGCCCAAAAGCCCAAGCAAAATAACCTAGCCAAAAGATAACCCAACCAAAAAATAATAATAAGCCCAAATCAAGCCCAATAAGCCCATTTGCTTAGAAAGCCATCTTGGCCCTTAGAAAAACCCAAAAAAAGGCCCACAAGAGCTTCAGCCTTTTTTGAAAAACAGAGAACACGTGAAGTAGATGGCAGACTCCTTAAGTAAGCTGCTGGAAACCAGTCCCAAGCCAGAAACATCCAAAGAACCGATGAATACCATCCTGCATGCTGTCAGAAGCATCCCTTGGACCAGCATACATTTGCACCTACTTTCCTTCATCAGATTCAGCCAAGGAGGAGGAAAGAAAAGGAAGAAAAACAGCAAACTAAGAGTGGAAGCCCTCATTGCACAGCCGCGGGAAAGAGGGATGTTGAGCCCCCAAATCTCCCAAATTCATGAAGATAGACAGAAGCCATCTTTGCCAAGAAAGGGAAGTCAGAGAAGGGGAGGAGAAAGGAAGAAAATCTCAGCCAAAGTAAGAAGGAGCCATTAGGGTTTCTTGAAAAATGGTGATTTCCGGCAGCTATAAATTAAGCCTTCCCCTACCCAACAAACACAACTCACAACCTGCAGAGAGCAAGCTTTTCTCTCTATCTTGCAAAACTTAGATTCGTGCACTGTTCATCTTCTTCTCCAATTTGTTCTTCTGGTAGCTGCTGGAAGAACCCTGTCTCTCTTTTTCTCTTTCTCTAGCCAAAATTCCTCACAAAACACCCCATTCCTTACTTAAACGCTTTCATTCCTCATAAACCAAGCCTAATTTCTCTCTTAGTGCTAAACCCATGTTGGTTTTGCTCTCCATGCCTCATGCCACTCATGCTGAGCCTAAAAACCATCTGAAAGCATGCCAAAATTATCTGTAAGTCACTATTATTCTCATTGGTGAAGGTTACTCAAAATATCTCCCAAGGTTTCGCTGCCCTTTCGAGGTATTTTGAGGCTTAATTTTCGAACCTAAACGAAAAGGGGCAATCTCCTCAGTCCACCTTTTGCAGCAGCCCAGCCCGTTAGCTGCAGGAAGAAAAAGTCCCCTACATAAATTGGCGACTCTGCTGGGGATTAAGCCATTACCTTCATCAATGCCTCCAAGAAAGAAGACCAGAAGCAACAACATAACTTCCCAGGATGGGCCAAGCCATGCTGACTCAGAGTCAAGGCAACATGCCTCTTCTAGAGAAGAAGAACGTGCAAGTGAGGGAACTTTCACTCTCACAGATCTTGTTGCAGCCATTCGTGCTATGGGTGAGACCCAGAGGGAGATGGCAGAGATGATAAAAGAACTCAAAAATTCGGCTCCAAAGCCAAGTGAAGTGAACGAGAAGCACCCACAGGAGGAATCTGCTGCTGCCGGAAAGGAGTCTGAGCAGAAGGGACCATCTTTTGTCACTCAGGAGGACGTTGTTGCCATGCTGGAAAAGGAGCTGAGTCGAAGTCAGGAAGATTGGAAGTATCTTCCTCAGCCGCCGTATCCATCAAGCTTACTCCAGCAGCCATATCCTAAAGGCTATGAAGCACCGACCTTTGTCCTCTTTGATGGACGAAAGGGGAGCCCGAAGGAGCATGTCAATCGCTTCATCGATGCCTTGGGACCGTATGCTGGTGATCATAATCTTCGACTTAGAGAATTTTCAAAGAGTCTCACTGATCGTGCTTACACATGGTATACAACGTTGGCACCAGGCTCTATTCATTCCTGGGAAAGTCTGGCAAGCAGGTTCTGTAAGAAGTATTTCCAGCATGAAGAACGAGTCACCACCACTCAACTCAACAACACCCGCCAAAAGCATGGTGAGGATCCCGTGGACTTTGTACGCAGGTTCCGGGACCTGGCATTGGATTGCTATGATGAGAAAGACGAGGAGGCGCTTGTTGAAATTTGCATCAGCAATATCGTGGCAGATTATAGAGTGTATTTGGAGAATATTGGCATTAGTCAATTTTCTCGGCTGCTGGAAGCTGTGAGGAAGACGAGCATGTCCGTCAGGCCACCAGGACAAAGGACTTGGAGAAATGAGAAGAAGGAAGCGCATCAGACATTAGCAATAGATGACAAGCCATCCAGCGACTACAATTCACGCAAACGCAAGGATAGAGAGACGTATCCACCACTACCATGCAAAGATGAAGAATTTCATGCTATCCTTGACACAATGATTGCTGATGGCGTAATCAAACCTGTCAGACCCTACAGGGTTCCTACTCGAGAGGAAAAGAATGATCCTAGGTACTGCCGTTATCACCAATTTGTGGGGCATCCAACCACTGCCTGTCAGAGCCTGAGGAGGATTTTACACGCCAAAATACATGAGGGAGTCCTTGAACTTCCCTCTAGGAAGCAAACCATTGATGAAGACCCCTTGCCAAAACGAAGGGGAAAAGAGGTAGCCGCTGTCATTACATGTTCTGATGATTTGCTTGATGATGATGAATTGTGCCACCCTTGGAGGAATGACCCAAAGCCGCCGGAAGCCGTATGGGAACCTTGCGGAAACATGGAAAAGGCATATTGGTGTAAATATTCAAGGCCTTCAAGTTACAACACACCATGGCCACTCGCTGATGGATGGGGTGACAACTCAGGCAGCGAAATTTTGTCCTGGACATGCCGGAAGAACGCTACTCGGGGGCTTTATCGGAGCAGCAGGAAGCAGCTGCCGTAACATTTCATAATATCACGGAAGCTGAAACAAGTGTGATGGAACGTTATTTAAGCATGAAACAGGGGCCCACAGCTTCACAGGTCCTTCAAAGAAACCCAAAGTTCAAATCACTCTTTGACCAACTTGGCTTCGGGCCGCAAGCAAGAGAAGCAGCTGCTGTAGCCTTGATGAATATCTCTGAGGAGTCTAATTCTCAATGCTTTACAACTCAACCACAAAGGTCATTCTTGGGAAATGACAATGCTATTGTCTTTACGGACGAAGACATGGAAGTTCCATACCCGGACCATAGGAGGCCGCTTTACTTGGAGGGACAGATCAATGATGTGTTCATAAGGAGAGCTTTGGTGGACACGGGTTCCTCTGTCAACATATTACCTCTGTCTGTGCTTACGGCAGCTGGTATCCCATTGTCCAAAATTGTCCAATCACAAACAAACATCAGTGGTTTCGGGAATAAGAGTGAGGTCACAGTCGGGCATCTACAGGTACACTTGAAGGTTGGGCCAATTCGGTACTTACTAAGTTCTATGTCGTGGATGTGGATGTGGCTTACCATGCTTTGCTTGGAAGGCCATGGCTCAACAAGCATAAGCTTGTGGTCTCTACCTATCATCAATGCGTAAAAGGAAGGATTGGGCTGAGGCCGCTACGCATACCTGGAAACCAAGCACCTTTCAACAAAGATGAAGCTCACTACTCTGAAGCAGAATTCTACACTGAATGCACAGGTGCTGGAAGCAATCCATCCAAGGATTTCGGGACCTACCTTCCTTCATGGACTGAAATTCGTGATTTAAGCAATGAGGAGCTCATCACCATTGTCGATCGAGAGAGAAAGAGGCACTCGGAAGTCAACAACCATGCCTATGATCATCCCCAATGCTCAAAGGTGACGCTGCCCGATGGACGTATCGTGTACCGCTTATGACGGGGTTGGGGGCTTGACCGTGTCTTACGGGAAAGCCCCGAGTATGGAGGAAAAGTAATGCAAACAAATAGCTGTGGGAATTCCAACGACAAGGCACCCTTGCCTTGTGCTTTCCAAGAACCAATGGCAGCACCCAGACACATGCAAGATGGATCGGCAGCAGTAGCTGAGCAGCTGGAAACAATTGATTTGAGTGAGGATCCCTCTGCCCCGAGGCCCATTTCCATAAGTGTTCATTTAACAAATGAGGAGAGGGCGGCCTTGATATCTTTGCTAAAGGAATTTCGAGATGTGTTCGCTTGGAGCTATGAGGAAATGCCTGGTCTGAACCCAAGCTTAGTAAGTCATACTCTGAATATTGAGCTTGGTACAAAACCTATCGTGCAGGCAAGAAGGAATTTTCATCCTGAAGTTGAGAAGCAAATCAAGGTGGAAATTGAAAAGTTGTTAGCTGCCGGATTTATTAAACCAATCAAGCATCCTACGTGGCTAGCGAATATTGTCCCTGTGAAGAAGAAAACCGGTGTGATCAGAATATGCACGGATTATCGAGATCTCAACCGAGCTTGCCCAAAGGATGAGTTCCCGCTGCCAAACATGGATATCTTAATTGATTCGACCTCGGGTCAAGGCTTGTTGTCATTCATGGATGGGTTTAGTGGCTACAATCAGATCAAGATGTCTCCCAAGGATGCTGAAAAGACAGCCTTTCGAACACCGTATGGGAATTTTTATTATACGGTCATGCCATTCGGCCTCAAAAATGCTGGCGCCACCTACCAAAGAGCTATGACAGCGGTGTTTCACGACATGATGGGAAAAGAAGTCGAGGATTATGTGGATGACCTTGTGGTGAAGTCCAAAACCAGAGAAGGCCATCAAGAAGTTTTAAGGAGAGTGCTGGAAAGGTGTCGGCTGTACAGTTTGAAGATGAATCCAAAGAAGTGTGCGTTCGGGGTTTCATCCGGTAAATTCTTGGGGTTTCAAGTACACCAGCGTGGCATAGATGTGGATCCAGAAAAGACTAAAGCCATAAATTCTCTTGCACCGCCTAAAAGTCCAAAAGAATTGAAAAGCTTTATGGGAAGATTATCGTATATTCGGCGCTTTATCCCAGGTCTTGCTGCCACCATGAGTGCTTTTACTCCATTACTCAAGAAAGGCAAGAGGTATGAATGGAGTGAGAAGTGCCAAGAAGCTTACAAGAAGGTGCAACAAATAATCGCCAAGCTGCCCACTATGAAAGCACCTATTCCGGGGCTGCCTCTCAAGCTTTATTTGGCTGCAACAAACACAGCGGTTGGGGCCTTACTTGCTCAAGATGATCATAGTGGGGAAGAAAGTCCTATTTATTACGTAAGTAGGCAACTAAGGGGGTCTGAAGTAAGATATCCGAAAACTGAACTTTTGTGCCTTGCTCTTGTCTATGCTGCACAGCGCTTGCGGCATTACTTCCTTGCTCACAAGCTACATCTCATGGTGAAGTCTGATCCCGTAAGATATTTGCTTACAAGGCCAATATTATCCGGGCGCCTTGCACGTTGGTTGTTACAGCTGTCCGAGTTCGATATCACCTGCACCACTCCAAAAGCCATCAAAGGGCAGGCTGTTATTGACATGTTGGCTCTATTTCCCGAAGTTGAAGAATCAACAATCTCTAAGGAAGTTCTGGGGGAGCTGCCGGAAATGGTTGCTGTTGTCACGGAGGCAGAACCATGGACCCTCTACTTCGATGGGTCTTCTACATCAAAGAGTGGAGGGGCAGGTGTGGTGCTTGTCAATCCCGAGGGGCAAGCTACGGCCCTCTCGTTTAAGCTAAATTTCCCATGCACGAATAATACGGCAGAGTACGAAGCTTTTATTGCAGGGATGTCTACAGCAAGGGAAATGGGTGTCAAAAGAATTAAAATTATTGGGGATTCAAACTTGGTGCTGAGTCAATTACAAGGAAATTTCGCCGTGAAGGAACCAGCATTGGCACCATATCGTACAGCTGCTGAAAGGCTTGTTCGTTCGTTCAAACAAGTTGTGTTGGAACATACCCCGGGAGTCACCAATAGATATGCTGATGCGTTGGCCACTTTGGGGTCGAGGCTCTCATTTATTGACGAACAGCCCAATATTGCAGTAATCAAGAAGGACATACCAGTTGTTGAAGCAATGGCTCAAGAGGAGCAGCTGGAAGAGGATGACTGGAGGAAGCTTGTGAAAGAAAAAATAGGCAAAGGAAGCAACATCAAAGAATTAAAGGATTATGCGATCATCTTTGGGGAACTGTACAGACGCCTTCCGGGAGGTATTTTGACACGCTGCATAGGGATAACAGAAGCACAGGAGAAGCTTCAAGAGGTACATGAGGTCACTTGCAATTTGGAGCCAATAATCAGCCTGTACCGGCGCCTGCAGCGCAAGGGTTATTACTGGCCAGAAATGAGGAAACAAGCAGCTGAAATACAAGCCAATTGTCCCAAGTGTGCAAAAATACCTTCCACCGAGGAATCATTCACCGTCTCATTTGCGGAGGATTGGAGGGCTCCATACTTGGCATCCTTCATCAATGGAGTCTTGCCAACCAATCCCAAGCATGCACGCAAGCTCAAAAGGACAATGAAAAGATACTTCATAGATGGGTCAACTCTTTACCGTAAGGGTTTAATGGTGAGCCATTAAAATGCTTGGGAAAGTCAGAGGCACAGCAAGTCATGCAAGAAATTCATGCTGGAGAATGTGGTGAACACCAAGGAATGAAGAAGCTTTACCGGCAGCTGCTGAGTGTTGGGTATTATTGGCCTACAATGAAGAATGATGCATACGACTTTGTGAAGAGGTGTCACACATGTCAAGTTCATGCCAATTTAAGTCATAAGCCTCCCACGCTGCTGCAAGACATGCGCACCCCTTGGCCCTTCCATACTTGGGGGCTTGATTTGATCGGGACTATTCATCCACCATCCGACAGCTACATATGGATCATCACGGCCACCGAATATTTTACAAAGTGGGTAGAAGCGGTTCCCTTGCGGAAGGCCACGGAGCTGCCGTTGCCAATTTCATCCGTGAAAATATTGTATGCAGATTTGGGATCCCATACAAGATTGTCACTGACAATGGCACCCCGTTTGTCAATAAGCAAGTAAGCTCGACACTTAGTGGTTATGGTATCAAGCATCGCCGCTCCACGCCTTATTACCCACAAGGAAATGGTCAAGCGGAAGCCACAAACAAGACTTTATTGAGGATCCTAAGCAAAATGGTTTATGAGTATGAAGGAGGTTGGAGTGTTCACCTGCCGGATGCTTTATGGGCCTACCGCACCTCTTCAAGAAGTGCCACAGGTTTCTCGCCATATTCACTCGTGTACGGGTCCGATGCCATTTCACCAGTAGAGATTACCATCCCCACTGCCAGAACAGCAGCTGTTAACGACCTTGAATGGGATACAAAGTCATGCTCGGAATGGCGCCTGCTGGACCTTGAAGCCTTGGATGAAAAAAGAGCGGTAGCCGAAAAGAAGACAGCATTGTACCACAGAACCGTAGCTCAAGCCTATAACAGGACAGTCAAGCCTCGCGCCTTCAAGCAAGGAGACCTCGTGCTAAAAGTTGCGGAGCATGTGAGAAGACAAGTGTCGGGACCTTCCAAGTTTGCGCCACAATGGGAAGGCCCGTTTGCAGTCAAAGAGGTTCACAGCAGCGGCTATTATCGCTTGGTCTCTGTCAAAGAAGGCACGCTAACCGACCCCGTCAATGGGAAGTGGCTCAAGCTCTATTACTGCTAAGTTAACTTTATGCCTAGTACTTTTGTATTCTCTCTCTGTCAAAAAAAAATAAACTCCTTCTGTCTTATTTTCACGTTTTGAAAAAAAAGACACTTTTGTATGATGCACCATTATGGTAGCAAGGGCTTTTGCAATGAAAATGAAGGAATATTTTGAAAAATATATATTGTGTCTCCAAAACTTTACTATTATTAACCCTTTATCAAATTTTCCATATATATATATATATATATATAAACATGCTACTTAGCAGTAAAACATGCCGGGCAAAGTCATTTAGATGGGGTCCCCAAGCATCACGCTTAAGCAAAAAAAAAAAAAATTAATAGCATAAGGCATAGAAACATGCAATTCTGAGATGCTGGAACGATACGATATAACACCTGGAAGCTTTATAGAGCTCGGCCAGAAATCATGCACATGTTGGATCGACCCTTTGGGAAAGGTGGGAAGCTATTTTGTCAAGCTTAGAATCTAGATAAGCCATGCAAAAGAAGCTTTCGAAGACTCGGTTTCTAAAAAAAAATTTGACAGCATATACCCTGTTTTCAATGATATCCAACCTGTCAAAATGTCAAGCAGTCCATAAAGACAATTCTGGCCAACAAAGCAGTATATATACATATCTACACCGGAAATATGCAACATGCCTCAAGCATTCAGAAATTCATACAAGCTTCGGTAGTTTAATATCAAAATTACAAAGGCATAACGACGTAGTCGTTAGAGTCTCAAAAGAAAAAAAAAACAACACTACAAACAAAGCAAAATAAAGCTGCATCTGCTGAAGGTTCACGCGCCCTTAAGTCACGAAGAAAAGCAGGATCACGGGCCAAGCTAAATGGTCACTAAGCCAAGGATGGGCAATCTGCAAAAGATAAAAGAAAATGTGTGTCAAAAAATAGCTGCTGCTGGAATACGTAATATAAAAAATATAATGGATAAGCTGAGTACCTGTAGGCTATGGGGAATGTCCAAAAAGAACAAAGGAAGCCCCAGGAGATAATCTGGCTGCTGCCTCCGTCACGCACTCAGCGCTGTCAACAGAAACTCCCTTAGCAAGAAGAAGGGCATGCATCTCCCGGCGCTGGTTTTCCAACTCTTGCTGTTTAATATTCAAGGCGTTTGCAGCGGCTTTTACTTCATCGGAATCATGCGATAATTGCATACTACGAATGGCCCGTGCTCCAAAAACGGCACGTGCTAAGCTCTTCACGAGTTTAAGGAGAAATTCCACAGGAAAGCCCAGAATCATGGCCTCGCATATTGCATCTCGCCAACAGAGCAGTTTATGATCTGTAATATCAAGGAGTTGCATGGTGTCCATCCCATGAAGTACTAAGCCAAGCGCTCGAAGGGCAGTACCCCTTGAGAAAGAGGAGGTGACATCTGTAGCTTCCAGCAAACTCCCGTATTTGTCCATGAACTTTTTCAAGGCTCCAACCGTCTCTGGATACACAAGGGCGCCTTGGAATGTTGCATAACCATCGAATCTGTGGCAAAGCGGAAGAAGTTCATCAATGGATCTAAGAATGGTGACACCACCATCAAAGAAGGCTTTGAATGCCGTGTAGGAATTCTCCCAATCTTGCCAAGACATGCCTTTCTCGAATGAAGGCCCTTTTGAGGAACCTGCGATAAAAGCATCAACATTCTTATCACAGAGATGTGCTGCTGGAAGAGGTGGAGCGGTGCCGGAAGCTATGTCAGGTGTGCTCGAGATTGGGAGAGTAAGGGGATGTGCTGCTGGAAGAAGTAGAGCAGTGCCGGAAGCTATGGCAGGTACGTTCGGAAATTGGAGAAATAGGAGGAGGAACTGTTGGAAGTAGTGGAGAGGCATCAGCAGCCATGTCAGGGGTACATGGGTTAGGAGAAGGAGGAGGTTGCACTGCCGGAAGGCTCAGGACAACTTCAGCGACAGTAGTGGGAAGGGCAAAATCAGCCTCCGATGAAGCACCTATCGTGCCTTCAATGGCGGGCACGACCTGCAGAAGAAAGACGGAGTATGAGCTAGAGGACACAACGGGCAGCATGCAATGTCAATATTCCAAAGCAAAACAAGCAAGAGGGATATTTGATACCAGTTCAATATCGACACACTGTCCATGATCGCCAGTCAAAGCAGGAGTCGTATCTGAGTCATCGAACTCCCCCAAGCTAGTGCCGAAAGCCGGATAGGTGTCTTCGTCGTGACTATCGTATTGGCCTTCATCAAAGTCCTCGTCCATGCCACTCGTATCGTGAGCACTCTCTTGCTCATGAATGTTAGCCTCAGTTCCCGCAGCGCCATCGCCATCACTATCATCATCACTGTTATCATCAACCGTCACCACTACTTTGGGTCCCGAGTCTTCACCCTTATTCTTTCGGGTATTAGCAAACCGCGTTTCAAGAATACGCATGCTTCGACGTTTCGGGGTTGCGGAAAACCCCTTACCCTTGCCTTTACTTGGGAAGTACCTGTAGAATAAGATGAAAGGGATACTTATATATACGCAAAGAGCGGGGAACAAAGGGAGCAAACAAATAGCAATACTTACTGTGAGGAGATGAAGCTTTTAGAGCTGCTCGCTCGCTGCTGCCGGAAGCTGTAGGCTGCTGCTGTAAGGACTCGGGCAAGGCAACCTTTCTTGAGCTGGGAGGACCACCTGCCGCTACCTTGGGGATGAACCTTTTCGGTTCTTTTACAGCTTGCCTTTTCTCGGCGCTGCAGCTTTCCTCACGCTTCCGTTTCCCATGTGCAACACTCTTCCCGGCACTATGAGAACCCGACTTTTCCAACTTCCGCTTTAGCTTCGAAAAATCACCAACAATTTCTCCACTCTTGGAGATAAAGGGCAGATTTCGCTTCTCGCTCAGGGAAATGGCTTTCTCTTCCGACACTAAACGGGCATGATGAATGACGGTGGGAATCAAGCTATCACAATGGGCAGCATGGAATCGGCTGAACGAGGCAAAGCAGCGGTTCCAATAATTTTGGTAGGCCTTTGAGAGACCACCAACGCGCTTTCCGGCTGGCCAGAGCAAGGGCGAGAGGCCTGCCGTCTCCCGGCACGCTGTCACCAGTCCAGAAAACCCTGTGCAAGCTCAAGGAATCTCCATGGTTGGGACAAGAGGGCACACCTTGGTCAAACCCAAGCTGTCGTCTAACCCGTAAGGGGAATAATGCACAGAAGTCTCCAAGTGGTCATCACCGAATGTGGGCAGAGGGAGGCATGCGGCACTCATCAATGCCTCTCTGCGTAACCGACAACCTTGTGTTGGCATGGCCAGGGCCTCCATTAAAGCAGCAGAATCAGCATAGAGGGGCATACTTTTAAAGCCCTCTGATGAGGCACAATAGGGGCGAAAAATAAATTGCTCAACATCGTCCAGCAGCTCTAAAAAATTTTGGCCCTTCCGTTGCATGCGACGGAACCATCTACAGATCAGAGGAAGACTACCCGGCACGTAGGAATCCTCGTCCGAAGCAACCAGCGACTCAGCCTTTGAATAAGGGAGTGGAGATACCTCTATCCCTTTGAAGCGTTCCCATAAAAAGATCTGCAGAAAACTGGAGTTTACAAAAGTCTCCACAGCCATGGTTCCGGCCGCCCCCTTCTCAAGAAATTGAATCTGGTCAAGTAAGCGATATAAGTGCCCCAAGAACATGGGGGCTAAAGGGATCATGCTACCCCGTGCTATTGCCAAAGCCAACGGAAACACTCTCCCATGCAAGCAGTCCTGAGAAAAATCACAAAAGAGGAACCTCCCGAGCCACAAGGACACAAACGCAGCAAGGCGACACGGCTCGTCTCGATCACTGTTCCCAAAAAACTGAATCCAATTACTGAATCTTAGAGAGGTACTAGGAGAGGTCGGGGCACCTTTTCGCAAAATCTCAAGCTTTGGCCCATCTTCCGCGGTTAATGCAATATGGAAAGGATCTTGGCTGCCGCAAAGTGGGAGATGGAAGATATTAGCTACATCCTCAAGCGTGGGAGTGAACTCTCCCCACGAACAAATAAAAGTGTGCGTCTCAGTGCTCCACCGTCTAACCAAGTGTCGAAGCGTCTTGACTTCAATATGGATGTCGCAAGCCTTAGAAGCAAAGATGGCTTCCAACACGCCTGCCCGGCTTAGGATATCACGGGTAGATGGGTTCTTCAGTTCAGCATCAACCCACTCCGACCAACCCTTGCTGGTGCTGCAGGGATATTGAAAGAACAAAGGAACTGCCGGAAACAGACCCCTTTCTATGCAGCACCTTGATACGGACGCAGGGTCAATCACTGAAGTAGCTTCTGGCGCTGGTTCTTCATCAATAATTACATCCTCGGTACCCTTAAGCAAAGGAGGAGGTCTCCCTCTCTTCAACTTGTCATCTACGGAGTAAAGATGATCCCTTATGATAAATGGTGGATTACCGGATGCCATAATGGGTACCTGCGCATAGAAACATGGAAAGAAGCAAAATAGAATCAGCACACGCAAAATACGGGGCTAGTTGAGTTTATCCAAGCAAACATGCAATTTAAAATTCAAGCTCATGACAAGTAAGAGTCTCGCTTTGTGATCAACAAGCAGGACAAGCAAGTCCCTTCTCAGAATAAAAAATAAAAATAAAAAAATTCAACCAGGCAGTACAAAACATGCACTCTGTCTTCCTCCACAGGCAACACACGCAGAATTCCATAATCGATCAAGCATGTGTTCTCAAGAAAAGAAAAAAAAGGAGAGCCTAAGCCAAGCATCAGTCTACACCTATTCTAAAATACTCAGAGTTAGCAGAGTTATTGCCAAAGTCTAAGTTAGAAGACTGAAGGGTTTGAAGGTTCCAGCAGCAAAATGTCAAGGGTTTCCAGCACCTACCTATGCCCAAGATGCGTGTACCTGCACAAAAAATAAAAGCACGTCATGCCAAGTCAGCCTTTTACACATAAAAGGGGAGGCCCGTGCAAAATAAAAAGAAGGGGGAGAAACCCAAGCCAACAAGAAAGAAAAAAAAAGTTACCTTTCCAGCAGCTCGAGCAAAATCAACGAAGGAAGAAACCTAGACAATGGCACGGGCCCTTCCTTGCTAGCACCCACTCCGTGAGCACTATTGGTGCAGTGGAAACAAGATGGGTAGAAAAGGGGTTTTGGGTATTTGGCTGCCAAAACAAAAGGCAACATCTATGGGTATGAGAAACCCAACAAATTCTCCAAATCCATCTAAAGGAAAACTGGAAAAAGGAGGGTACCTTGTTAAATCTTCCAAGGGATGACGTTGAATGCACCAAAAATAGAAGAAAACCAGGGATTTGAAGGCAAAATTCGCACAAAGAAGGACCTTTCCAGCAGCGACGAACGGGCTCCTTTGGAACGAAGATGGAACGACGGGGCTGGGTTCGACTTGGGTCTTCTTCCCAGCCGCTGGAGATGGGTGATTCCTACCCGATTGCACTTTCTTCCTTGGTCTGGCTTCGTGGAAGGGCAAGAGAGAACGCAAGAAAAATAGTTGGAGAGAAGTTTTGGTCTGGAGCGTGAAAAGGCGAAGGAAAGTTTGGAAATTAATGTCTGGTGCAAGAAAAGAGAAATAAAAGGGAGGAAAATAATAAAATAACGAGAGGAAGGCAGTTGGCGTTGGAAACTGCAAGTAACCACCGGGATCAATCATGGCACGCCGTCATTTTGCACGCGGGAAGAAGAAGAGTCCTATGCAAATACAAATCTGATTTTTTGGGTTGGGTTTTAATTATTCGGCCCATTCCAGCACCTGTTCATGGCCCTTATAATTAAGGGGGCTAATGTTGAGGCCCAAAAAATCCATGGATTGGGCCCGAACAATTATCAGCCCAATACAATATTTCATAAGGGAAAAGAAAAAAGGGATCTATCGCATGCAAGTTATAACCCACACGCCACGCTAAATAAACAAATTATCATGCTATGATAAAATACAATCATGCTAAAAAATTAAAACAATCCTTCAAAAGGGCGATAAAGTAAAATATGCCGAGCAACATGCCGTGCCGTTATCTCGCACCCAACCACGCTACAAGCCTAGGTGGGCCCAAGCCACTCAAAAAAGACCCGGGGCTTGCTTGAGTGGGTTGTGGCATGGATGGTAATAAATCAACATGAGGCCCATTGATGGACCAAGAAATGGAAAGTCTCGGGTTGCTTGGGAGCCTCGAGACTCAAGCCCATTTCTTAGGTCCAAACATGTGGGTAAGCACAAGAGAGAAAAAATAGCCCAAAAGCCCAAGCAAAATAACCTAGCCAAAAGATAACCCAACCAAAAAATAATAATAAGCCCAAATCAAGCCCAATAAGCCCATTTGCTTAGAAAGCCATCTTGGCCCTTAGAAAAACCCAAAAAAGGCCCACAAGAGCTTCAGCCTTTTTTGAAAAACAGAGAACACGTGAAGTAGATGGCAGACTCCTTAAGTAAGCTGCTGGAAACCAGTCCCAAGCCAGAGACATCCAAAGAACCGATGAATACCATCCTGCATGCTGTCAGAAGCATCCCTTGGACCAGCATACATTTGCACCTACTTTCCTTCATCAGATTCAGCCAAGGAGGAGGAAAGAAAAGGAAGAAAAACAGCAAACTAAGAGTGGAAGCCCTCATTGCACAGCCGCGGGAAAGAGGGATGTTGAGCCCCCAAATCTCCCAAATTCATGAAGATAGACAGAAGCCATCTTTGCCAAGAAAGGGAAGTCAGAGAAGGGGAGGAGAAAGGAAGAAAATCTCAGCCAAAGTAAGAAGGAGCCATTAGGGTTTCTTGAAAAATGGTGATTTCCGGCAGCTATAAATTAAGCCTTCCCCTACCCAACAAACACAACTCACAACCTGCAGAGAGCAAGCTTTTCTCTCTATCTTGCAAAACTTAGATTCGTGCACTGTTCATCTTCTTCTCCAATTTGTTCTTCTGGTAGCTGCTGGAAGAACCCTGTCTCTCTTTTTCTCTTTCTCTAGCCAAAATTCCTCACAAAACACCCCATTCCTTACTTAAACGCTTTCATTCCTCATAAACCAAGCCTAATTTCTCTCTTAGTGCTAAACCCATGTTGGTTTTGCTCTCCATGCCTCATGCCACTCATGCTGAGCCTAAAAACCATCTGAAAGCATGCCAAAATTATCTGTAAGTCACTATTATTCTCATTGGTGAAGGTTACTCAAAATATCTCCTAAGGTTTCGCTGCCCTTTCGAGGTATTTTGAGGCTTAATTTTCGAACCTAAACGAAAAGGGGCAATCTCCTCAGTCCACCTTTTGCAGCAGCCCAGCCCGTTAGCTGCAGGAAGAAAAAGTCCCCTACAGGTGGGATACTTACGTTTTACATCATTTGTGCAAGAGGGCAGTTGCAATGGCTCCTTCGACCAACGACACAAAAGTATCAATTTCTCTCGTATTTATATTTATATAAAAAAAATTATGTACTATTGCATAACTTTTTGTGTTTAATAATAGAGGCCTTATATATATCACAAATATAGAGCCGGAGTCTTACACACACAATATTAATTTATCATGAAAATTCGAACTTAAAATTATTAATTTGTAAATCAATATATCCAGACTTGCACAAAACTAATTGAACCAACCAAAAAAAATCACTATTATACCTAATATAGGAGCCTAAATTATAAAAATACCATATATGAAATGGGCTTTAAAAACACACCCAAAATCATTTATAACATAACAAAAAGGCTTTTAATTTCTTTTAAATTACAAAACTGCTATTGATTTCTTAAAACAAACTCAACTCTAAAACCTCATAAAAAAGTCTCAAACACGTACTAAGGCATCAAAGTAATTTAATAATCAAAATTAAATTCAATAGAGTCAGCTATCATTTTTTGAGTTTTTTTGGGATTTGTTTATAGAAATTAAATAGTGCATGATTTATTTATAATTTTAATGCTAAGAGTGGGTATATGACTAAATATCTCAACAACACCAAAAAAAAAAACACACGTTCTGGCTCAGAAAAGATGTAGTCGATATTATTATCTTGTTATAAATTAATAACGAAAAGATAAATACTAGGATAGAAAAGTTACAATATTACGTTACAGACAAAATGAAAATCCCCAGGACGGTGGGTACTACGTCATGGATGACGACAACCGGCGAGTGAGTGAGTCACCATGAGAAGGCCGCAATCCCCACTGCATCCTCATCATAATTTATTTTCAAGTTATCATAGATCGTACACAACAATATTTTGCTAATCTCAATTATTAAGCGGGGTCCAACAAGAACATGATGTTTAAGCTCAATTATTTAGTCTTTATTCGTCCCACGAGGAGAGACGCGAATAGAGAAGCCAAAGTATCATATTCATGGGTGAGGCTGCTGACTGAGCAAAATCCAAACTTGGTTCCATTATCTTCTCCCTTCTTTCATATCTATGTCTACCGAAGCCACCATTTTAACTCTTGCGTCAAGTTCGTAGCTCAAATTATACTCACTCAAAATGACTCAACCATATAATTTTAATTCTATTTTATATGTTGGTATTTGACTTTTTCACTTATGGAGACAAATACGGCATTTGTTCTACCAGTTCAATGTAGGGTTTTTTTGCTTATATTTACCCTCTGTTTGGATGAAAAAATTGAAAATTGCATAGAATTCTTAGATGACGGAATGTAACATTTAAATTAATCTACTTAGGATGTATGATTTTATCTTGTGAAATAGGTTGATATAGAATTAAAGCAAATTCAACTAAACTCTAACCTGAATTGCAAAGTAGATGTTGAAATTGGATTTATGTTCAAAGTGACCATGTAAGAGTAGTTAAATAGCAAAAACCAAAGAAAGCATAACTTAAATGAAATTAAAATTTAACATTTTATTCTTCATCAAATATTTTTAAAGGTTTTTTAGGTTTTAGACATAAAAAAATTTCACTTTTGGAAAAAGCCAAAGCTTTTTCAAAAAGACAAAAAAACCGCTCAACTTTCAAATTAAAGACATGCAAATGTATTGGATTTCTTAGAAAATCTAAAAATAAATAAGGGCATTTGGTCCATTTTTGCTTCTTTTAAAATTTGTCTATCTCCTTTTGCTTTTTCCAAAATGTCCATATTTTTAAACATGTTATTATGATTTTACATTGCATATAAAAGAAACAAAAATAAAAATAAAAATAAAAGTGCCCTCGTTCTTCCCGCATCGTAGTCACGTGCTTTTCCATCCCCATTCGTATTAATAGCGATCCTGCCTTTTTGTCGCTGACCAACCCAATTGTACCACGACCCATCTCCACCGTCCAGATCAATTACAATTTACAACCAAACCAACACGTGAATTCTTGCAGAAAATTAAAATTAAAATTAAGGTCGGGGTAAAAATGAATATTAATAAATAAAAAATAAGAAGCTAGCAATTAAAATGGCAGGCCTGAGAAAAAAGGTGTCGACGATGGTCATGTTAAAGCTAGCGATCTTTTATGCTGTGTTGTTGATTGGGTTCCTCCCCCGCCCAGTTCACCCGAAAAATTAAATTTATTTATTTTAATAATACAGCACGTCAGCGACTTCCCAAGATAGAAAGATAGATTGTCTTCCCAATCATGCACTACACTTCCCATTCCCACTTTAGCAAAATAATATATTTATATAAAAAATCACCATCACAATCGAAAAGCCGAAATTGATAGACACACTCTCCCTCCTCCCTTGTCATTTCTTGCTCATTACAAATTTTCTACTCTGAAAAAATCTGCAAGGAAAAATTTGAAATCAGTCTTAAACAGCAAGCAAAGCAGATTTGAAGAACCCATCGGCATAGTTTGCTTCAAGACGATAGAGATTAGGAAGGAAGAAAAATTAGCATGGAGAGCCCGAAATCCAGAAGCGGGGAGGGCGTACCCTGCGATTTCTGCACTGATCAGCCGGCGGTTCTCTACTGTAAGGCCGACTCCGCCAAGCTCTGCTTATTCTGCGACCAGCACGTGCACTCCGCCAACTTGCTCTCCCGGAAGCACGTGCGCTCTCAGATCTGTGATAATTGCGCGTCCGAGCCCGTCTCCGTCCGCTGCTCCACCGACAACCTCGTTCTCTGCCACGAGTGCGATTGGGACGCCCACGGTAGCTGCTCTGTCTCCGCCGCACACGATCGCACCCCTCTCGATGGCTTCTCCGGCTGCCCCTCCGCGCTCCAGCTCGCCTCCCTGCTGGGCCTCGATCTCCACGACAAGAACCTTCCGGGTCGACCCGACCCGCAGCTCCAGAACTGGGATATGGGTATGCCCTCCCTGGATTCTTCTTGGAGTGGGATGGGCCTGCAGGACTTGATGGTGCCCAACCACAACCAGAACGGCGTCGTTTACCCGAATGATGAGCTGATGGTGAAGAGACAGAGTGGCGGGGGCATTAGCGGGAAGCAGAAGCAAGGGATACAGAAGCAGCTGGTGGAGTTGCTTAAGAGAGACTTGGACGGTGGCGGTGGCGGTGGCGGTGGAGGTGGTGGTGGCGGTGGCGGTGGCGATGGCGGTGGTTGTGGTGATGGTGGAGAGAATTTGGTGGTGCCGCGGACGCCGACAAGCAGTGGTTGGCAGGAGGACAATGGAAATGGGAACGTGGAAGGTCTTGAACCGCTTGATCTGGGGAATAGGAATGGAGGTGTTGATGGGGTTGTAGCTTCTGCTGCCAATTCGCAGCCATTGTTGCAGCGACAAGCGCCCTTTACGTCTCTGCTTATGATGCCTGAAGAGAACCGTGGCATTGTCGACGGTGACATGTTGTGGAATAGCAACCCCCATGGTCAGAGCAGTCAGGTATTGTCTTCAATTGCTAAACTGAGCTTAGTTAAAACGCATTGATAACGAATTTGCATCGTTTGTTTATTTGAAGACAATGGAAACAAGAGTTACAAGTTTCTGTTCTAGTTTACTGCTCTCATCCCATTTGTAGTGAACAATTCTTCTTATAATTCCTTCATCTGTCTAATACTAAATCTAGAAAATTGTATAGTGGCATGTTCGAGACAAAATTAGTTTTTTCAAGTTCATGAGGTGTCAATTGCGAACTCTCATTTCTCATGGTTCCCTTTCTTTTTTCTTTTCTTTTTTGGTTTACTATTTGCAAGTCATATATTAGCTTTGACAGGGGTGAATTGTTTGCAGTATTAAAGGTTTCATCTGCTTTAGATCCCCCTGCAAGGCAATTTACTCATAATTCTACGGTGTAGATTTCAGTTGTGTTTTGGGTGCACCTATGACAATCATGCTAATTGCTACTGGCTTGCAGATATGGGATTTCCATTTAGGACGGTCGAGGGATCATGAAGAATCAGGTCCATTGGAAGTCACATATGGTTCAAACGATTCAGGATTTATGATTAAGAATTTTGGTGAACTTATGAAAGAAACATCTTTGACTGATACAAAAATGTTCAGAGATATGTACCAGATGAACTGCCCTGTTGGACATGATGATATAAAATTCAATGTGAGTTCTTTCTGTATTCATTTGTTTGTTCAATCACTTTTTTTTTTTCTAAAGTTCCCTCAGGCATTTTATGTACATCAAGAGTACCATACAGTCCTCTCGTGTGACCGTTTGTCATGTTCAAGTATTTAGTATCTCAATCAATATTGACAGCTTTCTAGTGTGTAGTTGTTGTCTAACATACACTAGCACCCCTGTATGTGATTTGTTGAACCTCTCTTTTCAGTCTTGAGAAATGTACAAAATTCTGTATGTTAAATCCCTCTTTTTTATGCAGTTAGAGTAGAATTTTAACAAAATGGTCAAGATTGTAAACAAAAGGTGTTTTGATTGTTAGTCTATGTAAGTGGAGTTTTGATCATGGCATTCACACATTTTACATACATGAGTATCACTAAACCATCTGTAAGCAGGGCTTACGCTTTTCTTCATGTATGCAAATTTTGCTTCTTTAATTGTGAGGGGGCAGTGGAATATTGTGATGTTTATAATTCAAAAATGCAGAACAACTCCAATAACCCCGCACCCAGTCAGGGGCCAGCAACATCTGAGAGCAACAACATCCCTGTTGGGCGGCCGTCATTGGGGTCAGCTTTTGGTGAAGACAAAGGCTCTGGTGCTTCTACAGATCTCAATTTTATGGAACAATCTTTTCTGATGAGAGGTGACAGTCTGAGAACGGTAGGCACAAAGGCTGACATGGAGCTACTTGCACAAAACAGAGGCAACGCTATGCTACGTTACAAAGAGAAGAAGAAAACCCGAAGGTATGTTGCCCTTTTTGTCTTCTTTTAATGCTTTACGCAGTCCTGTCGTCAACATAACTATATAATAGAGTTGTTCCCTTTTTTTTGTGAGTAGATATGATAAGCACATAAGATATGAGTCAAGGAAAGCAAGAGCTGATACTAGGAAGCGAGTCAAGGGTCGATTTGTGAAGGCTACTGAGGGTCCTGATGGTTAGATCAGATCCATGTTGAGTTGGGGCTTCTCATATCTTCTTGTTTGTAAATATTGGTTACTTTCCTCGCAAGGCAAATGTATAAATTCTGCAGTCTTTATTTCATCAAATCAAATATTATTTGTTTCTTCTGTTTCTCCGTCTGTCTCTCTCTCTCTTTGGTGTGCACGCCTATATGAACAGCAACCTCTGCTCTCCCGAAAAGAAAAAAACAAAAAAGATAAGGGGAAAAGAAACCAAGTTATCCTTTATAGCGTATACCTTCTGGCTTCTGCTAAGTCAACACACTGAATTCTGGCCAAAATTAGAAAAAATAATATTCTCTCATTTGGCCAAATAGAAAATGAAATCTTACTATTGTCTCTTCACATTTTGTCACAAATTCTCTGAATTTTTTTTATGATTGGTTTATGACTTTATAGGCTTGTTCTAGAAGTGGAAGGACGGCTTCACGTCACATACAATGTAAAAGATTACAGAATTATTTGACATTCACTCACTCATTATAGATATCGGTCTCTCTAGGCAAAGTTGTGTTGACTCTTCAATGTTGAAGCATTCCGCTGGTCACCAATTTAATAGTCCCAACAACAGCAGCACATTGTCTGCCTGTTCTCCTCATCTATATATATCAATGTCAATACCGGTTGGCTTATATTCTCTTCTGCATAAAATCCCAGCTCCTCCTCCTCTGCCATTTGAGTTGCAGTTTGACCTTATCGTTTATAGAGTTGATTGATTTCTTCCTCTGCGTGATGGGTTGTCGAGTTTTGCTGGGTTTTCTGCTTGCAGCAGCAGCAGTCATTGCATCGGTGGATTGCAACTCTGAAGGTATGCAAGCAAATTGAAGTCTTGTTATGTTCATTCACGATCATGGGAAAATTCAACCCCATTTCATGTTATTAATCTAATTTACAGGAAGCGGTATTCCAACTTAGATGCAAGGACCAGCTCACTGTCCTGCCTGACTGACCAAACTCGCGTCTAACCCAAATTCATCTTATGTTGGTTTAATAATTGGGTTTTTCATCGCTTAATTTTTGAACAGGTGATATTCTGAATGCCTGGAAAACCCAGTTGACCGACCCAAACAATGTCCTTCAGAGCTGGGACCCAACTTTGATCAACCCATGCACCTATTTCCACGTTACTTGCAATTCCGAAAACAGCGTTACAAGGCTGTAAGTGGTTTTAAATTAACAACATTGAACTTGCCCGGCTCATGCAAATTTTACTAATTAGCTTTGTTAACATATGAAGGGACCTTGGGAATGCAAGCCTGTCAGGACCTCTTATCCCTGAGCTTGGAAACTTGACTAACCTTCAATACTTGTAAGACCTTCTTAATTTCTCATCTCTCAAACTACAAATTGGATTAGTCTTCTTGATTGAGTATAATGAATCATTGATTAATTAATTTATTAATGGCATTGCAGGGAGGTGTTTGGCAACAGACTGTTTGGATCTATTCCAAATGAAATTGGTAACTTAAGAAACTTGGTCAGCTTGGACCTCTACAAGAACAATTTCACAGGGAGAATTCCAAAATCATTTGGACACTTGCATTTCTTGAGGTTCTTGTAAGTAAATATATTATGTCTCCACTTAAAAAATGCAATTTTCCTCGAGTTGTCTGAATTCCTTCAAACCATTTGAATTATTTGGCTCAACGTAACAACAATATTGGTGTCGGTAATTCTGAATTCTGATCATATGGGGGGCTGTATATTGATTCTACTGGCAGGAGGGTCTTTAGCAATAGCTTGACCGGACGTATTCCTCCAAATTTTGGCAATTTGACATCTTTGGAAATCCTGTAAGTTTGATACAATCGATATTCTATTTTTAATATTTGAACTCGGTTGCAGAGTTAGGAGCACATCCGCTCTAGCTAACTTGACTAAGTCCATGTCTGTTGTATATACATATATAAGAAGCATTCGTATCTGTTAATTCTCTTTCTTACTCAGTCAACCATGCTTTTATTTTTTATTTTTTTTTCAGGGAATTAAACAGTAACAGGCTCACTGGCCCTCTACCATTTGTGGTCCTTGAACTGGTTCGATTTGGGCAGCTGAAGCATTTGTGAGTTTATTGGTTCCCTTTGTTAAGTCGTCTAGAAAAAGGTGGCATGTGTTCCTTCTTGATCTAACCATTAGGAGGATTGTTTCAACTTTGATTTTGTCTGCAGGGACGTCTCAGACAATCTGTTGGCAGGAACTGTACACCGCACCAATTCAACAAGTAATCAAAGAAATACTAATTTACCATTCACTATGAAGTTACCAATCATCCTTGTTTATTCATTGATTAATCTTAGTTTAAATAACCTTTTTTTTTCCCTTTTTTTTTTGGTGTGTTAAAGGATTTCGAGTTACCACAATAATACAAGATCCACAAGCTTAGAAATAAGCGAAGCGAAGGAAGGTACAGCTATATATAAAATAAAATCCGTATTTCTAAAGCCCAATAAACCTCTACATGTTTTGTACATGTAAGCTTTATACTATTCTGTTTTCATTTCATAGAGGGTGATATCTTTTGATCCACTCTTGGAATTATTGTATTTATATTAAAGTCATGTAGAGCTAATCAATACCAATTATTTATCATTATAAGTCTTCGATATTTTTAATTGAATTACTAATCATGTTGGCCATCACATGTCTCGTAGCATGAGATTCACTTACATAAGTATGTCAAATTTGAGTTATACATGAGCGAAATCAATGACAGATTCATGAATTTTCTTCCGAGACAATATTAGAAGCTCCTTAATATTTGTTCGTAAAAGAAGAGAGCCTATTATAGTAGGCCACAGACAGAGCTTCCAAATTTGTGTAATCGGCCCAGTACGGCCCGTTAATTACCTTGAACCAGGTCCAACATTACTTTTCTTCAGTGACCAAAACCTAATAATTTGCTGGCAACTTTGTTTCTCTATCTTTTAAACTTTTTGTTAGGGTCACATGTCAGCAGTTTTATTTTCAAACTAGAATTCTTTGATTACAATTTGGTACCAGAGATTTGAAATGAGAGCTTAGTAGAGGCCCCAGAGACAACTAGAAAAGTGACTTTGGATGATCCAGCTTTATAAAGTACAAATCAAATTCGAGTAGGGAAGGTCAAAAGCAGGGGGAAGCTGTTTGCCTTTATCATTAAGATTGTCAATCAGTCAATAATTCATCATTCAAAACTAATAAAAAGATAACTTTGTTGACCCTCCTTCTTCCTCCTGCTCTGGAATTAACTACTAAATTTGTAAGTATCATGCAAGCCATCATGTAAAAACTGTAAGTTGGATTTTTTTAAAACTGAGATTTTATGTATTTGAATGGAGTTGGTAAAAGTAATGGGCTGATTTGAATCTAGCTTTAGATGGAGTCAATGGTCAACCTTTGTGTCTCTCTCTCTCTCTCTTAAAGCAACGGGGGGTAGGGTAGGTTTGGGAGAAACTCCCGAGGGGTAGTGATTATACACTCAAAGGTCCGTATATATAGAAAGCTTTTATCTTTGAAGAAGATGAAATATCAAATGGATGGCTTTTCACAGTTTGTTTTTCTTTTTTCCCACCTTTTTCCAATTCTATGATGAAGTAAAAAAGAAGTGGGAGAGTGTTAGTGCTTTGCTTTGGCTTTGTCAAGTCTCACTTCTTTTAAGGAGGAGAAGGAAGAGGTGGTGGTGGTGAGCAATGAGCAATGAGCAATGAGCAATGAGCAACATGAATGATTGATCCATGCCTATATATCTAAGATCATATATACACCAAAAGTCTTTGGATTGCCCCACCCCGCACCAACAACAAACCACACTCGTCTGTAATTAATTCTATATCTAATAAAATGGAACACTCTACACTTCTGTTATACACACACACATGTACATGTTGCAGATCAATCAACCACATAAAAAGTCATGGACTCGTGATGAAGATGGAGACTACTTAAAACCAACAAGACATGGGACCCCACCTCTCTCTCTCTCTCTCTCTCTCTCGATATATATATATATAAATCTTGTCACAGTAGCCATAAAAAGACGAGTCTCACATCACATGCCTACTACAATCACCACATCTCTCTGTAATTCTTTCTTGGTGGCAGAGTGGACCTGCTGCAGTTACATAGCAAAACTACTGTGCACTGTCTAAACGAATCAAAACTTGGATATTGTATGTGGGTTTTTCTCTAAAAACCTTGTGCTGCACAACAATTGAACTGGAGCAGCGGATCATCCTTCTAGAATTTGAAATGGAGGCCAAGAAATTTGCTTGGTGCAAGTTGGTTGACCTTGGTAATGTTCATGGAACCCTGTTCTCTTAAAAGATAAGCCTCACAATGCCGAATCTGGGTATCAAAGTTTTATATTAATCCAGTTTAGACAGATTTTATTGGGCAATTAGGGTTATTCCCGACCACCACCACAGATTTCCAAGTTGCATAAATATTATTCCCCAATGCTCTTTATAATTGTCCATATCTATCTATCTATCTATGCTTTAACCTAGGGGAATAAAACAAAAGCCAAATAAATCAAACTAGAAAACATGCACTTGTTTAAAGCAAAGCAAGCAAAACAAAGTATTATTATTAAAGTTTATAGAATTGGATAAAGCAGTGTCAGGTTATAAAGAAGTCTCTCCTTCTGTTGCGGAATCAGTACTTAGATGATACATCATCCCTCAATTCAATTATGCACTGTGCAGTGCTTATGGGACCGCCTGCAATTTTTCTTTTTTCCTTTATTTTGTGTGAGACGTCCTGCAACTGATAATAATTTTTGCAGGGTTTTATACAACAAGTCTATTGTTTTGCCTCCGACAGGGTTTAAAAGATATGTCTGGATTCTCCCACCCATCTCTCTTGTCAAAGCTGGCAGGCATGCACGCAAACCCTCTACTCTGTTTTCACATTATTATTCTCAGTTTTACTACAAAAGACAAAGAAAACACTCCAAAATTAAATTGAACACAATGGGAGGGAATGGAAAATTTGGTTTGTCTCAACTCTCAGTCATATTTTTATAAATATGCATTAAGTTAATAATGCATATCACTTTTTGCTATTTTCACCGAATAGCGCAACGACAAATATGATAATTTTTTCACGTGTCATTGTATTATTGTTCAAGGATAGCAAAATAATGTTATCCTCGTTACAAGAAAGTTTTTTACCCTATTGGACCTATCAATCCCATTTGGCTGCAGCGGCTAATCCCAAACACGAATTTTTGTGTACCTTTCAGAAGGTGTGTAGAGCACTTGCTCAAGTGCTTGCACCACCTCCTTCCATCCTTAGGTCGTTGGTTTCCTTGATTTTGGGAAGTGCATTCCCGGGTTTGTTCTTTGATTGGATTCTATTTTCGTTTTGGTGCTTTAGTGATTTCGTTTTTTATGGAGTTGATGAGCAGGGCCGGCCCTGGGCCTGGACCCCGAGGGCGACGACCTCTGGCCCCGGATCAAGGGGCCCAAATTTTTTAATATATGTATATTATATATAATTATTTATACCCCATAAATAAAGTGATTTTTTTAAGTTAAAAAATATAAAGGCCCAAATAAAAACGAGTTCAAATCTTTAACAATAGAAGGCCCCATATTTAAAAACTAAAACTTTTTTTTGGAACAACAAATATGCAATTAATCCAATCCTTCATGAAAAATGTTTAGTTCTTTTTTTATTTAGTGGGTGGTGGTGGGTTTTGTTTTTTTTTTTTTTTTTTTTTTTTTTTTTAGATTTTATATGATTTATGTAGTTTTAATGAGTACTCCTCGGTTGGTTTTTTATAACATGCATGTGTACTTTCTTAACAATATTTATTTATTTAATACTATATTTAAGCGCAAAAAAAGAATAAAAAATCCTTGTTAAATTATGATTGCATACAAAGAAAAAAGGGTTGCATTTTAATTTTTGACCATGGGCCACTCAAAAGTCAAGGTCATCCCTGTTGAGATGGTGGTTTTATGTATTGTGAGGGATTTTCGGATTTGTTGGCAAATTTGTGGTTTTTGTATATGTTTTTCTGTGTTCTTGTGGAGTTGCAGTTCCTTCACCCCTCCTTGGTATGGTGGTGATGTCCCGTTTTTCATGGAGGCGGCGGCGGCAGTGGTCCTTCGACGCTCAGTGGGCTTTTTGCTTTAGTTGGCTATGGCTCTATACCAGTAGTGGGCTTTATACTTGTTTTGAGTTTTATGACTGTAGCGGGCTTCGTGTCTTTTTATGTTACATTTATTTGAACTTATTTTTTAAATTCACTGTGATGTAATTGAATTTGGCTTTTTATCTATATATATATCAATGTTTTGAAAGGTGAGGTGTAGAGGCAAAGCGTTTTTATTCGTGCTATGTGAGGCGTAAGCCTTTCGAACATTAATTAATTTTAATAAAAATTAATAAATAATACAATACACAATTAATTGTACTAATAATTATTATTGAACCCTAATAATGTATTAAGTATAATCAAATATAAGTACTAATGGTCTCATTCATGCATAATAATCAATCCCTAAATCTAAAATATTTATTCAACATAAAAACAAAAACACAATTCAGTTCATATATTAGGGTTATACTATAAATAAATGAATATATATATATCCATGTTAATATATTAATTTAGGAAAAAAGAAAAAGAAAAAAAGGGTAAGTAGTTGTGTTTCAGTGAAAAAGGGTAAGTAGTGGTGTTTCATGTGGAGGCGTTAAGCACATTATTTGTTAAATAAAAAAAATTTTGAAAAAAAAAAAAAAAATGCTGAACGTCAGTGCGTAAACATGTGTTTCATTAACTATATGAAACGAAGCCGTTTCATTCCCAACGAACCCTTAAAAAAAACACCCGAGATCATCTTCTTCCTCTTGCAGCCGCTTGCAGAACAGCCACCCTTCGTCCGCCTCTCCACGCCTCGCGGCGCTAAACGTGCAACCTGCTAAATAGATGAACGCTTCAGGCGATTTCCTTCCGCCTCGCTCTGACACGCGCTTAGGCATGCCTTTGAAAACACTGATATATATATATATATATATATAAAGCAAAAGGCAGATAATGGTGAAACATTCAAAATACCAAAAAATGTCATTGGTTAATGCAAACATTAAGAATTGAAATTATTAATTAAATGAGAATAATATGGCAAATTCACACTTTTTCATATTAAAAAAATTAAAATTAAAAGAAAATTCAGATAATAGATCCTATTTTTATAGAACACAGTTACCCATTATATTTTTTAATTCTAAAATAAATTTAAAATTTTCTAAAAAAAAGCATCATGCAAGTGCGAAAGCGTGTGCGAAAATGCTAGTATTAATAAAACTTGATTTAGAAAAAAAAAAATGGCAAGCAAAAAATTACGCATTGATCAAATTTTGATGGGCATTGGCACGTGGAATAGGAGAAAGAACAAAAAACAGAAACAAGAGAGGCAGGTTTGTCTCGTTGACAAAAAGATAGGGGGTATCTAATGGACACAGGAGCAAGAATATAACTGTGTAGATTATATAAATAATATAAGAAAACAATACAAGACCCACGCCATTTCAATTTTGGTAATTACTGTTTTGGTGCAGAAAGGAGGAGGAGCAGTCCTTTTTATGGGCTCTATAAATTCCCCCAGCAAAGTTTTGATTCCTTGCTTCCTTGCTTTGAAGAAAAGAGGCAAAACAAACTCTCTCTCTCTCTCTCTCTCTCTCTCTCTCTCTCTCTCACACACACACACACACACACACTCTCTCTCTGAAAGTACCCATAAGCATCTTGAATCTTTTAAGGTCCACTGAGGCTTTTAAGTTTCAACCCCCACTTTCAACTAAGCTTCAGAAAATGGCGATCTGGGGTTTGCTTCATCTTGTTGCTGCTGCTGCCCTTGTTCTCTCCTGCCCTTTGGCACCCACAAGTGCAAACCTAGAAGGTATACAAACATGCACAATAAGTTTAAGTGTTCCTTAAGTTAATCACTATCTTAAGTATATTATATGCAACTCTCCAATGTGTTAATGTTTGTCTGTGAATGAAACAGGGGATGCTCTGTACGCGTTGAGAAGAGCTGTGAATGACCCAAAGAGTGTTCTGCAGAGCTGGGATCCCACCTTGGTTGATCCCTGCACTTGGTTTCATGTCACTTGCGACGCTGACAATCGGGTCACACGACTGTAATTCATCTCTTCACTTTCTCTTCTCTTTTTTTGAGTTGTTTTTAAAGCTTTGGTTAAGATTGTGTGTTTATCTTCTTCTTTTTTAGCCAAAAGGATTGTGTGTTTATCTGCTCTCTGGTTCTTAGATTAGATTCTCCAAAATATTCTACTTGGTTTACATTAATTATTAATGAGCTAGGTTGCTGTTTTTGTTTTCTTATAAATAGAGTATAAAATATATGGAAGTACACTGCATTTCGTTTTTATATATGATTCATTCCCCCTTCCTTGGAAGCCCGTGATCAGGCGGCTCACACACAGTTCAAAAGAAATTAAAAAAAAAAAAAACAAAGAAAAACCATGCTCATTTTGTGTGCAGTTCAGCTTCTTTTGTTGTTCTTTCCCTTCTCTTTTGTATTGTGCAAATGAAAAAAGATTGATATGAAGTTGTTTGGGTTGTTCGATTTTATTTTGTAAAGATGAAGTAGTAATTAGTGTAGAATAATATTGTATGTGCAGAGACCTTGGAAATGCAAACTTATCGGGCAGTCTAGTACCCGAGTTAGGGAAGCTCGAGCGCCTTCAGTATCTGTGAGTCTCCCAATTTGATTTACAGCTTCACTGTTTTATATTTTCTTCTTCTTTGGCTTGCTTGTCTCATATGAATAATAAATCTATATATAAAAAGCAAACAAACAAACAAGGGTTCAATGCTTAATCACTTGAATTGTTGGCTTATACGGCAACAACAGTGGACACATTTATGATCAATCTCACCAACCCCACCAGCCAGACACCCCACCACCGTCGGATTATAAATTATCATGCATCTGGAATTAATATTGTAAGAGGAGCATTTAGTTTAGTGACTGATGGCAAGTATTGGGTTGGTGTGTGTTTCTCTTGTTATATAATATAATAGGGAATTGTACATGAACAACTTGATGGGTTGTATACCAAAAGAGCTTGGAGGATTGAAGAGCCTTGTGAGCTTGGATCTCTACCACAATAACTTCTCTGGGGCCATCCCACCCTCCCTTTCCAACCTCTCCAATCTTAAATTCTTGTAAGCACCACATCACATCACTCGTTTTTCTCTTTCCTCTTTTTGATTAATAACTTCTTTACCCCTTAATTAGCGGTAAGCTCGTTTAATCAAGCGTTCCTTCCATGCAGGAGACTGAATGGTAACAGACTGACTGGAAGAATTCCAAGGGAACTTACCAAACTTCAGAATCTGAAGATCCTGTAAGTCATCTTCATGCAAAACCCAACATTACCCTTTAATTATTTTCTCCACCTCCCTCTAATCTCATCAGGTTACATTAAATTAATAGTAAATAAATAAACCTGTGCAGTGATGTATCCAACAACGATTTATGTGGTACTTTCCCAACCTCGGGCCCTTTCTCCAAGTTCTCAGAGGAAAGGTGATTAACATTTAACCATTCGCATGTGCAAATTGAGTTAAAAACTTTGTTTCTGTTTGTTTAGTTTTGAGGTTTGGTTCTTAGTGGGTTGTGTTTTTATTGTTTGTCTGGATGTAGTTTCAAGAATAACCCAAGACTGGAAGGACCAGAACTGATGGGATTTGTGAGATACGATACCAGAGGGAGCTGCAAATGATGTGTACCATTAATATAGTATATAGTATACCTAAAAGGCAACAAAGGGTTGCCAAAATTCCATCTCCACTTGTATTTACATTGTCCATTTTTCTTTTTTTATGAGACAGCCTTTTATGTTTCACTAATGTGATTACCACAACTTACTACACCATTGGCTTCTTTAATTCACCCAAAGTTAAAAGGAACTGTTACTGTAATTATTTCCATCAAATCTCCAGCAACCTCAAAGCAGGTTCTATGTAAACTAAGCCAAGCCTCATGGTATAACATATCTGGGTAGCCAACACAGATCTTCCTTCTCCTCGCTTGGGTTTGGATTTGTATCTGATAAGTCATAACACAATCATCTTAATGAGCACCTGGGCAAATACTATATCAACCATTCATTATGGAAATTTCTTTATCAAAACGATCAGAAAGTTGGGGAAGATGATAACAAGAGAGAAAGGAAAAGTGCCATAAGGGAGAATGAGAATTATTAACTATTAATGGCTGGGGACAGTTACAAAATTCCTCAGATGATGGAACAAGATGGCAATTATTTTACAATTTATGCCATATGCCCAATAACACAAAATAACTAGCTAGTAAAAATGGCAATAAACAACTAACAAATATCATGGACAAAGATATATTTACATTTGTGCACCTCTACGAGTGGAAGAAAACACAATCTTTCTCCCCCCAAAACAATTTGTTGCCTCGTTAGAAACAAAATATCACCACGAAATGAATAATCCATCCCCACCTGCATTCAAAAAATATATTTCCACTTAGAAACAAAGAAGTTCCACGTCCCAAAAGTACATAAATCCCATTTATACAGCCAACAAAACGAAAGATTCTTATAATAATCTCCCCAACTATTTACCCAGATGTTAAATGCATGATCAATTGATATGTACAAGTCCCTAGAAGTTGCTTTTCGGTAATGAAACACATAATAGTATTAGTTTGTTAGAACATAGCCTCAACATTCATTTTTAACCTTAATAGAAAGAAACAGTATTTGAGTGTTCAAACTACCTCTGAATTGAACAGCCCAAAGGACAATGTCAGAGCTGGTTGACTATCACTTAGCTGTGTTAGGTAAGGCTAGTGGACTCAAAGGAGGTGAACCATTGTCTGCAGCCATTTCAGGAACAGGGGAACCTTCTCGTGGTTCGGTTACATGAAACTCCATAGCTCCAGGATCCCTCGAGGGTATAGAGAAACTACGGGCGATAGTCGGAGGTGTTGGCAGAGGAGATGCTGTAGGTGACACCACTGGTTTATTTGTTGCAGATTGAGCTGCGGCTGTAGGTGACACCGCTGGTTTATTTGTTGCAGATTGCATTTGTGTTCTAGGAACCAAGGGAGCTGAATGACCAACTAAGCCCAGAGGTCTTGAAGACTTAGAGGTTGAACTAGCAGGGGGCCTTGGAAGCTCATGAAGCTCACTTATTTTAGGCGAGGACATAAAGGTAGGTGAAGCAGTTGGGGATACTTTAGGCGAAGATGACAGAGGTTGAGACACTGGATTTCGTAATATAGGTCCAGAAAACATTTGGTGGTGGTCTGAGGAGACAGGCTTGGAAGCCCAATGCTTACTTGTCAATGGACCAGAGAATGCTTGTCTTCTTCTTTCTTTAGAGTCAGAAGCAGCCAGTGGAACCTGCTCCGAAAACAAATACCGACCTGTGAGAGGAGGGGGTAATTGATGTGATGCAATATTATTGTTGCTCTCTTTGAGTACTGATTGCACATTCATAAAATTGATTCCAGAAACTTTCTTCTCTCCCATGGCTTTTTCGTTCTTTGGTTCCAAAGGGGATGAATGCCACAAATTCTGCGTTCGCTCACTTAAACTTGTCTGTACAGTGTGGGGCACTGGATTATCTGATCCAGTAGAAACTGAACTCTTCTTATCAATTGGTGTAGGTAGTGCATACGAGTGGAACTTCCGTGAGAATGATGGCTGCCTATGTCTCATTTTTTCTGCTCGATCTGAGTTATTTTCAGCAAAAAGTGGAGCTGATTGGCTTACTGTCCTACCCTTAAAGGAAAATGAATTCCTATGGAATCTGTCCTGGTAATAGGTCAAATGATAAGCATGAGATTCGTAAGCTACAACAAATTAGAAACTTGAAGCATCTTCTAGATAAAGTTTTTAAAGTCATCCATGTAGGAATTGAACGTAATAAAACGTCTCCAGGTTCTAGAACTGTGCAATGGACTGTGTTGTACCTTTAGCATGTGCTGACGTGCAGAGGTGTAAAAAGGCAAGAAAAAAACCAGTCAACAACTAAACTAGAATTAGAAGCTCACGGTACAACCTTGAGTCATACGAACAAGACACAGTTTGACTAGATAAAGGTATATGAACTTCTAAGAGTACAGAGATACCACTGCAGACATTTACCTTCTTGCAATTTATCAGAGGATAGAATAGATAGAAGGATTCAATAACATCATTTTTTTTTCTTTCAGGCCAATCCAATCCAACTATGCATCTCAAGTGCATTACAAAGAGCAGACTAGAAAGTGCATTACAGACCTGCTATATATGTGAACAGATGAACTGATTACAGAGTGGATGTTTACCTTGAGAGTTTCCATTTGTGCTAATTTAGGAAAGGTAATGTCCACCTGATCCAACTGCATTAAAGTTGAGGCTGATGTCAAAATGTCTCAGAAATTTTAAAAGAGAAAACGGCAACAAGGTCCCCATATCCCTATAATATCACGCTTGTTGCAAGAATATATTGCATAAAAGTACTTCTGAAATGACTGTTTTGCGCACTATTTTAAGACTGATTTTTCATACTGTTACTTAAACATGCACGACATATAGCTGTTTCAGAAAGAAAGAATAAAAATCCCTTTTTTGGGTCATAGCTGTTTCAAAGTATTTTCCTTGGTAAAAAGCTACAGCTGGTTCTCCCAACTCTATTCTGAATTATATTTTAAATGCATTTCAACAGGACAAATGCAGTTTAGTAAAAGTAGATTAAATTGTAGCAAGACCTCCATTGAATTTTGCGATGTAGAAACATCTTGATCATGGTCACGTTGTCCATAGTCAAAGCTCAATTCTCCATCATCATTCACATCGCTATCATCATCGTCATTATCATCATCATTGTTGTCTCCATTCCCTTCATCATCTAGCCCATTGAACTCGTAATCAATATGCTGCTGCTCGGTTACCAATTTCACATGTGGCTCTACTGACTCCACAGATCTAAGTGCCTTCTTGAAGAAGGACAACTGTTTCAAGCAGGAAAAAAGAAAAAACTAAGAACACTTTAATGAATATGAACAACAAGAAAAACGGAAGGAAAAAGGAAAAAAAAACCTGAGCAGCATGATGACGAGCTGCCTGTGTGAGAAGACTACGAGACTGTCCTTGCTTCAGAGATTTCAACCGGAAAATAAATAGTGTTGCCTCCTCATCGTATTCTTCGCGAGCCAATTGTATTTGCTGCACAGAAAAGCTCTCTCCTTTTCCACCTCTTGACCTCCCTTTCTCTTTCTGTCTCTTTATCATATACTCATATACATCTCTGTAGATCATGCACCATATGAGAGGACATTCATCTAAACACAGATATACAAATGTATTCATATGAAAACATACAACGCTTGTAATACCTTTTTTCATCACATTGACGCTTCATCTCCTGCATCAACATGAAAGAACAAACATCACTTTAACATATGTAAATGCAATGTTCACACAGAAGCACTAACCCCAATATAAAAAGTCTGCCAAGGAAAAATAAAGCATTTGGGGCAGATATTAATAGTCTAAACAACACTAAAACTGGTAACGGAGAGTAAGGAGAAGACAACAATAATCAACCCCCTTTCGTCCTCCCGTGCCTAAAAGAAAAGTGTTAAGGCTTGAAATGAAGAGAACATACAAATGGATAATTAAAAAATAGGATGGAAACACCTACAGCAATGTATAACTTGTGCATATAAAAAAAAATGTCCATACAACACTTGCTATAAGCTTATTAGATCAAAGGACCCAAGCAAACACACCTCAACTGTTTGAAGTTCATTAAGAAGAGATTCTGAGGGAACTGCAATTGTCTGGAAGATATGAGAGCGCTGTAATATGCAAAGCAATGAAACTATTAGTAGAGCAAAACTCAAGGAAAGGTTTCTTAACTAGTTTGCATATAACAATAGAGCCTCACATAGCTATCAACAAGTTTGTGGAGTTCAAATTGCAATTTCCCTAGCTTTAGTAGAACTCTACCTGCAAGACAATTAAGGAAAATAAAAATAAATAGTTATATTTCCTCAAAATGGTTTTTGTAACAAAAAAATTACTAAATACACAAGGACATAAATATGTACGAGAGAGAGAGAGAAATAAAGCAAAGAAGTGGAAACAGACAAACACATTTGCATTCCTACAGTACTTGAAGAAAACCAAATCAACTATTAGGGTCTAATACCAGTTCATAAATAAAAGTCAGTCTAGGATTCACGAACAGAAGCAAGCCTACCTGAAGATTTAAGATTGATAAAAATAAAAGCATTTGAGATGAGAAAAAAATAAGGAATCACTCTGACTTCCAATACAGATCCAAACTGTGGTCCTAGAACTTTGATATTGATTTTTTTTCTATTTCAAATTTGAAGATTAAAACAATCACCAAGAGCATGATTTCAATATAATACCACGCAAACATTTTAGGTGACTAGGATGCCAAAGGGAGAAACAAAAATTAACAGGTTGCTTATTCCCCAGGAGACATCAAGGTGACAAACTCAGTCCTCAGTGAAGCACGACTAAACAATACATCACCCACTACTTAAAGACAAATCATAAATAAATGTATAAGGGAATTTAGAACCTCACCACTTTCTTCATCATCATTTAGTGCAGTTTTCTGAAGAAGACAAGAACCCATTTCCCGCAGTGACTCTGAAAATTCTACAAATAAATTGGAATGTATAAGACTATTAAACTTTGAATTAGCATTCTAAGGATCAATTTTAAAACTCAATTAGATGAATATAGAACCAATTATTTATCAGCTTTTGCTAATAAATGTTGTTGTTTCATAGAGTCCAGTTTATGTGCATTACGCAAGTTAGCAAACTTGTTAAGGGTAGTTAATAAAGCTTCCCACTAATAGCATGTAACTATCATTCTCTCCCATGCTGTTTATTTGTTTTGACGATACACAGCACAAGTGAAGAAGGCATACAAATAAGTTCAAAAAATAGACCCTTTTTATATAATATTTTTTAAGAACAGAAAACAGAAATAGATACCATAAGCGCTATTGGCTGTGGCTGCAGCTGCAGAAAGTAAGCTATCATAGCAGTCCCTCATATCTTGCATTCCCTGTACAAACATGAACAAATTAATTGCAAATAATTAATAGCTAAATTATGCACAAACAAGCGCCCGCAGAGACGGAGACTGAGAAAACAAAAATTATATTTGAAACACATGTACCAAGTTGAACATAACAGAAGAGCTTAAATTGACAATTAAAACACAAATTTAGCAAGTAATTTCAGATTAGATCAAGGTCCAGATCCACGACCAAGCCTCAAGCCCTAAATAAACGACTCTGCCATTGTCAAAACCCTAAAACTGTAATTCGCATCCCGTGCATCCACACGGTGAAAATGAATTCAAATTAGATCAAATTGAGCTCTTTGTAAAATGAGCGTCGTAAAGCTTGAAGCTTCCGTTTTGGGTTGGTGTAATCTATGAGCAACGAAATAGAAGAGGAGGAGGCGTACCTGTGCAGCCTGAGCTAGCTCGTCCAATTGGGGCAAAGGCCGAAGATCTCTCCGGTCCTTAGCATCGTGCTTGTGAAGTGCGAAACCTCGCAACTTTCTGAGAGAGGTTTTCATTGCCTTCCTCTCTGTGATTTTGTGGAACAAAACAGACCCAGTAGACCAAAAGCCTCCCAAGCTAATGCTTTTCTTCTTTCTAACGCTCTCTCTCTCTCTCTCTCTCTCTCCCTCTTTGTTTCTCTGCGAATTCAATTCAACCACAGATTGGTATAGACAATGATAAAGAGGAAGAAGATGAAGAGAAGTTTAATATGATGAATGAACCACTTCCCCATTCTGCCATTCATGCTTATGTTATGTTAATCTGACAAATTAATAATTTTATTTATTATCAATATTATATTACATCATCACCACCACCATTTCACTATTGTTATTTAATTATACTTTTGTTTTTTTTTTTTTTTATGGTATGGGTCATAATAAATCTTATGAATTCGAATTTAGAAGAAGAAGATATTGGTCATTGGATTTAATTATAAATTTGTATTAATTAATTATGGTTGGTATACTAGTCAATTCACATTTTGATGACCAACGAAAAGCGAAAAGGAAAAAAAGTCGGTCAATTTGTCTTTGCTTGTTTTTTTTAGTTTTTTATACTAGACAGAAGTGGCGGTAAATTAACTGCTAATGCGAAAAATAAGTACGGTTGACCATTATTTGGTTGACTCGTCTACAGAGTCACCATGTGCGTTCACTTTCTTTTTTCTAATATACAATTATAAATGTCACTCAATTGATACGGCAATGTAATTTTTGGTTTGGTCCAATGATTATTGTCTCTAATTGATTATACGAGGTCTTAAGTTCGATGTACATGATTAATCGGGTGTTGGGGGGGTATATTAGCATGTTATAAAAGTATATTGTAAGTATCCGCCTATTATTTGTACGAGGACAAAGAAAACGGGAATGGAAAAGTGATGGGAAATTACTGGAGAAAGAAAAAAAGAAAGGTGAAGAGACGGGAGAGGGTGACTGTAAATTTCTGAGTGGTGCGTTGTTTGAAAATTGAAGGTTCCCAAATACCGGCGTCAAAGGTCGTGAGGGTGACTGCTGGCTGGTGAGGCAAGTTGAGGTAGGAATGAAGGAGCAAAGGGAAACGGAATGGAATGAAATTATGAAAAGAAAGGAATGGGTGGAATTGGAAAGGCATGCAGAAAAGACATTGTTTGGGTCAACAATGCGCGTTTCTTAAGCCACAAGTATGAAATTATGGACCTCTAACTTTATCCTCCTTTTATTATTTTCTTCCATGCCTTGACAATCTGCTCCAAAGTCTCCTATGAAAAAAGTTAAAACATATCAGAGAGAATGATTGCGGTGGAATACCACCAGTGGCATCCTATGGGAAGTTTCACGCTTACCTTCTAACAACTTTTGACATCCCAAGTTAATGAATGTTTGTCCTTATTATTGACCGAGTTGCATGCATGCTTTTGTGACGAGGTGTCTATGACTTTATCAAGCTATTATTAATCATGTTTATCACACAAAACAATTTCCAGGCCCAATTTGGAAACACTACGAAACGTCCCTTGAAGAATTCAATTCCTTCGTGCCAAGCACCTGGAAATTAGTATATGGCACAGAAAGTCGTCCTATAAAATAAAAACAAATTAAGAAGGGCGACCGCTTAATGTTCAAAATCCAGTTTTTTCAACCATATGGATCAGCATGCGATTTGACGCAGTATATATATAAGCATATAGCCTCTCTGTCTTCCTGAGCTGCAAATAACCAGCAAGAGAGGCAAGATGATCATCAAAGTAAACCAGCGCTTGTTGGTTTTACTGGCAAGTGCATATATTCCGTCTTTTCTAATTTTGAAGTACTTTTTATCACAAATAATTTCATGTCCGGCTTGATTTGCTAATATGCATTTCTGTGTTTTTTTTTCTTCTGGGGTCTGATAAATTAACGTGTTCATGCGTAGGTTTGTATGTGGAGAAGGTGGTCATCCACGAACAAGCTGGTCGACCCGCCAGCCCACCACCACCTCCACCAGCGTTTCCACCATCCCCGAGGCCCTAGACCCTCAAACGCATGGTTACCAACGTTTATAAGTAATGCATACAAAGGTTCCCACTCTTTTTTACTCTACTTATATACATACAATTGGATAAAAGAAAGAATAAAAAGATTTCCAGTTTAATGAATACATGTCTCGATGGTGTATCACTGCAAGAATTTACGACTTTAAATTCATTTTATGAGGTGGGTTTACCCCTTTTACTTCTTGTTTCTTAAACTCATTGTTTCCTTGTTCAGTTCTTTCTATGCAACCGTTAGAAAGTCAAGATTCAACCCATAATTAGTTGGATGTGGGCAGAGATACCCAAAATTATTGAAACTATATATTGATGTAAGACTAATCTTTTTCCATGTGAGACAAATACTCCAAAAAGAGTCATCTTATCTCAAGAGACCTCCATCATATGATAAGACTAGGAATTATAACGGGTTTACCCAGAACTTTTCTGTTTTTCAGTTTGCCATATAACACTTACATATGTTATTATTTGATTTGATGAAGATGTCCTTAATCATTTTCTGTATCAGCAGCAGCAGCCAGCAATCAGTGGTATATTATGTTCATTTTGGAAGAGAAAACCAAACTAATAATAATAGAGTTGGTCTAAAGACTCTAAACTCGTGGATATCAGCCTTACATCACCCAACCACCAGCAGAGAGCAATGTAACTGGACAACTTGCAAAGTACGACAGCGTTTTAAATACATTCTTTCCTACTCTCCCAACTCAACAACACCAACCCCAACATTCAATATTCAGTGGGATCAAGGATTGAAATATCGGCTGATACACCGATATATATGCCGATATATCGGTATTTTCAACTATCGACATCGATATTGGGGGGTACGGCTATATCTTCCCCTGTATCGACGATATATCCCTCGATAAGTGCGATATTCTCGATATTTTGCCGATATTCCCGATATTTTCCGATAACCATAATAGAACCCAAAAAAAAATTCATAAGTTTTGAAGGCAATTGAAGCAAATTGAAACCCAAAAATTGCTAATCCTTGCCCAGAACCTTATAATTTATTAATACGAAGAATCTATGCACAGTCCACTGCCCACATACCTCCAATCCATTTGAAGAGGATATGACGATCAATTTTAGATCTATGAGCACATGAACTAGACCTACTACTAACTCAAATGAATCTTATTATGGCTATGGTCATGTCATGTCTGATTATAGTGGAACTAGTTATGAAGCTCAAGATGATGAAACAGATTATGGACCTACTAGTTGGGTTAATCCTAATTATCCTATATATGGGAGGAGAGTAAGGAGCTCGAGAGAGACTTATGTGCACCATGTTCTAACATGGCTTACAACCTGTTCGGGTTACATGACTTGGTATGACTATTGTATGAATTTGGATGGTTGTTCCTCATTGTTTGAATCTCATAGGAGCTCTTCATTTATGTAGGTGGACACTTATCTAAATTGTAATCCAATGTTTAAACAAACTATATGGATTTATGCATGGTTTATTCATTATAATCAAAATTTTATTTTCAAACTTTTCATTAATGCGCATTACATACCACTTATATTTCATCAATGTATATCTTATTATTAGTAAATTTTGAATTTTATTAGTTCAATACATTTATTGATAATGTACATAACATCTATGAAAGTTTTATACCAAAATTATGTGTTTCAATGCCTATATCTGTCCTTTTTGTTGATTTTTTCCCGATACCTAAAACAATAACAATATATCCCTTGAAATATCTGTAAATTGGAGGCCCGATATTATCTGCACGGCCAATATTTTAATCCTTGAGTGGGATATCATATTTGCACCCACCCCCACCACCACCTACCAATACAGAAAGACAAAACAAATTTGTTTTGCAGTGGAGAGAATCTTTGGTCAGCGTTTATTTTGTGGCTTGGAGGCCTTGCCCCAACCAATGGGCTGACCAACACTTTAGTATTCATAAATTAGTCAAGCTTTGAGACCAAGGTATCTATCAAATTCAATAAAGGACAATCCAATGAACTGCAACTATAGTTTTGGCCCCTAACATTAGAAGCAGCTAAGAGAGTTGTTAATGTTTAAACACTATTCTTAAGGCTCGTTTTGTAGCTCAAATGGTTCAGAGCATTTACCTGCATTCAAAATCCCAGGTCAAAAAAAATTAAAAACGACATTTGGTGTTTAGGATTGAATTAAATAACTCACTAATTTCATTATGTAGCCAATTGACCTTATGATTCATATTTCCTCAATAAAACACAAAGCATACTAGGAAAGTCGACAAAACTAGCGTCTGATATTTGCTCAATCGATTTGTACCCTGCAAACTCAAAACGAACATACAACTAGAACATGCTTATCATTTCAAAATTCAAATGATTCTCTCCTTTTTAAAATTTTTTATCACTTATTTTGCTTTGATTCTAACGAACATAAGCCTCTGCAAAGTACATCAATAATGAAGCAGCACCATTAACATTTCTGGAATAAGATGGTGTGGTTTAGAAATTCAAGTACAAAACCCTGAAAATGGCTTCCAAAATGCGATCAGTTTAATGTTGACAGCCACAAATATCAAGGACAAAACAGAGTCAAAAAAATTCCGCGCTCGTCAATGTTCTCCCGAGTTATTTCACAAGCAGTTCCTCCCCGCACAGGATGATCTACCAGTTATTTGACAAGCAGTTCCTCCCCACAGGATGAGGAGAAATAATGTACAATCTCTATATCTCCTGAAAGAAAATTAAAGAATTATTCAGATAAACTCACTTTATTAAAACCCTAAACACACTGTGAACCATAGAATAACCTAAAACTTTGATTAAAGAATGTTGGTACATACAGATCTGTAGCACGCATACAATAACCACATCATGTACGCACCAAATCATTCCATGAACCATGAAAGAACCCTTCAACTAACCTTGATTGGGAGAATTTCTGCATTCAAGTAGTAAAATTAAGCACTTGCAGCCAATGACGCCGATCTGTAGCACGCTCTCTTTGCCGCACGAACAATATCTTCTACCTGTAAAAACAGTTAACCAAGATGTAAATGGCAATGCAGCCTAGCCTACAGCCCAATTAATGGCAAAGAGCCAACAACAAAATAACTATTGCACCTATTGACCAACTATAAGGCAGTGCAACCATATTTCAGTGCCAACAGTGGAAATACACCATACACTGATAATTGATACCAAACCATAAAAATCAGAAGGGAACTCACCTGAGGAACAGCCAATCTCTCCAAATTAGCAGCATAAGGCATCGGAACATCAGCCCCAGCAATCCTCTCAACCGGTGCATCAAGATAGCCAAAGCTATCCTCAACAACAGATGTGCTGTTAAGAAGTACACAGTGTTAAGTATAAAAAGTGTCTGAAAATCACTCAGCAGGGAACATGTATGAGTGTAAAGAGACAGACCAGATTTCAGCACCAACACCATGCTGAGGAAACCCTTCTTCAACTGTTACCAGCCTGTTGGTTTTCCTGACCGAAGCATTGATGGTGTTCCTGTCCAGAGGACGAATTGACCGCAAATTTATGACCTGTAATAAAACAAATAGTCAATAATGTCTCTATTGCTAGAGTACAAACAAGATTGTGTTGTTACCAATATAAATTTACCTCAGCACTGATTCCTTCCTTAGCGAGTATCTCAGCCGCCTGAAAACCAACAGAATTAAATCACAAATGTAAGGGAGGAAAGGAAAAGGGGGAGGGGAGAGAGAGTCTGGCTCTAAACCAAAGACTATATAAGCAAGAATTAAAAGAAGTGCCTATAAAATACACTTTCTATGTTCTCTCTTATGCAGACATAAAATAAAAGAAACGTGTCAACAAATAAGCACCCATAAACCACAAATTAAGGGCAATGGTATTAAGGAGATGTCAAATCGGCAGGCAAACCACTAATGGAATGTTGAACAATTATAAAGGCAACAGTATTTCACGGCAGCAACTAGGTGCTTCTTGTCAAAGCTATGATAAAGTTTCATGCAAGTTCCATTTCAAATTCCTCTAAATTATTAAGTACCACTTATTAAGCATCTGTCACGTCAATCCAGATCTAACTCATACTTAATTAATTTGCTCTCCCGCCACCCCCCCAAAACCCCTCGCGTGCGAATTCTGAGGTCGCACGTACCGATTTGCGGTACGTTAGCCACCTGGATCAATATATTCAACGAACCGCATTTGTTAAGGAGAACCAGTACTGGGAGAGATGTGAAGACAGGGATGGAGAGAGAGAGAGAGAGAGAGAGAGAGAGAGAGAGAGAGAGAGCTATGGGCGCTTTGAAATTGGGTCATAAGTGTAGCAAAGAGGACGGCATTGGGTCCTTCAATTTAATAAAGGCAGGGGGTGTTCCAAAGAGGCACCTGTTGGAAATGAAGGCACAGGTCTTTCAAAGACCCTCTGAACTTCCAACTAATTTTACCATTAAATAAATAATAAATTAAATTACTCCCCTTATATTTTTCCAATGAAATAAACTCCCCTTAATTAAAGTTCTTTCTTAATTTTAGATTACATATTTAATTTAGTTAACCTGCTATACACGTACTCTCTCGTTCCCTTACCAGGTAACTATGCTCTAACTTAATAGCAAAAATTCCACCCTATTATTACATGCACCACATCCAGACAGCAGAAGGAGGTAAAGTAAACAAACCTGCAGAGCATAGCCGACCATTTTTGAAAAAGCTGTAATAGTGACATCCTTTCCTTCTTTCTCAATCTGAGTTTAATTATATTACGATTAGAAGGCAATCATCATTGATAGTGAACAAAAAAATGTGGAATTAAGAGTGCAAGCAACAAGCATCTTTCAGATGCATTTCCATTAGCTGAGTGATCACCTTAGCTTTCCCTATTGGAAGGCAAAAACTGGAATCAAGAACTTCAGCTGAAACAGGAAATGACTCACCATATCTGAAACAGAAAATTACAGCGAAACATCAAACCCATAATGTTTAACAAGATAACAAACAACATAAACATGACAATCTGCAGTGAATTACTTACAGCAACTCATTCTCAAGGAAAACAACAGGATCAGGGTCCCTAATGGCAGCCTTTAGGAGCCCACGAGCATCTTCAGATGAATAAGGGGTCAAAACTTTCAACCCAGGGACAGTAGCATACCATGCTGCATAACACTAGATCAAAAAGCATATCATTAATTGTCAAAATTCATTCGCAATTCACACTAACTAAATGGTAACATATGAAAGATGGCAATGTAACAAAGTAGATGAGAGATGTAAAATAAATGGCTTGAAGAACATTACTTGAGAGTGCTGGGCACCAACACCAGCAGCAGCACCGTTTGGTCCTCTGAAAACAATGGGTACATTTATTTGGCCTGCAGACATATAATTTGATTTTGCAGCAGAATTGATGATGTGGTCAATTGCCTGCAACAAAAGCCCTAACTGAGATTCACAATAACAACAGAAGAAAATACATAATCCTCTAAAGAATGATAAACAGGACTAAATGATCTAGCAGGCTGATAAGAACAAGACTGTAAAATACCTGTAAGTAAATAGATATAATGCAGCCAAACAAAAGATTTCAAGGTTCTCATCCTTTTCAACTTAACAGTCTTAGAAGGCTTCTGAAATCCTCTAGGGAAACCTCTCTCTCTCTCTCTCAAAATCAAGAGGGACCTTTGTTTAATATAACATCTAATCCTTCCAGCACAGTTTAAACACTTACAGAACTCCAAAAATGTTCAATTCTTAACTCAATACAATAAAATCTTAAGTGAACGATTAGAGGTTAAAAAGGCATATCTTTATACCAACTCAGCCTACCAAGGGCAACAAGGCAGCAGCATGAAAGCACAAAATTTCATTAGTGAAAAACTTGAATCCATTTCATGGTGAAATAAATCATGAACACTTCTCCTTGAATGGAAGGTATCTGGATTTTCTATAGAATAAGACCATGACAAGATTTGCTACAATTATAATATGAAAAAATTCAATAAGTGCCCATGTCAGCATTTTAGATGCCAATAGTTTCAGACTATCCAAAAAAAACCCTTCAGTGTCAAGACATCAGCCATATAACATTAAACTCAAGTACAAAAATGTCAGAAGTTTATAACCAAAGAAAAAACCTCCAACCTGCATTGAGAAGTTAAAGGTCATAAACTCTACAACAGGTTTCAAACCATAGTAAGCAGCACCAACTCCAATCCCAGTGAACCCAGCCTGTAAACATAAAATGAGATAAGTCAGCTACTTTCACTAATGTAAATAAACATGCAGGGCCAACATAACATGAAGTCTAGGAGCGAAATAAAGAAAATGGAAGAAATTAATGATTTTACAGAACAACAGAAGTAAACAAAAGAGAATTTGCATGGCTTGTCAAGTAACAGGAATTACCTCCGTGATGGGGGTATCAAGAACTCTGTCAGGGCCATACTTGTCGAGAAGTCCTTTGGATATCTATATACAATGGAGCATAAAGGCCAACTGTCAGAGATGTGTAAGTTCACATGGGATAGTAATGGAATAGGAGGGAAAAAAGGAGAATTCAAATGTATTTCTTCAGTAAATAATTCTAACCTTGTAAGCACCTTGGTATTCCCCAACCTGCATAACATAAAGAACAATGATCAAGCTTACGAAAACAAATTCTGTTGGTTTCTAAGTAAAAAATAGTACAACCTATCCATGTATCCTCACCTCTTCACCCATCAAGAACACTTTCGGGTCTGCAGACATTTCCTCATCGAGTGCAGAGTTTAAAGCATCCCTCACTGTCATCTGTGTGCATAATTTTCATTTGCAAAAAAATATTATGTGCCTCTGGAAAGTGAAGACATGCCACTGAGCATAGGTACAAATAAAAACTAATGCCCAAAAGTTATGTGAACAAGCAGAACTTCATATACAAGCAGGGCAGTAAAATTGGGAGTCTAATACAAGTTTTTAAGTAGATGCCAGAAAGAACAATACGAGCAAGTCGAATCCGAAAACTAACTTTACCTCTTTTGCGGAAGATGAAAACGCTCTCAATGCCGATGTGGTGGGGCGGATCCTCTGCACGGACTGCCCCAAAATCTGAACCATCACAAATATTGGGAAAACAAATCATATTAAGGGTAAAGCAATGAAGTTTCTTCCATAATCAAAACCACAATAAAGAATTGCAGAAATATTAGGGTGTACCATAGCAGATGAGCTTCCAGCTCCCACTTTTTGCCTTAAAATCCCCAACATCTTTGTCTCTTTTCCTCGAAATCAAACTGACCACCAAATAAATAAATAAACAGAAAGAAAAAAAAACTATTTAGGAACTGAAATTTTCAGTGAAAGCACTGAGCATATGTGGAAGAACAAAACGATTTACTGGACATAAGGAAACAAAAGATCAGATCAAAATTGATAGGGAAATAAATCAGAGGGCCTAGGAATTTGGGAGAGAGACGAACCTTGTTGGCGGGTTTGGAGTGGGGATCGGATCGGCGACGAGATGTGTAAAAATGAGCGTGAAGGGAAGCAGCAGCGGCCACCGCTCTTTCTTCAATTACCTTCCGTTTTAATAATTCTGTATTTTGTTTTCTCTCCGTACTTTCGACCTTTTATTATTTATTTCATTTTTTCTTTTTATCAATTTTTTTAATTTGGAACTTCCACCAAGTTCTGCGGCTTCGGAAAAATGTAATATTACGATGATGGACCCGTGACCAGTGACCACATACATTTTTTTTTAACAACAAATGGAAAAAAATAAGGGAGATTCACTAATATACCCAATATGGGGGCCCAAATTATAAAAATACCTCATATGAAATGAACTTTATAAACACACCCAAAACTCATTTACAACATAACAAAGAGGCTTTAACTTCTTATAAATTACAAAACTACCATAAATTTCTTAAAACAAGCCCAACCCCAAAATCTCATAAAAATACCCAAAACACTCAATAGGACATTAAAGTAATTTAATAATCAATATTAAATTCAATAAGGCCAGCTGTCATTTTTGGGGGTTTTTTTGGGTTTGTTTATAGAAATTCAATGATGGAGGGTTTATCTATAATATTAGTGCTAAGAATGAGTATATCACTAAATATCTCAAAAATAATGCAAAATGCTATCAACAGTCTAGTTCAATGAAAAAAGACTTGCAGATGAGTGGTAGTTCGAACTTTATGACACTTTGATAGGATGTGTGAGAAACTCCATTTACTATTGTTGCTTTATTATTATTATTTTTTAATAGCAAAATGCTCTTAAAATAAGTGTAAATAAAAAATATAGTTTTTTGTACACTTATTATTTGACTTTCCTTATTAAATAACGACAGCAAAATAAAAAGGTAAAGTCGTAATTATGTGGGACGTCCCTGGTTGGCGGTCAATTTTGGAACCAAAACGCTTGGAGGCGTGGACAGCCGCAGAAGCACAAGGTGTAGTTTGAAAAGATTGTTAACGACAAGAGACAATTAAAAAATGATTAATGTCAATTAAAAGATAAATTAATTAATTTTGATCAATAGCACAGAGAGGGTAGGTTAGGTACTCCAGAAAAAGGGCGGTAGGTAGGCAGGCGGGGCTGTGGTGGGGGGCGGATTAGCGGACAATGTGCACCCAACTACCAAACGAGGCAATGTTTGTTTGTTGATATAAAATTGAATCAAATGAATAGGTTTTTTTCTTTTGTAGCCATCCAAAGTGGAGGAAAGGTATTCGATGTTTTGGGGTCCAGTCTGCTTTAGCCTTCAGCTATCAACTCCACCTAATCGCTGTTTGTGTTTTGTTGCAAAAACTTGTACGGGGCAAGAGAAGTCCATTTTTGACTTCAAAATAGTATTTTAGATTCGTTGGTGTTTTTTTAGTAAATATCAAGAGATGTTCTCACATCCGAGGTTGACGTATGAGAAATAAGATAAAAGCATGAAAATGGGGCCCTTTTATTCATTTGTTTTTTTGGTAATATATAGGCAAAGCCCAAACCAAAGAGACTACACATAAACAAATCTATGCATCAAGAGGACATTCTTTCTTATCATCGTCAAAAATAGCCTTCAGCTGCTCAGGTGGAGAAAAAAGCTCATGATAATCCAAATCCTTATGATGACCCATCTTAGCTAGAAAAACTGCAGCAAAATTTGGTCTCCCTACAAACATGAAGAATGTTGCAATTCCATTGGCTTTCCAAAAGCTCTCTACATTTGGTTAACAACACAAACATAGGAGATCTACATTAATCATATCAACAGATGAGCAGAATCAAAATTTACAATTATCTCACACAAAAGAGTAGGCAAACCTCATTTGCCTTGCCACATCAGCACTTTCATGCTTCAAGAGAAGAGGCACATGAGTAGGCAATATATTCATACTCTCCCCAACAAGGTAATATTGCCCACTTCAAAGTGAAGAGGTATATTAGGCCCCACTTACTTTTTATAATAAAATATTATCTTCATTCTCTCATCTACTTTCTATAAAATATAACAATAAAGGTTAAAGATTAAAATAAATAATATAGTAATGATTTGTACACGTGCATTGCCTAGCCCCTTGGAGTGATCAACTTTTTTCATGAGGCAAATGGGTAGGCAACATGCCACATCAATCTACGTAGTACACTCTTGCCTATTTTGTTTTCCTATACCCTTGGAGATGGCCCAAGCTTCAACCATAAAGACCTCACCATGACCAAGATTAGCATAAAATCCTTCTATCCAGTTACCATAAGAATCCTAATTATAACTCTTGCAACAATGCATCCACAGTCACTCACTCTTGAGCCATCAATATTCAGCTTAAAGAAACCACAAGGAGGAAGCTGACAAGCAAGAGAAATCTAAGATTGAATCGTACCCTTCTTTAAAAGGTTATTGGCCTTATCCCACTCAAGAAGATACTCGACAATAGTCTATTTAGGACAAGAAGACGTTTGAAAATGAGGTTCAAAGATAGAATAACACCTCCACTTCCAATAAATAAGCAAGCAACATAAAAAATATTACACCACTTCAAATTCCCTATATGCCCAGCATTATAACACAAATTATCCTTCAACCAACTATCAAAATTAGAGAAATAGAAATTGATCAAACCTTCAGGTAAATATAAGGATCTCCAAAGCGGAAGCATACGAGGGCAGTTAATTAAAAGATGCTGCAATGACTCCTCATGATAATGACAGAGAGAACAAGAATGGTCCCTAGAAAGATGTCTTCTTACTCTTTGCACATTAGTTAAGATCTTCTTTTGAGTAAGGAGCCAAATGAACACTTTAACACGAGGAGGAATCTTCAATTTCCAAATGAAATTCCAAGAAGAACCAATAGATAGCTCATAGTAGACTTTACATGAAAAAGTTCCATTTGAAGTGGGTCCCCAGATACAAGTAAAAGGCAAATTCCCTTCAAAATCAACATGAATACTAATGATCTTCTTAACGGCTTTAGGAAGAAGAGCTTGCAGGAGCTTCTCAATATTCCAACCAGTCCTAGAAAAAATAATTAGACACAGTTTCAGTGATGTCAAACTGATCAAATAAGGGAAAGCATGGGCGGTGCTTTGCACAGGGTAGGCTGGGTGCCTGCTCATCCCAAATTTTTTCAACAAAAAATAAATAAAAAACCTACATGTGTTATAAAGCCCATCCCAAAAAAAATTTAAAAAAAAATAAAAGCAAACCTTACACATATGTTATCCATCCATATGGTCTCATGTCTTCTCTTTTGGCTTCTCCCTTCTTCTTTTTTCTTTTTTAGTCAAATTCTCCCTTTATTGGCTACATCTTCTATTATATTGGGTGGGCAAACTTTGCAACAACATCTTCTCCTCTCCTTTGCCAACAACAAGTATTATTCTCATTCTCTCATTTGCTATATATCTTCAATTATAGTTTTAATTTAAAATTAAGTATTGTAGGGTTTAATTAGGGATGAATTATAATTTTGGGATTTTGTTGAAATTAATTAGGGCTTTGATTAGGGATGAATTATTCTAGAGCTTTAATTTAGGATTTTGTTAAAATTGAGTATTCTATGGTTTAATTATGGATGAATTATAATTTTTAGTTTGGTATTGTTGAGATGCTATTATGAGAATTTGTGTGATTTTTTGTTGGTATGTTTGATTAAAATTCTTCCTACATTTATTCATAGGCTATCTTTTATTATGTCGGATCACAATCAAAATTCCAAGAGAACAAAGAATTTGTTGTCTTTTTTTAAGAAAAAGAATGATGGGCCATCATCTAGTACATTGCCTTCTAGCACTTCTTTATCTATTCCAATATGTGAAGAGCAAAATCTTCTTAAGTCTCCCATTGTCGAGCCTCCAATTTTTAGCTTTTGTATTTGTTAAACTTTTATTTATGGATAAAGATGCATTTGAGGGTAAGACTCATTATGTCCCTTCAGACTAGGTGTATCTTTTTATGTTTGTTAATGAAATTCACTCATACCGTCGAGTTTAGTTTGTAAGTTTTGCCTAACCAACTTTTGAATCCCGGAACCGCCACTGAGTTCCTCCTTAATTTTAAGGTGCCAAAAAGTTTAGTATGTAAGTTTTGCCCAACCGACTTTTGAATTCTGGAACCGCCACTGAGGGAAAGTTAGTATCCACCAAAGGAACATCACCAATCTATATATCAATCCTGAATTTGACTCTAGTACCATCTTCAACTCTTCACTTCCTACCATTATTCAAAATGTCAGCTCCAAACATCAACCTTTTCCAAGTGTTGTAAGCCAAAGTACAATTATCATCACAAGCATCAAAGCAACAATTACCCCTTAAGTACTTTTTCCTTAGCATAGCAGCCTAAAATCTAGAGTCCCCAGCAACAATTCTCCGACTAGCTTTAGATAACATGGCTTGATTCATAAGAGAAGCCTTTTTAATACCCAAACCTCCCAAATATTTAGGCAAACAAACTGTATCCCATTTGACTAAATGAGTTTTATGATGCTTCTCACTACTTCCCCACATAAATCTTTTAGAAGACTTGTCAAGCTCTTCACAAAGAGCTTGAGGAAGCTTAGACGTCTACATGGTATAAAGAGGAATAGAAGAAGCAACAGACTGGATTAAAGTGATTCTTTCAGCCATAGAAAGCAGTTGACTTTTCCAAGAAGAAAGTTTAGCCTAAACTTTAACAAGAACTCCCTCTATGTAGCCTTAGTAACCCCCCCCCCCCCCCTTGAACAAGAGGGACTCCAAGATATTTCACCGTATTAGCAGATCTGGTAACTCCATAAATCAACTCAATTTGATCAACAAGCTCAGATTTAGTATTTGCATATATGTACAACAAAGATTTCTCAAAATTAACTTTCTGTTCGGAAAGCTCATAAAACTCATCAAGAGAATTTTTCATCTCCACCATAGCTTGCTGAGTAGAAGCCTCACCAAAGAGAATCAAATCATCCACAAAGAAAAGATACCAAATTAAAGGACCAGACCTCGCAACACTAATAGCTTTCCAATCCTTCTTTAACACCCTAGTAGCAATGATGTGTCTAAGTTTTTCCATACATAAAACAAAGAGGTAAGGGGATAGAGGGTCACCTTGTCTAACACCTCTTTGAGCTTTGAAACTCTCAATAAGCTCCCCATTCATAATGATTTTGTATGAGACATTCTTAACACAACTCATAATAAGTTGAAGAGAAATTTTTCCAATACCAATTTCTGCAAGAGTTTGCTCAATGAAAGACCATTTCAAACAGTCATAACCTTAGAAAGGTCAATTTTCCAAGCTATAGACCCAGTTTTTACCTCTAGCTCTGTGGAATCTATACAGAACCTCTTGAGCAATGAAAATATTATATGAAATTTGTCTTCTAGGAACAAAACTAACCTGATTGGGGCTAACAAGCTTACTCATAAAGGATCCGAGCCTTCCAACAATGATCTTAGAAACAACTTTGTATAAAGTGTTACATAGACTAATTGGATGAAACTACAGCATGCTATAAGGAATAGTGATTTTAGGAACCAGAATAATAAGAGTACTATTCAAAAACTCTAGAATGAAACCACTAGAAAAACACTTAAACACCAAAACTTCAAAATCTTTTTTACAAATAGACCAACAATTATAGAGAAATAAAAATAGCATAATAGTCACTGGGGCTAGGAGCCTTGTAAGGACCAATAGAAAAAATAGCATCATGCACCTCCTTTCTAGTCACCTTATTTTAGCTTTTCAATCATATTCCTTATTCTTATAACAAGAGTAGTAATGTGAAAGAACTTGGTATTTCTATCCTCACTCTGCAACCAATAAACTCTAGATTTTTGTTTCCAAAACACATCCTCTTGGTCCAATAAATCCTCAAACTCATGTTGTAACTGCTTCTCAAGATTAATAATAAATAAAAAAAAAGGGAGTAACCTTTACAAAGAGACCTTTGAATACCTTGAAGTCTAGCAAGAATTCTCTTATTCTTTTGAAAAATATGACCAAAGACTTGATAATTCCACTGCTGAAGCAGTGCTGAAGCAGGGGAATTAACCTGTCCAATTTATTAGAAACTGAGCCTTCCAAATTCTTCCAATCTGCTTTAATGAACTCAGGAAATAAACTATGTTTAAACCACATTTCCTCAAATCTAAAAGGCTTAAGCTCAGATGAAGGAATCTTATACAAAAATAATACTAATCAAAATAGGACTATGATCATAATATCCTTTATGCCTTATGAAAGCTTCTAGAAATAAAACCCTCCACTCCTTGTTATAAATAGCCTTTCTTCACAAAATCACCACTAACCCTCTTATTAACCCAAGTAAATTTGGGTCCCAAAACCCTAAATAAATGAGCCCATACTAATCAAACCATTCCTTGAAACATCTACTTTTACCAGATAATTTTTCAAATTTTTCATCCTCAAACAATATATTATTAAAATCCCCACACACAACCCAATGTAAATTCCAAGAAGCAGTAATAATAGATAAAGTTTGCCATAGATAATATCTCCTAGTAGGGCAAGGGTGCCCATAAACAGCATTGAAGATCCAAGAAATACCTCCCGAAGGCTCAACACAAATAGAAATAGCTTGATCCATACAATGAATTACTCTCAAATTGAATTTAGCATTATCCCAAAGCAACCATATACCACCAGAGAAGCCTACAGCATCAGAAATTTCAATTTTAGGGAAGCCAAATTGAGAAATGACTTTCCTAGCTGTACTAGAGCTAATTCTAGGCTCCAAAATAACCAACATATCAAACTTATGTCTATATTTAAGATCTTGCATAGCAAGCAAGGATCTCTTATTACTTGCCCCTCTAATATTCCAACAACCAATCATCATAATGGAAGGAAAATATTAGGAAATGTCAAAAAAAAACTAATCATAATTGACAGACAAATGCCCTAAAAAATTGAGACCTTAAGCCTTACCATCCTCTGCAAAAAAAGCAAACACATCATCAATCAAAGTTTCACCACCTTCATAATCTAACTGTAAACTCTCAGAATCCCTAAAATCCTGAGTTTCCATATCCTGATCAACAACTCTAGAATCCCTAGAAGTAATATTTGGAGCTTAAGGCTTAGGAATGAAAAAATAATCATACTAAGAGCATCAACCTCCCCACTTTTCAAAACTCCATTAGCACAGCTGCCCTATGTTTAATTGAACCTTGGTCCATCTCAAACATAGAAGTTATGGTGGAATCATGAGACAAATTCTTAGAGTTAGACCTTAAAACAATAGAAGTCCTAGAAGAAGAATTATTTGAAAAATTAGACAAAACTTTCCTCGACCTACCAACTTTTTTCTTGCCTTTATTAGAAGGAGTTAGTTCATTCCAACCACCAATATCTTGACTCTAAATAGCCTTCCCATTAAATGGCAGCAAATTATCCAAAATCCCAAAGACATGTTCTTGCTCACCATCAAAACAATTGTTCTCCAAAATATTAAATCTAGAACCAGATGAATCATAAAGCCCAGCTGCAGAATTAACCCCTTTAACAACTTTAGGCAAATCACTGCCGCAATCAATAACCTTCTCATATCTCTAATGGACCACCTTAGGGTTAACACCGTTTCTTTTATCTTCACTAGCAATAGTTCTATTTTTAAAATTCTTCTTCCAAGCTTTTCTAGTATGAACAACATTCCATATACCAAAACCAGCCTTATCCCCAGTGGGATCAATTGGGCCTCGTTGATTACCATCAAGCACCATCCTACGTAACTTCTCCACTCAATGACAACGCATCTTTTTGATAATCGCAGAATTCCTACAAATTTGATAATTGCATAATTCCACCAAGGTCTATAAATTATTCTTAACAAGTTCAGAAAAACGAATCGAATGACCATATGGAGAATCCTCAACTTCATAATCACCATATTCAATGGAGAAACCATCCTTCTCCATAACTTCAGTATATTCAAAACAAGAAGAGCTTAGTAACTTATCTTTGAAATTGACTTATGGCATGGAAGGGATATGATATGATTGATCCATCATCATCACCTTTAGGAGGTGCAAAATCCTTTGAACGGAAACGTTTAGAAGCACCATCCTTCACGACTATCTGAAGGTCGCCAAGCCGAAAACGTGAAAGCACGAGACCTAATTGCCATCGAAATGATATAATCTAAAAAATGTGGGCAAGAGAACGCATAAGAAAGAGGAGCAGGTGAAGCGCGTTCAAAAGCACTCATTCCCTGGCGCTTTTATTAAAAATCTCTCAAAACGATGTATAAAACATGTCATTTTTCGATCAAATGAGATTGCCTGGATAAAAATGAGTTTGGTTTAGGTCAGGCGAAATTTGTATCATTCTTAAAATGGCGATGCATATTGCATTCATATAACAACACTTGTTGGCTAGATGCCAGCTTGTTTATTGCCATTTTGAAAAGCAAGAATCCAAATGAAACAATCCAAAAAAATATAAGTAAAATTCTAAGGGGTTTCTCTAATGTGAGATTTCATTGCAATATGTGAACATCCTTCAAATGCTCTTTCATGTATCATAGAAATTTCTAAAATACAGTTTATTTGCATGCTAAACAATTAAAAATATAGTTTAAAAGGTTTGTAGTTCAAGTAATTAAAAATATGTATATATATGTGTGTGTGTGTGGATTTGTGTTTAATTAATATCATTAGTATAAAAATAATAAGAAAATAAATACCTCATACAATTTTAAAAAATTAGAAGGCAATAAAAACCATTAGTCTCATAATTGTAGATGTAGCAAAAGAGCCATGTCAGTCGAACTCAAGCCCACCCCCTAAATGTGTCATTTAAGGTGTGGTGCGGTTAGCAAACTGGCACCTCCAGCAAGCGAGCTACCTAGTGCCTCAATGACAGAGGTTTGAAACCCGTTAGAAGCACTATGTAGCCAAGGGTAAGCCGAACCCCGAGTTTGGATTAATCTTACCCTTCAGGTGTAGGGACACTCGTGGTATTTACCAAAAGGCAAAATGTCACTTTTGGTCCTTGTAGTTTCAATTTGGTCTATTTACCCCTATGGTTTCAATTTGAAGTAATTCAATGACAATTCTCAACTTCAGACAATTTTTTTTAAACTTTTGTTAGTGTGGAGGGCAATTCTATCCACAAATTATTAAAAATTTAATTCCCTTTAAAAAAAACCATGCAAATATAAATTTATAAATAATTAATTTTAAAATAAAAATAAAGCATCCCTCTCCTATTTTACCTCCTAACCCCAACCCCCTTCCAACAGTCCCCACCCCTACCTCAACCAGCAACCACCTCCCTGTAACCCAACCCTCACCTCAGCCAACCACCACCTCCCTATAATTGGCACTTGCAGGCAGTGACGAAGGGCAAGTGTAATTGTTCTTTATTTTCCCTCAGCATAAAGAGTTGAGTAAATTTCACTTTACTACCCGGAAATTCCCAAAATTCAGACTTTGCTACACAAAGTTTTTTTTGTCTCAGTCTCATACCTAAACTTTGATTTTCATACCTCCGTTAGTTTGATTGTCAAGTTTTTCGTTAAATGATGACATGGCATGTTGACCAATTGGATTTGCGCCATGTGGATAAGTAATTAAATAAATAATATTTTTTAAACAAATATAAGTAAATAAATAAATAAACTTAAAAATTAAAATTAAAATTAAACAAATATCCCTCTTCTTCTTCGCGATAGTGATAGCCCAAAACCCCAACCCAAGAGCCCTAATCTTCGCCATGTTTCAATATGTGGACCTCAACTTTGCCTTTTGCCTCCTCCATCCATCCACCACAGCAATGACCGTCATGACCACCTCTGCCTTTAAAGTCACCGCTAGACTCTTTCTCTCTCCTTGATCATACATGTATCGCACGCAAAGACTAAGACTTGACGAAGGTAGGAGCCTTGTTGTCGTTGGGAGAACTAGTTCTAATGGGCATACAAAGAGTTGTGCCATAGGCCATTGGAGACCTGCTGAAGATTCAAGCTGAAAGAACTTGCGGCCCAATATGGTCCTCAAAACTAAAACCTAATAGCTGCGCATCTTGATAGCAGAAGGACATGCAATTATGCATATTACAATCATCACTCGAGAGTCAAAACCCAACAACCCATCACCATTTCATCTACCAAATACAACCATTCACATGGCCAAAACCCATAACAGTTTCAACTCCCCACACCCAAATCAAATTTAAAGAATCGTGGAATAAAAATGAAACATACAAATTGATTTGATAATCCTTAATTGCCATAAAAGGGCATATCTAGATCTTGGCAGTGAAGTTGATCCATGTCTTGCATCGCAGCGATGCGTAATGGGCGTGGGGATGTCAGGGTGGACCCAGTTTGGGGAGATGTAGGCGATGAGTGCCCTCATCTACAGCGCAGCTCTTGAAAATACACTTGATTTCAGTCAATTAGTCAATCCATGTCTTGTAGTGCATCTCTTGAAGATACATTTTTTTTTTGTGGGTTTTAGGGTTTGATCAGATTGGAATTGGAATTCGAAGTGTGCGTTTGTGTTAGATATATGCCCTAGATGACAGGACCCGACCCAAATTCTTTTTTGGAATTTAAACCGAACCATGTACGTGTTCGACATTTGGCAGATGCAGGCACACTTGACCAAAATGCTCTTCTAACTCAATCTCAAAATTCTTTTTCAAGTTTGACTTCTGTCGGAAATTCGGTAGAATCTCCCCCTTAAATTGCTCATTTCCCAATAACTTTCCACCTGTAAATATACAATTATCATTAAAAACAATTCCCAATCATTCAGCGTGCAACATACGAATAACTTTGAATGGCCTTAGGCCTCCATAAATCAAATAAAACATTCCACCCTCTGAATCTGAACTCAACCCTTAGAATAATGTAAATACTTAATCAATTTCCAATAAAACCCACCAGAACAAATTTTCGGCACTTAATCTTATGGCTGCAACTAGTAACTCTAGGTTGCCTAAGTACCCTTACAAAGAGATCAAGTCATACGTAGTTCATTCAACAAAACTTATAAGTAATTCAAATCCATTTGTTGAAACTCAATCAAGGGCCAGTGATGTTAGAATAATCTTCCATTTATCCCACGTGCATAATAAATATATATGTATATATATACACACACGCACACACATATATATATATATAATTAACGTATTACTTATCAGTAGGAAAACGATGAAATTAATAAAATAGCATTGGCCACGTGAAATCTTAATGTCAATATCAACAATTTAAAATAAAATATGCTTCCCTCTTTCACATGTAAAAATAGTTCCATCACTTAAGAAAATAGATATGAATTGTAGAAAATCCTTAAAACTTGGAAACCTTCAATCCTTGTCTCATAAAATCAGAAAATAGGTATTAAAACTTTTACTCAAAAACACCAAGGTAATATCATCATTTTTAGTTTAAACATCTTAAAACAAAAATACTCTCCACCTAGGCGTTGCCCCTTTGCTAGTGACCACCAATTGTTCGACTAAATGCCTCAAAGACGTTGTTTTGTTTGCTACTAAGTGAGACCCTGAATATTTACCTTAGATTGTTGGGCTCGATCTCACAAGCATGTAGGAGAAAACGGTTCATCAATCAGAGCTCCACAACCAAAGTTATTAATTTTCTAAGTTTTTATAGAATATGTGAAGTTAAGTTGCAGAGCCACAGTTCGAGGAAGAAGAAGACTTTGCGTTAGCGCTTCTCTTTTTTTTCTTTTTTCTTTTTTAAATGGTCCAATAGCAAGCTGAAATATGTCTATTTCTAATTGGTCTAACTTAAAAAATTCATTAAAAACTCATATGTGTTCCCAAAAATTCACCGAAAATTACCCCTAACTTTTAATCACGTGTACTTTTATCTCGTGACCTCCAAATCACATGTGCTTTTGGTTAGATTAATTGGCATTGATTTTGGTTAGATTAATTGGTATTGACTTTTGTTAGATTAATTATGTAATTGACATGGATTTTGTTCATATTTGATATGAATTTTGGTAAACTAATTGTGTCACTGACAAGGATTTTGTTCATATTAATTGATATTCCATATAGACTATAATCAATTAGTTATAGATGTAAAACTCTTATTGTTTTAATTATGAATGACATTAGTTTTGTTTAAATTCTAAGGGCATTTGGTTGTCTAAATTAGTTTTTGAATTTTTAGCCTTTTTTTTTTAACACACTACACGGATGTTAGTACTTGAATCTAGGACCTTGCTTGAGTCCTTTGCGAATTTTTAGCCCTTCAAATATTGCACCTCCCTTAAAAAATTCCTAGACCCGCCACTGCATGTGAATAGTGATTATCATGGCAATGGGTGGAAACACCATAAGCCTTTTGCAAGGGAAGCTACTATTTACGTGAATAGTAACAGCCCTTCCCTTGCCTTGCCTTTACCATTTGTCATGACAAATGGGTGGAAATGCTCTTATAGGGAGGTGGTGGCTAGCTAGGGTTGGGTAGGGACTGTTGGTAGAGGTTGGGGTTGGAAGGAGAATGGGACATAGATGTTTTATTTTATTTTGAAACGAATTTTTTTAAGGAATAATTTTTTAAATAATTTATGGATTGAATTGCCCCTCAACAAATAATATTAAGTTTTAAAAATAAAAATAAAAACTACATAAAATCCCCCAAAATATAGGGTCATTTTCAATTTTATACCCACATTTAGAGACATTTAAGAGTACATACTCAAACTCCCAGAAAACCTACAAATTGCCCACATCGTCAGTCAGACCGTTAGTAAGTTTGTTAAATGCAAATGTGGCAAATGTGGACTCCATTTTTTAATGACGTGGACCTCCAAGTGGACAAAAAAAAAATTAAAAAATGGTTAAATTATATTTATTTAATTAATTAAAATTGAAAATTAAAAACATAAAAATCTATGACCCTCTCTCTCCCCCACCCAGCCAACAAAAAAGTCATTATTCTTACATGTAGAAAAAAAGGTTAAAATTAAATCTAAAAACTCAATGGCACTACCATCTCCGTCACCCACCCAGCCTCCACCACTCTCGTCACCCACCCAAGCCTCAGCCACACCATCAACACCGTCACATCAAGTTCTCTCTCTCCGATGACACTGTAACACAGACCCCATCCCACCCAATTCTCTCAGCCCACCCAACTTGTCGAAGGTGAAGAGGCGGATGAGCCTGTGTTAAAAGAGAGGTGTGTCGTAGCTGGTTTGGAAGGTCTTCATCTTGGGTTGGGATCGGTGTTAGTTTCATTGGGCAAGCCACTGGCCCTGTACGACTCTGACGAGCTCTTCTTTTTCTCTTCACCGCGAGACCAAGTTTACCCAGTTGAATTAACTTGAAACCCATATCTGGGTTCTTTGTTTGTTAAAAAGGTTCTTTTTTTTTTTTTTTTTTTTTTCTTTTCAAACACTCAACCCAAATCTGGGTTGTTTCATACTAGCAAAACTCAAGGGATTTTTTTCTCAGTAAAGGGTCCAATTCCATTTTCACATTAATCAGTGCTTTGTTAGTATATGCAGACCATAATCTTGCATATTAATTCAATCAGAAATGTAATAAGATTCAAAGAAATGCAGAGAGATTTTCAGAGATAAAAAGAGTAGTGAATTTCTGAGAGAGAGAGAGAGAGAGAGAGAGAGAGAGCTTGGAGAAGAAGCTGGCTATCTTAATTAGCTCAGCTCCAAAACATGCATATATTGTGATTCTGACAAAAACGTTAGGAATAGAATATTCCTCATTACATCACTCAATCTTAGCCATTCATGCACTACCCTATGAGATAATGACAAGTGGCATAAGCTAAAACATTCTCTGCTGTACACTTGGACTATGATCCAACGCAGCCTTTTAAAGAATAGAACCTTCCTATTCTAATTACATTTCAGTAGACACACTTATACACCAACACTCACTTCTAAGTGTTGTGCTAAAATGACTCCTAGAGCTTTCCTCAAATACTCAAACCGATCTCTTGCCAAAGGCTTGGTGAAAATATCAGCAAGTTGCTCTTCAGTTTTGCAATATAGTAGATCAATCTCACCATCTTGAAGTGCATCTCGAATGAAATGAAACCTTCGATTAATATGTCTGGTTTTGTGATGATGAACTGGATTCTTTGATATAGCAATAGCTGAAGTGTTATCACATAGCAATTTAGTTGGTTATACTTGCTCTTCCCCAAGGTCTGACAGCACAAACCTCAGCCACATAGCTTGTGCAGTAGCTTCTGCTGCACTCATGTACTCAGCCTCTGCTGTTGAAAGAGCAACACTGCTTTGCTTGATTGAAGCCCAAGAAAACACACCTGACCCCAAGTTAAATGCATAGCCGGATGTGCTCCTCATGTCATCTTCACTTCCACTCCAATCACTGTCACAGTAACCAATTAGCACTGCCCCTTTTCCCTTCTCATAAGCAATTCCATAATTCATAGTGCCTTGAATATATCTCAGCACTCTCTTTGTTGTTCCCATGTGCTTCTTGGTTGGATTATGCATGAATCTAGCCAAGAGGCTTGCTGCAAACATGATATCTGGTCTGGTTGCAGTCAGGTAGAGCAAACTCCCCACCATTTGCCTATACAAGGTCTCATCTGCTAGTTCACTTCCATCCACCTTTGACAATTTTTCATTCACAGCCAATGGTGTTGCAACAAACTTGCAATCCTTGAGTCCAAACTTGTCAAGCAAGGTATTTGCATACTTCTTCTAGTGTAAGAAGATGCAAGTATCAGTTTGTAGGACTCCAAGACCAAGGAAGTGATGAGGCAATCCTAGGTCAGTCATCTCATATTGTCTCATCATATCATTCTTGAATTCAACCATCATTTCTTTTTAACTTCCTGTGTAGATGATATCATCTACATATAGGGACACAATGAGAATACCACTTGTAGACATCTTAGTGTACAATGTAGCTTCACTTGGACTCCTATAAAAACCAGTTTTGATGAAGTAGGAATTTATCTCTTCATACCAAGCTCTTGGAGCTTGTTTCAAGCCATATAAAGCCTTTTTCAGCCTATACACCTTATCTTCACTTCTTTGTTTCACAAAACCAGATGGTTGATCCACATTCACTTCTTCATTTAGCACTTCATTAAGAAATGCCGACTTTACATCCAACTGATACAGTTTCCAGTTTCTCTGCGCAGCTACAGCCACCAAGGTTCTCACAGTATCCAATCTTGCCATAGGTGCAAAGGTCTCATTGAAGTCTATTTCGGGCTCCTGAGAATATCCCTTTGCCACTAGACGTGCCTTGTTCTTTTGCATAGATCCATCTAAGTTCAGTTTTGTCTTATAGACCTATTTAACACCAATAATTGGTTTGTCAAATGGTCTATTCACAAGTTCCCAAGTGTTATTTTTGTTTATCATCAGAATTTCATCTTCCATAGCTTTCTTCCAGGACTCATCCTTTGCTGCCTCTTCAAAACTCTCTGGTTCTATAATGCACATATTGCATTTCTCATAGATTTCTGTAATACTCTTGTACTTGCGAGGTGTGTGATCAAAGTCTTGGGAGCTTGGCATTCTTTCTTGATCACTAGATTCAACACTAGTGTCAAATGTTTCACCTTCTTCACCTTGTACTTCAGAGTTAATCCTGCTTCCTTCTTGGCCTTGCTTACTTGAAGTTGGTTCAGCAATTGGAATCATCACACTTCTTTCCTTCTGTGTATCCCAATCCCAGCTTGCATTTTCATTGAACACAACATCTCTAGACACAATTATCTTTCCAGTTTCAAGACTATAAAGTCTGTACCCCTTTTCACAGCTTCTATAGCCTAAGAAAATGCACCTCTTGCTTGTCAAATCCAGCTTCTGCCTTTGTTGACTTAGAACATGAGCATAGCACAATGATCCAAACACTTTCATATGCTTAACTCCAGGCTTCCTTCCACTATAAGCTTCAAATGGTGTTTTCTTATTCAAAGCTTTGGTTAGACACCTGTTCAAGATGTAAACTGATGTATTAACTGTTTCAGCCCAAAGTTCAAGAGGAATCTTCTTCTCTAGCAACAAACACTTTGCCATTTCTACAATAGTTCTGTTTTTCCTCTCTGCTACACCATTTTGTTGTGGTGTATATGGAGTTGTTAGCGGCCTTTCTATGCCTATATCTGCACAGAACCTGTCAAATTCCACTAAGTTGTATTCTCCTCCTCGATCACTTCTAAGCTTCTTTAATTTATAGTCACTTTGCAACTCCACAGTAGCTTTGAATCTCCTGAACACACTCAGTGTTTCAGACTTTTGTCTTAGGAAATAAACCCAACACATTCTTGTGCTGTCATCTATGAAAGTGAGAAAATATCGATTTCCAGCTTTTGTAGTTGTTTGCATTGGACCACAGATATCACTGTGTACAAGCTCTAGAGAGGTTGATGCTCTAGTAGAGGCTTCCTTTGGAAATGACTCTCTGCACTGCTTGCGTAGAATACAAGCTTCACAAACTTCTGTAACAGCTATAATCTCTGGCAATCCCACAACCATTTCCTGCTCTTGCAGTAATTTCAGACTACTCATATTTAGATACCCCAATCTTCTATGCCACATTGCAGTAGAGTGACAAACATTAGCCTTGTAGGCAAGATGCATTTCAGCCTGCAATTTCATTGGGAAACTTCGGTTGCCTCTCATTTGTATCCTTGCAATCAAGTTGGAATAGGAACTGTCATTGTAAATCTCCACCTTGTGATCTCCAAACACCAAGTAATAACCATGTTCTATCATATGTCCCACACTAAGTAAGTTTTCTTTCAAGCCAGGCACTAGCATGACTTCTTTGATGTACTTCTTCCCCATTTTGGTTTCAACCACAAGACTGCCCTTACCAGTGACTTCTACAAGCTGTCCAGTTCCCATTTCAACTTTTGTAGTCACATTTTTGTTAATGTCAACAAGTAGATCCTCTCTTCCTGTCATATGATTGCTACATCCGCTGTCCAAGTACCATACCTCATCACCTCCTTTTATACTAGCATTAGTTGCATTGCTAGCATAAAACATAGTTGGAGTAGCATCTACTTGGTTGGCATAGTGGACTTGCTGTGTTGGTTTCTTACTGTAACAATCCTTGGCTATGTGACCAAGTTTGTCACAATTGAAACACTTTGGTTTTCCTTTGAATCGGCACTCTCCAAAGTGTAATTTGCCACAGTGCTTGCAAGGATTTTTAGCACCGTCATTTGTTTTTCTCTCCCACTTCTTGCCTTTTGATTTCCAACTCTTGTTTTGCTTAGAAAATTGATCACCAGTTTTAACTGATTTGGCATCCACACTAAGACTAGCAAATGCCTTCTCAGTTTTGTTTTCAGAATGTCTGTCCAGCCTTAATTCAAAGCTCTTCAATGAGGCTACTACCTCTGTACTTCAATGACATTCAGATCTCTTGAATGCTCAATAACAGAGCAGAGAGAATCATAGGCAGATGGCAGACTAATGAGCAATTTTTGAACAACCCTTTCCCTAGGTAATTCCTCCCCATAACTTCTCATTTGGTTTATCAAATCAAATAGTTTAGTAACATAAGCAGTTAAGGATTCATCATCTTTCATCCTTGTATATTCAAATTCTCTTCTAAGACTTTGTAATTTAACACTTCTTACCTGCTTATCTTCATGGAATTCTTGCTGCAGAATGTTCCAAGCACTTTTTGATGTCTCCTCATGAGAGATTCGTGGGAATATCTCATCTGAAACTGCTCCTTGAATCAATCCAAGAGCCTTAGCATCCTTTATGAGTACCTCAGCAACCATGTCTTTCCCACTACCACTTGATACTTCTTTCTCCTTTTTCTTAGTATCAAATTCATCTGACTTCTTCATATCTGTACTATCAAATCCCTTTATCACCAAATCCCACAGTCCATGAGATTTTAAGATGGTCTTCATCCTTATGCTCTAGAAATCGTAGTTCTCACCATTGAAAATTGGTGCTCTCAATTCACCACCACTTGACCCAGCCATGTTAGACTCAGATCTGCAAAACTCAAGCTCAGCTTCAGCTTCAATAGCTTACCACTAAAACGCCCAGTATTACTTGATCAAACCATAATCTTGCATATTAATTCAATCAGAAATGTAATAAGATTCAAAGAAATGCAGAGAGATTTTCATAGAGAAAAATAGTAGTGAATTTCTGAGAGAGAGAGAGCTTGGAGAAGAAGCTGGTTATCTTAATTAGCTCAGCTCCAAAACATGCATATATTGTGATTCTGACAAAACCGTTAGGAATAGAATATTCCTCATTACATCACTCAATCTTAGCCATTCATGCACTACCCATGAGATAATGACAAGTGGCATAAGCTAAAACATTCTCTGTTGTACACTTGGACTATGATCCAACGCAACCTTTTAAAGAATAGAACCTTCCTATTCTAATTACATTTCAGCAGACACACTTATACACCAACATGCTTTTCGAATTTGGGTCTTGATCTTGAAGATTAAGTTGCAAAGTATGAACTTAAAAACTGAGATCATGGGATTCTTTTGCATTTGGACTTGGGTCTTGAATAATGCTAGGTCGAATGGGAATTTATTTATACACTAAAGAAAGCAAATAAGAACTCATAATCAATTTGTTCTTGTTACATGAAGGAGAGTTGTAGTGGTGAGGAGTGAGTCGGAGAGTATGGGCTGAGGGTGGGGATGTGTCGGGTTCAATAGGAATTGATTTTCCTTTTGTTTCTCTTTGAATGTGGGTAGGTTCAGAAGTATTTTGGAGAGTGATTTGTGGGCTACTTTGGTGGCGGTGGTGGAGATCTAAGGTAGAGAGGTCAGAGGTGGGTGAGGACCAGGTTGGTGCAGGTTGATTGGGTAAGATGGTGGTTGCAGGATGGGAGAGAGAGAAATGGGCGGGGTTGGGAGCGTTGTTGTTTTTTAAATTATTTTAATATTTTAAAAGAATCTTTAAATTTAAATTTGTTTAATATAATTATATTTTTTACTATTTAAAAAACAAAAGAATTTTTTATTATATATTTTGGCCACATGGAATCTGCGTCATAAAAAATGGGGAGTCACATTTGCCACATTAGCATTTAACAGATATTAACAGTTTGTATAATGAAGGGGCAATTTGTAGGTTTTTCGAGAGCTTGATTATGTACTCGTAAATGTCTCTAAAGTTGGGTATGAACTTGAAAATGACATAATAGTTTGAGGGTTTTTATGTAGTTTTTCTTATATAAAAAATTGATAAAAATTGAGAATTGCTCTTGCATTGCTTCAAATTGAAATCACATGGGCAAAAATACCCAAATTGAAACCACATGGGCAAAAATGACCAAATTAAAACCGCATGGACCTTAGTAATAAAAATAATAAATTATAGGGACCAAAAGTTATGTTTTGTTAAAATGACAATAAAGTCCATGGATCTGAATGAAGCCCAAGAGACCAATGAGTCGAACTCAAGCCCATAATAATCTTCAAACGTGTGTTCCTCAACATTACTGATATTTACAAAGTTAGGACAAACGATTACCAATAAGACGGTTTGGCCGAGTGGTCTAAGGCGCCAGATTTAGGCTCTGGTCCGAAAGGGCGTGGGTTCAAATCCCACAGCCGTCATAACTTTTTTGGTTTTTATCTGGTTATTGTTCATTAGACGATCGAAAAAAAAATATTGAACTGAATGCTTAGAATTTTATCTGAAGACTGTACGTAATAAGCCAACAACGTCCATGTATGAGCACTACAAGTAGGTGTGATTTATGCTTTGTGTCTTTCTTTGTTTTTGTTGGTCAAAAACATCTTTGTAATTATAAAGCCAAACTCTTTTTAAGGATAATATATATATATATATATAGCAAAAGTTAACGGGGTCTAGTCTAGTGGAAAATTGTCTTGACTTGCAGATCAGGGGGCGGATCCAGCATGGAATCAGTGTGGTCTTAGGCACCCCCTCCTCCTCTCCATTTTTACCTCTTCTATTTGTATATTATATATGATATATAATATTATAATATATTATATTAGTTTTAAGATATTTAACCTAAAATAAAATAATATATTAGGTTTTTTGTCTACAAATTAATCATAAAATTTATTGGTCTCTCTTCTACTAATTTCCCTTAACTCTTCTAGGTTAGTTTAAGATAGTTGCACTAAAAACTCCTAAAATTTTAACCTTTCTTTCTCTTACTCTTTTGTTTATAGCTTTGTGAATTTCTTATTTTTCTGTTTCATGTATGAGTTGGGTACCTTAGTATTTTGATTTATGATTTTTTTTTCTATTTCTTCTCTTTGTTGGAATATAAATTATTAAATTTTAAGTCTTTAATAGTGTAGATGATGAAATTAGTATTTAACGAATTTAAAAAATTAAATTAATGAAAATTATAAAGAGAAGACAAGTTTTATTAAGGGCACCCTCTCATGTGAAATCATGGCCATGTCGTTGCTTACAGACTAGTAGTCTCAAGTTTGAACTCCCATGACACCTTGGTCACGTGTGTGAGAAAATCACATTCTTACAATATCGCTTGTATATAAAAATAAATAAATAAATAAATAAAGGCAGGGAAGTGGAAAACTTAAGTAAATATAATAAAAGAAGAAGAGCATGCTGGTCGGTGGAAAAGAAGTTTGCAAAATGAAAAATAATGCGCGCATTCCACAAACATGCGCGCTTCTATTGACCAAAAGAAAAATAATGCGCGCATTTCGACGAAAAAAAATAATAATGCGCGCATTAATTCCACAAACATGCATGCCATTAACAAAACAAGAAAGGAAATAAAAAACCAAAAACGCATACAAAAGAGAGATTGTCAAATGACCTAAATGGGCTAGATTGGTCTAGATATTTGGGCTCAGCCCATATTATTTTCCAAGTGCTGTGGTCCATGAAGCCCATACTGTGTACTAACCCAACCAATCCAATAGAGACAAAAGAGACGGCAAAAAAAGAGAGCGAGCGTGAGAGAAACAGAGAGAGGGAGAGAGAGAGAGAGAGAGAGAGATATGGTGGGTGCGTTTTGGGGGACGCGAGTGCTGGAGATAGTGAAGAAGCACGACTCTGGAGGTCTAGTGTGGAAGAGAATAAAGCTGACCACCACCCGTAAAGCCAACGCCAAGAAGCGCCTCCTCCGTGTTTGGCAGGTTCTCTTCTCTCCCTTTAGTTAATAATACCATTTATGATTTCTCAGTCTCTGATTAGGGTTTAGGGTTTTAGTAATACCGCCGATGTCGGAGCTATTTACTTGCTTGAAATCGGAATATTTGATTTTAAAAGTAATGGGTTACGTAATTAGAGGCCACTGGCCAGGCAGTAGAATCCGCCATTGTTTTGTGGATGTGTCTTGTGCTTGAAAGTCGTAATGTGCATAAACCCCAGCATATGCTGAAGGGCTCTTGAGTTTTGGCAATTGAAAAATGAGATTCCCGGTTGGGTTTTCTCAAGTATACTTTTGAGAGAGAAATTACAGGAAAAAGGATTAAGCTTGGTCTTGATAGATGACCATACAGCATTGTATTGGATGGAAGAAATGCTATCCTGTCATCTTCTTTCATGTGATCATAATTTATGGTCAGTTAACAAGGCCTATTAGGTGAAATGCCCTATGAAGGAAACTATGTGAGATATTTTGCGAAAAAAGTTTGATTTTTTCGTAGTTTGACGGAAGATAGGTTCAAGGCTAATTGTTTTTCCTTTGAATTTTGGTTATTTGTTATCAATGATTGTTTCAAGCATATTTTGGACCCTAGTCATCAATGATTGAGCCTGTCTAATTCTATTGTAATTTTTACCGGTTCTTTATGTATATCTATTCTATTGCATACGCTGAGTGCTTATTTTGGCTGCTTGTATAATGTGTTTCTGTTCTAAATTGGTCAGTTCACCTCGTATAAGTAGTCCATCCATTCCAATGATAATCTACTTGCATGATCTTACCCATGTGCTTATGTAATATCTGCTTCCATTTAAAAACATGTCTGGTGGTGGGTCGCATAAGGAGCTACTAATTAAGTATAAGCTTAGATGAAATCACAGCCGCTTTGTTGATTTGTGTACACTCCGAAATCTTCGTTGGGATTTATATGTTGTGTTACACACTTTGAAGATCCTCTATTTAACTGATATTGAACTTGTGGAAATGCCCCTTTTCTTGCAGAATGAGGCTGTTCTGAGGGCATGTGCGGAAACACCTACTTCACAATCATCAGGAGCTGCTGCCAGTGGAGTCTCTGAGAAAGATAGCACAAGTAGCCAATAATGAGTAGAATGCTAGGCAAACTTGGAGGTGTTAGTTTGGTCATCCTTGGGCCTCTAAATATCAACCATGTGTTATAACCTTCAAATGAATACTATCCTGAACCTCCATTTTGATCTTTCTATTTCTAGAGTTGAGCATTATGTACGGAAGCTTTTAAGTCATTGACTAAATACGATTATAATCATGTGTAACCGGGATAACTCTGATGAATTTTGATGGTCAATAAGACTATTCCGAAATTGCTTGCTGCCGATGTGCATCTCAAACCTGAAGCTTATTGGTTTTATGGTACTGTTGTTGCTCCGTAGGATTGTGTCTCCGAGCACATCATTCAGTAAAGTCAATGCCGGCCACATCAGAGTCTAAAGCAGAATTTTTTTGGTCGAAAGTCTAAAGCAGAATAGGATTGCATATTTGATAGTAGGCCTTAAGCTGAGATTGGCTGCTGGGGTTTCAGCACATCTGAAGTTGTGCATCTTATCGCTATTTTCCTTATGGCGGAAATATCTCTAGAGCTGTCGTAATATTTACTTCTAAGTAGTGTTTGAAAAGTCCCTTCTAGAGGGAATCTTTGCACTTCCAAATTCTCTTACACATGATAATACTGAATTTGTCACAGGATGATGCGTGGTCCATGTTTTATTTATAAGAAAACGGGGTTGGGATGAAATGTGGACACGAAAACTGCGGAAATAATGGTTGAAAACTTCCTTTCCAGCCCCCTTCTTGTGTTGTTACAAGACTGATTTTGACATTAAACAAGTTGGTAAATTAGTCTATTTTCGTTTCTGCATATGTCACTATTAACTCACAGAATATCAACAGAGATACTCCAAAGCCAATCAGTGAGATGAATTTATAGTTTTGCACGCAACCATGATGCCTCTTACATGTGCGGCTTCTGGGAAAAATCTTATGTGCGTTCAGCTCATGTGTACTGTCTTGTCTTTTTTATATGACTTATTGCTGCAAGGAAATTTGAGATTTTGACAAGTTAATGCATCTGTGGGATGTTGAAATGTCTCACTTTTCTGCTGCCAAAAGGAAGCAAATTCATAATCTTACTCCATATTTTGGCACTTTACACAAGCAAAAAAAAAGAGGTACCTTCTAGTACACAGGGGAAAAGGCAAGAAACTACTCGATTCATCATGCAGGAGGGTTGTTGCCGTCCCTTATTATCTGTCAATGAGCTCAGCACTCTAAAGTCCTTCAATGCTGAGGCAACATCTTGGATTGCCAAAGCCACACACCAAAAAAAAAAGAAAAAAAAAACATGGACCCATTAAATTCAACTGGGCACACAGTTCACATCTTGTGCAATAGTGGTTGGTATTAGCTTTTAAATCTGTTGATGGTGAGCTGTGGCAAATGGCTGCCGTGTTGAGAGGTATTTCCTTTTGCCAAAGGGCACCTACCCACTTGCTAAGTGCATCAATGATCAATATTTAAAAGAAGGAAAGAAAAATAAAAAATCTTCACCCTCCATCCTCCATCACGAGATTCTCAGGCTTTGGATACCTTTTGGTTGTGTGTGTAGATGTAATTAGGTTTTCCTTTTTAATATGGGTTTTACCATTCACCTCATCATATCCATGACAGTTGGACGTAAATTATGCCAGTTAATTAGACTGTGATTATAATAAATTAAGCGGTCCACCCACATTAATTTAATTTAAATGTGAGAGATTAATATTTTGATTTGACCATGCCATTAAAAATTGGAGATGTCTCTGTTGCATAGATACTAAGCAACCCTTTAAAAATTTCTCCAAAACCAAAAAAAAACATATACAAGTGGTTGGTTTTGGGAACTGGTCAACATACACAAATTGATAATACATTCCCTGTCTGCTTGGTAATGCTTTCCAAAATGTCATAAATGCCCCTCCGTGACAGAGACTCAAATTGCCCTTCCAGTGTTTCTTTATGTGATTGACCTAATCAGTTTAGCTGTGGTGTGTGGTCTACCATGACGGGCTGCCCACGTGATTGACAATTTGAGAACCCAAGTCAGCAATCCACAATCCAATCCAATCCCATCCCATCCCATCCCATCCCTCTCTCCCTCTCTCTTACATACATACAAATTTCTTCATTTTTTTTTTTTGGGTCTGTCATGAAAATGAAATTAATATATAGAAAAAGTGACGTGAAGAACTCCAAAAGCCTTAGGAGATTCTAAACCACTGTCACAAGAAACTCTGGTCGGCATATTTTATTTTCCCTTATCTATCAATATTATTTTTGTTTCTCCCATCTGTTTATAGCATGCCAAATTAATCAGACTGACAATCAATGGCTTACTATTATGCCGTCCTTTGTCCACCTGATGTCCACTTGGCACTGTCTTATGGGTTTCCAATCCTATCTACCCTATGATCTCATCCTCCATGTCTCATGTCTGTATAGGACAACAACCTACCTTGTAGGTTTTGTTCCATCATATTTTACAAATTTTTTTTTTTCTCTCTTATTTTTCTCATAATCGTATTCACAAATTGCCCTTGTCAACACCAATGTTACAAGCACTCTTTTTTTTATCTGACAGTTGAGAAGATACTCCATCTGTTATGTTGATTGATGTCTAAAACTTGAATGAAGGGGGACGAATTCACTACTCTGGCCAACGACCTTAAACGCGTATGCAAATTGAGAACATCGTTAATGATTATTGTATTATGCAAAAAAAATCATAACTATGATGAGTTGTGTACTTTGTTTATGTCTTTGATAAAAATATTACTGATGATGGAGTCAACATTATCAGGCTCGTGGCTCTTGCATGTATGACACGTGTGTTTACAGATGAACAATTTGGTATCTTTCACCGCAGTGTTTTTACAGCCATAGCAGAGCAGCAAAATAACAGATGAGTGATTTGATATTTTTCTTGAGAGTGAGTTTGCTTTGTTGCAAGTTGCAAGGAAAACTTGTATATAAAATGCTTCCCATCATTAACATGTTTGACAATGTGTGTTTGATAGTTTAAACTGTTGGATTAAGAGGTACCGTTTACGTAAACTAGCAGGAATGTGCAAGAAATGATATGCTTTAGGAAATTTAAGGTCATGGCCGATGGATCAGTTTTCTTAACTTGGGACCCTCCAACTGGCCATCTCCCACATTTTCTTTTCAAACGCAGCTGTCCCTGGTAAACAATAATCCACTGTGTTTTTAGTCCCTCCACTCTCACCAACTGGTCTTGAAGATTCAAAACTTAGTTAACCCTGTTCCCCTGCAGGGCCAAACCTACTCTCTCATAGGCCCTCTTTTCTTGTAGGACACTTAAAATAGTACACAATTGTAAGAAATGTTTGTGGAATACTATGTCAGAATGTCTGTTTTCTTGGAATTAGATTCCGTGATGCAGATTGGAGTACATTTGAAGATTTGTGTGACGGCTTGGAGTTCTTGGAGATTCGATTCATTTGAAAACAATGCTTAGGAATTGGGTTCCCTTTGAGTGATTTTACTTTCCCCAAAGGGAGAAAGGGAACCTCGTGCGAAGCTGATCTTTGCGAAGATAAAAATATTCTAATTCTTCTGCTCCTCCCAAAATCTAAGGAAGGCTTTTGGAAATTTCATGTTATTGATGTACACTTTCGCTTGCTTTTCAACCCTTGATATTCCCCTTGAAAATAGCATGGTTTTTCTATAAAGAAATTATGCTGCATGATTTGCAGAACATGTTCAGATTACGAGTGTGCTTGCTTCTCCAAAAAAATTCAATTCAGATACTGCAAATAAAATGGAACATCATATATTAGAAAATTTGGGATTTGATTACATAGCGATAAAACCATCTGTTCACATACATTGCTCTTCATATTACCGACTACAAGTTACTGCCGATTTTCTTCCTTGGACATCTTTTGCTGCATTATAAACTTAAAGGACCCAAGACTTGGATTTCCTAGATGGTTATTCTGATAAAGCAACCAGAAGCCTAATTACCGGTACAGAGACGACTAATTTAAGGGGATTCTTGACTAAATTGCTACTGTTTTCTTCTACAGTAAGGAACACTATTGCAACTACTGCTTTCTTCATGATCATCCAATTGATCACTAGAAACGACCTCTGTGACTCCGCTGGAACCTGAAGAGGAGGAACAAGGTGCAAGGCTCAAATTCCTCCTGTCTTTTGTCATGAAATCGTAGAAAACAGGCCTGGCAGTCTTGGGTTTCCGAATCACTCGGTCATTGCAGGGTTGTTGAACTTGCTCCTCCTCATTTTTACCACCTCTTTTCTTCAAGAATATGCGGCAGAGGACCCAATTGTCCATTGGCACCACAGGGCTCTGGAACTAAAAGAAGAAAAAAAATCATTATTAACAATGACAACATAATACACTGGAAAAAGAAAATGTGTGCTTTTTGGTTTGTAAAGCATCATAGACGACTATTTGAAATGGATTTCTTGAAATTTTTAGTTGAACTACTCGTGCAAGAGACAATTGGTACAGAGAAAGCAAACACTAAATAGAACAAAAAGCTCACTTGGGTTGAGTTCTTTTCTTGTGGGGCATTGGGGGCTGTATTTTCAGCCAAAACAAGGCGATATTCATGCATAATCCAATCAGTCCTAGTGCCATGGGGAGGCTTTCCTCTATAAAAAACCAGAGTTTTCTTCATACCCACAACTTGGTTGCCCCTAGAAGTCACAATTTGCTTGTCTAACCCAGTTGCCTTCCAATACCCAGAACCGGTTGCTCTGTTTGATCTGCTCCCATTGGGGTACTTGGCTTCCCTAGTGCTGAAGAAGTACCTCTCTTGCTCACAATCACCTAAACCCACACAAGCCGTACATGCATCAGAAACAACACTTAATACGATTTGGGTTTTCACAGTCTTTCAATTCTCTGTCTAATTTTCTTCCTTCAAGACCATTTCCATGTTAATACGATTTGGGTTTTTGATTGATAGGCATATGGCATTGTGGTTTGGTACAATACAAATAATAATAAAAAGAAACCAATTCAACAAAATTGAAGTTTGAGAAATGTGAAACAAACCTGGCAAATCCCAAGGGTCAGCCTTGCAAACTTCAACCTCAGGGATGATAGAGGCAGGCAAGGGGCAAGAGAACACCTTGCGCTTCAAGTACTGAAGAACCAGCTCTTCATCCGTGGGGTGGAAGCGAAACCCAGGAGGCAATCTAAGCACACCATTTTTTACAAAATTAAGCCTCTCCATCTTGATTCTGAGACACCACAAGAAATTAACTGAAAGCTCAAGCCTTTAGTTTTATCCCAAGCACAGTTATAGTTCAACTTGGAACTCAAAATCAAACGGATTGAGTTAGAAGCAAAGTCATGGCAAGTTCTTATAGTCCATTAGAGCACATAAACAAGGAAGATATTGGACAAGAACAAGAGAGAACAAGAACAAGAAGGAAAAGAGTCCTGGTGGAAAAAATGAAGAGAAAAAGTTGCGTTGAGGGTGTGAAGATTAATGGTGGTGGGTATCAAGGAGAGAAAGTGTGGCTTCTTTTATAGTAATGGGTCTTAGGGACATATGATACAAGGAGAGAGAGAGAGAGAGAGAGAGAGAGAGAGAGAATAGGACGACCCATTTGGCGTAAACTAGACTCAATCTCCTTTCCTTTGACGCTATTTTAACAAATGTTGAGGGCTCTACGAAAAGGTTAAAGTTCTCCATTTGAACGAAACCCAAATGCTTCTCATTTTTAAGCCTTGTTGTCCTCGACCTCACCTTTGTGTGTGGAAATAACCGAACTTGTTAACACCCTTTTTCAATCTTTTCCAAGCTTCCCATACTCAATTTCAGTCATGTTTTTAACGTTTACCTAAGTTAATTGGACACGTAAATGTTTGGACGGCGCAGAGGTGCATTTTGGTCATCTCATGAAAGAATCAGATTTGTGTAAAATATATTCTAAACTACTCTGCTATAAGGGGAGGAAGATCGAGCGAGCCCGGTTGCAAGAGAGTGAACACACTGTATTAACCAACTTACCTAACCCACGTACGAGCGAAATTCAGTATGGAAAAGGCCAGAAGGGTATTATGGTCATTTTGAAAGTATGATGAGCGAAGCCCAAAGTACAGGAAGGCAGAAGGTATTAGTTGCAGCAAAGGTTACGGGCCCGTAAGGGTGAAGTCATGTTATGGTCATGCTGACAGCTGTACTTGAACCAAAGCGTTAAAGGCATTGGGGTATGAAATTACGGTTGTAGCCTTCGTCAACAAAATAGTTATGGTGCCGTGCCATCGCGGGGGAAACAAAACTGTTGGGTGCTCAGAGAGCTCAGCGCAGTGGGGAAAAGTACGGACTACGGAATATTATTAATGTCTGCGTTACCTTTTGGAATAAGTGAAGAACCAACCAAAACTAGCCTGAGGCTGAGAATAAATAAAGAGACTTTTGTGAAAAATATAAATCTTTTTTTTTCTTTTTTATTTTTATAAAAGTTTGTTAATTTTACAATTTTATTCGATTTGTCACTTTGTGTGTTACACAAAAGTCCTTTAGCCTATTCCAAATGGTTATTATCATGGCAATGGAGACCTTAAATTAGGCGATTTGACAACTCATCACTAGTCAAGATTCCTTATTAATATCTCTGGCTTAATATTAAATAATAGCAAATTGATGTCAAACTTTTCTTTTCTTTTATTTTTCTAGTTAACTATAAATTTATAATAACAAAATGGTAATTAGAAGTGTAATTAGAAAGTGTAACTCTTTGAAATAGCTAAAAGACCTTTGTGTCCTATAATAAGATTTTGGCTTCATTTTTTACAAAATCAACGGGCCTTAATTATCCCTATCAATCTTTGATTTTCTCCATCAGCCTCAATCATCTCCAACGTTGAGTATCTCCATCACCCTTAATTTTCCTCCATTAACCTTAATTATCTATATCTACATTTGATTTCATACATCGGCCTCAACTATCTCAATCAATCTTTGATTTCCTCCACTAGCTTTCACCATCTCAATCCAAAGAGAAAATGAAGGCTTGATGGAAATAATTAAGGTTGTCTCAATGATTAATCATATATATATATATATATATATATTACAAATATATTGGAAGTCATAGAATTCCAACAAAGAAATACTTAAATTCCTCATATTTTATTAAATTCCTCATATTTTATGCACTAACAATTTTTGTGTGGATAATATAGGGCTCCTTTAGGGAGTGATTTGGGCCCATAATTAATTATAGGGAGAAGCACATCTCATGTGCTCATTTGGGAGTGATTTTGGATTCAATGTGCTTCTCTATATAATCACTTTAAGTTATTTAGAGGAGAAACACCTCTCATATGCTTTTCAATAAATTACTTAAAACCACTTAACATGATTATATGGAGAATCGATTATTGACGTATGTAGAATCACTCCCAAAAGAGTCCCATATAATCACTTGTAGTGATTTTAAGTGATTTTGAAAAAAAGCACTTCTCATGTGTTTCTTCATAAAATTATTTTTTAAGTGATTATATGGATAATGGATTCTCTATCAAAGTGATTATTGTGGTCAAGATTATGTAGGTCAATAATCACTCTCAAAATGAGCCCTAACAATTTAAAATATAAAAACTCATAGTGAGATTAAAAGAATGTTCTCAATATTTTATGAATTATATCAAACCCATAAATAAATGAATTATAAACGAATCGAAGTCAAATGTCATATATTACCCCCCAAACAAAAAAACAAAGAATCAACACAAGGAATATTTTTGGCAGAAAAATAAAAATATTTAAAATGAATTTCCTTTATTCTATTTTTTTTTCTTCCAAATTTTAGTCATAAAGGGGGACCAATATTTGTTTTATGGCATTGTAGGGTGCACGCATAGGGATGCGTGTGAAGGTAACTTAATATATTTCGTATAAAAGATGGAGAAAAGATGCTGCTTGGACGGGTAATGGGTAAATGGGTCCTAACCCATAGGCCCATATTGGTCCACTGCCCTTTGGAATCTATAAACTAATATATCATGTGCCTTATCTTGGTGTTCTATCGGTGATTGAAAATTGAAAAAGAATATTTTTGGTTGAATTTGGGAGGGCATTTTGGTAATCGGAGTGATGTTATGGCTCGTGGGGGTGGGTGAGGGAATAAAGGTCAGGGGCCTACTTGCCTCCAAAACGACGGGCACCCACGTCGGATTTAGGGTAACTGACAAAAATGCCACCTTCAAGCGATGCCCCATTTCAAGATTTCCTCAATCTTCTTGTCTCACTATTTTGGATCAGACGGAAATTTTAGGAGAAATCGTCTAAAGAATCTCTTTTGTTGAAATGACACTCCTATCCTTCTATTAACCGATTCTTACATAAACGGACCACGAATTACTCTACTGAGTTTGTCCTAGCAATACTTTTAATATTAGACAAGTGAAAATTGAATTTGGAACAACTTCTAATATTAGAAAGAAAGAAAAATATCGCTAATGACCAATAACTAGTAAAATATGTTTTTTTTTAATAAAAAAGATTAAATCATGTTTAGGTATTAGTAAAAGGAGTCACTAATTTTCAAATAAAAAAATTGAGTCACTAGCTAAATTATATCAAATTTAGGTATTAGTACAAGCAAGGACGGGGTTGGAATTTTTTACTTGGTTATAATTTATTTCTTATCATATTATATGTGAGTGGTTAAGTGTCTGTTTGGCATTGTTTATTTGAGGTGATAAGTGATTTTTAAAATTTTTTGGGAAACCCAGCCTGTTTGATAAATTATAAGAAGATCACCTATTGTTAAAAATTGTTGTGAGAGAAAGCTATAAGAGAAAGCAACTAATGAGGTGCTTTCATTTTTTGATTATGCAATAATCAGTTTTGAAGAGGCGTTGAGTTTAATGATTATGCGACAATCATTTTTTGATTATGCGGGAATCGATACTAACAACATTTTTAACAAAAAGTTTACCAAACGGCAAACTGCTTTCTCTCAAACTAAATATGACAGCGATTATTTTTATAACATAGCAATGTCAAATTAGTGACTTTGTATAAGGAGTTGTTTGAAAGTAGTGGACTAATTCTTGCATAGATGGGGTAGGTTAATTTTCACTTAATATGATGAATTTCCTAAAAAGATAACACCAAATTGACGTATTTCCAAAAATTGTACTAAGCTAGATCGAGCCCACTCAAATCTAAGAGTGGCTCCATCCTTGACTAAAATGGTATAAATTTGATTGAAAAACTATTGTACAAATGATTCAAAACAAAACCTTGGAGCATTTGTCCTATTCAGAAAAATCATACAACATAAGCAAGCTTTAATTAGAGTGATTGGATTGGAGAAATTATAGAACATTATGGTAGTATAGCCAAGTGACCGTACTACCGTAGTATCCTATAATTACTCGATTGGATTGATGGAATTTGAAAATGAATTATGTTAAAGCCAATGGCAGAATGGTAGTATCTCAGACTTGCCAGGGTTGGTTATGGAACAATAAAAAAGGAGTGGGGGTAACGTGGGCCGGTTGAGATTGTAGTTAAACGGGAGCCTCAAACATTGACGAATCAATTAAAGCCCGACTCCGTATGGAGAAGGGCAACCGCCTTCACCCATAAATAATAATAATAATAATAATTATTATTATTATTATTATTATTATTATTATTAAAGGACTGAATTATTTTATTTATAAAATATATTATGGAAAGAAAGAATAGTTGAGTTTGGGTTTCGTGAGGCAAATTGCGGCTGTGGTTTAAATTGTTGTTGTTGTTGGGGGGTTGCTTTTTGAATTATAAGAGAGGTCAAAGGAGGTTGCGTGTGGGTTTTGAAGAGGGTTTGAAGGAGTATCGAGAGAAACGTCAAACCCTGCAATTATTGTGTTTTGAGTAAAATATGTTCTTCAATGGGAAAATGCCTTTCTGCTTTCCTCCTACACCCAATCCTAATCTTTCTCTCCTATATAATTATTATTAAATCCCTTTTTATTTTTGGTATTCATTTTGCGGTGTGGCTTGGTTTTCTTCCACTGCCTCACTCTTTTTACTTTTCTGGGAATTCATTCATCTTTTGTAAGGGTTGCCCTCATTTGAAGCATCCTAATGGCTCATACACACCATGCCTTCTCACAGAGAGGAGAGAGAGAGGAGAGAGAGAGAGAGAGAGAATTTTTTCAAATTTGATTTGGAGAAAACAAGAAAAAAAACCCAATCAATAGGGTTACTTACAAGGAAAACCAAACCCTTGTGACAATTTAGGGTTTTCTTGCAATAAAATTGTAGCTTTTAAAGGCAATCCCTCAATTAATGAATAATTGAAAATGGAAACCGTATTAGCAACAGATTAATTATTTATTAGCTGGAAAGAGAAGCACCAAGTAGAAAATGGGGCAGATGACGACGTGGAAGAAGAGGAAATAGTGCTCTCCTCTCTCACTCTCTCACTTCCTTTACGTCAATCATTTTAGAATTATGTATGCTTCCTTTTCTTTAATGTTCGCACATCATTTCCCATTTTCCAAGTGCTGTCTCATTACAACGACAGACTTCATTTTTTTATTAATTATGGAAACAAAACTTTATATTATACTCTCGGGTTTCGTAATGAGCATGAAAAATTAATATATGCTCTTGTCCCAGAAGAAAATGGATGAGTGTGATCTCATATCATATCATATGCCATTAAAAATATAAGCAAGCAACCGCTTCTAACATAGACTCTAGCCATGTTTATAATATAGATGTGATGCATCGATCCACAAGTAAACAAATACCCAATGAGACGAATTTCTAGAACAACGGGTGAAGGATTAAGCAAATTCAAAACTTGCCCAAGATTTCAAAGTTGACCGAGCTCTATGTTTGTCTAATGATGCCGATGGCTTCCAGAGGTCATTGCTTCTTACACATGCATTGCGCATAGACTCATCGGTTCAGCTCATTTTCTTCCTTTTCAAGCTATGAACCAAATCCGTCAACCAGCCAGCCCCGAAGCAAGCAAGCTATCAGATTAGTATCTGCAAACACATATGTAAGCATCGAATTAGCCGTCTCTCTTCACTTATTATAGGCAAGCCCTAGGGTTTGTATGATGTGTGTAATTACGGAAAAGTTGAACAAAGATGACAATGATGTAGCAACATAATCACCCCTGTAATTTCAATGTCGTGATTAATTTTCCTAATTAGACTTGGCAAATGATTTCAGTGTCTAGTTTGCTTGTCCACTTTCTTTCTTTTATGCTTTACTTTTCTTGCCAACTTTCGTATCTTCAAGCTTTGCCCATGCGCACTTGAAAGAAGCTTCCTCAAAAGGCCCATCAAACGCAACACTAGCTAAAGAGCGGCGTATTTGGGCATGTGTGATGTGAACCAACTGGCCCACTCGATATCACCCCCATGTAATGAAGCTGTGTCTTTAGACCTTGTTACTTATTCTACGAAACTTACAAGGGTATATATTCTAGTTTTAGAAGCAAATTACATTGTCTTTTTAACTTTATTTCTTTCTTTCAAGAGGTTCTAAAACACTTAAAAGAGGAAGTTAAAAAAAGTTATTCCGCTGCCGGGATTCGAACCCGGATTAATCAAATTCCAATTCAATTTGTGCTACAGCGGATTGTTGATATATTCCTTCAAGAAATATTATTTATTGTGTTAATCTGGGCCACTCCAGCCCAGCCAGAATTGGGAACGTATTGTTTGGGTTGGGCCAGAGATGGTAAAACTTTAGCTGAATTAATATAATTAATTATGGGTTGGGCTCCAAAAGTGTAAAGTCTGCTATTTTCCTGTAGGATTATGTCGTTTGAGCATGCAAAAACATTGGAGGAATGGTTTCTAATGAGATGGAAATTAAAAAATATGGTGACTTTATTTATGAAATTTTGTTGATGATTTGAACTCCAAACTCATCTTCCATTTGAGAAACCATTTGGATACAACTAAAAACTACTGTTACTCTACACACAAGATTTTCATCTGGTTCTGGCTGGCCATGTGATGATGATGGCCCTCAAAAGTTGTATCTACTCTGGCATAACCTCTACAAGGAAAGCAAGTTCAAGTTCCTGCTCTGAGAAGAAATGAGCTACCCTTCCTTTGTAGGATGATATTGGGTAGTTCTACACAAAAACTGCCTTTGTGATCTCTGGAACAAGGTCAACAATCACTCCCTCCACGCCCATTAGAATTTGCATGTACACAGCCTCTGCCACATTGCTGCAAGAACCACCAACATATCTCATTATTAATTGGACAAGTTTCTGAAATTTATATATATATATAAACTAATGAAAAACTCAAAAGAACGGCTTACTTTAATTGTCCATAGGTTATAATGCCAAGATTGGCCTCTTTGATCCTGGTCACTGCTCCTGGATTTCTGAAGATAGCTTTTACTTCTGATACAATTCCTTGCAAACCGCCCCGCAAGCAAACCTTAATGGCCTCTTCCGTCGAATTCCTTCGAACATCCGCGTAAATTTCAGACCCTCCATTTGTGAGGAAATACACCTGGATCACATACATTACAGCTTCAAAAAGTAAGCCATTGAAAATCATTCAGTCTTATGAAACATTTTTACAGAAGGCTTTTCATTTGAGACAGTCTATGGGGAAGTTTGGAATGTGATCTTACAGGGTATGTGCTCTGCAATTTTCTCATCAAAAGTGCAGCATCAGGCTGAAAGCTTGAAAACAGGATTGGTCTGTCTTTGGCGAACTTATTTACCACCTGTTCAAAGAAAGTTCGGGAAATATTATCTGCTTAAAACAGCAATATTAATTGCAATGTTCTATAAAACATGCTAAAGAAACATTCTTACCTGCAAGATCACTCGAAGAACATGCTCGAGTTTTTCCTCTTTGTAGACTATCTGATCATCAAACTTCAATTCTATATTGAAACCCTTGGAATGTTCAACTTTCTCGAACACCTCTTGCAATGTGCATAGGGAGTCATCCTTTTCTACCTTCCACTCAAAAATTCTTCCATCTTTTATTTTTCTAAGCATAGGCCTCTCAACCTGGATATGGGAATGAATGACCTGAATATTCATCCTAGACAATATTCTACCTTCCATGCATGCATATTATTTATCAATCTGAAAACAGGACAATCTCCAATTTTGATTACCTTTCCTGCCTCCTTCTGAGGTCCATAGGAAAGAAATTCCAGCAGAGTTATGTCTGTAACCCTTTGCTCCTTGAAAACACCCTAAAACCAAATTACAAATAGGATTAATATTCAGTATGGTATTAAAATTAAAAAAAATAAAGAATTGATGGGATTAGGGCATTGGGAGATATATATATAGAAGTAGAACTAACCATGTCCTCAGCGCCAATGAAGTTGTCATGAAAAATGACTGGATAGTCATCTTTGGTCACCTACAAAAATAGCTTTTGTTTACAGTTTCCTCTAAAGGGTTTTTCACTCACCCAAATGTAAAAGTAAGAAAATGGAACAAAAGGACAGAAAAGAAAAAGAATCAGAGCAATCAGTACCCTAAATTCGAATGAATAATTTAACATTGATTTTGTAGCCCCAGATTCCATGACAAGCCAAGGAACATGTGTTATGGTAAAATAAGAAAACGAACTGCAGCAAGATTGCTACTTTTCATGAATTGTTTTCATTTGGGTGCCCATTAAGCACAGAGATTATGCTTTTACCTGAACGTCAAACTCGACGAAATCGATAGGGAATTTAGCGGCAGAATTGAAAGAGAGAATAGAGTTCTCTTTGATGCATTTGAGCCTTGTATCATAAGATTGTAGCATGTTCATCCCGCTGCCTCTGTGTCCCATCACCATGAACTTGGGCCATTCGTATCCACATATGGTTTCTTCACCTTCATCTTTCACACCTATTCACAAAACCCAAGATCAAGATCAAAACCACTTTCTATTTCGTTTTTTATTTTGTTTGAATTCAAAGCAATTTGATTGAATGGTGATCACCTTGAGCCAAGCGTGAAGAATGGAGGGCCAATGCTGCATTTTCTGTGACTTGGTGGAGACTAGGAACGTTAAAGACATGCACGGCCCTCAGAGCCATTTGCTCTTGCAAATTTGCAAACTTGCAAAATTGCAAGCAAGCTTTCGAATTCAAGAAATGAGGACGCTTAGAAAATTGGCACTTGGTCCACAGAACACACAAGCTTGGAAAGTGATAGGGGGTATTTAACAAGGTTCAGCAATACTAAAATAACAGACATCCCAATTGCCAACTAATTTTTTGTCTTTTTATAAATTTTTAAAAATAAAAATTTAAAAAAAAAGAAAAAAAAAGGAGAGAAAGAATCTTCCATTCCCAGGGGGCTTAATTTTAATTTTAATTTTTTCTCTGTGTTCATTGAAAGAACGAGGAATTCGCGCGGAATCTTGGTTTTGTTTTATTTCGCTAAATTTTTGCGGCTTGGGGTTTTCGAGTTCAAAGGAATCTGCTTAAACTTCATTTAGTATTTTTCTAATTTTGCGTACTTAGGAATTGTTTTTTTTTGCTCCAAGTCAACTTTGACCATGCATGTCCAAGATATTCGCAAACCGCGGCAACTGTAATTAGCCTTTCATTGTTGATAAGGTTTGACTGTTCGAGACTCGTCTAGATATCACCGATGATTTTCATTTCACATAATGCATAACATAGCGTTCAAATTGTATGTGAAGAAATACATACACACACTCTTCATAGATATGGTATGTTTTGCTTAGTTGGAGAGCAATGGTGGACTCACGAATTTTTATAGGGATAGGCTAAATTTTTATTTATTTACAGAGGAGATATATTATGAACTTGTAAGATGTCATCGCTATGAATGTACCAGTCGCTTCCCCACGTATAGAATTAATGGCTCCATCCTTAATCAAGTTCTCATCAATTGTACAAGATGCATTAAACATATTTAATAAATCCGAACAAGAATCATAATGAGATCCGAGTTAAGTAAGTTCCTCAGAAATTGAAGTATCAACATTAGATGTAGAAGATGCATATTTGTTATACCACCTTTTTTTGAAGAATGAATAAATAGTTTTTCCTCTTTTTGTCGGTCTATTATCATCATGCGACATAATATCCTAACAAGAAATACTAGACACCAAAAATTAAATATGCTAATTAATAATTCAAGTTGCAAAAATAAAACATATATCAACAATCTCCAAAAGTTTTCACTCAAACCCTAAATCATAAAAACTTAACAACAACAATTAAAATTGGAAATTGAATATTTAAAATAAAAATATAAAAATATAAAAAAGGAGAAAAACTTACCAAGATTGAAGAACCCATTGAAGATGGGTTGATACAATTTTTCAGAGGCGGAGAGCTATTTCCTCTAGGCTCCCAAAGTTCAAATAAGGCGTTTTGGGTGGCTAGAATAATTTTTTTTATGTTTGCTCTCTGTGGGTGCAGCCAGCCAAATATTAGTACGATTAGAATAGCTCAAGTTGGTAGAGCCTTAGCATGAGTTCTGCTTCTAATCAAATTTATATAGGTTTGGATTGATGTTTATTATTTCCTATATGCTTTAGGAGTAGGTTTATTTTAAATAGAGGATTGAGCTTTTATTTACTTTACTTAGATTGGGTTATTATTAAAAAAAAAAAAAAAAAAAAACATATGAGCTAATAATTTATTTTAGTAGAAATAAGCCTATAATAATAAGACCATGTTCAATATTTATAAATGTTCCCCTAGGCTAGAGCTCACCATAGCCTAGGCTTCGCTTCGCCCTTGTTCGAGAGAGAATCATTCTAATTTTTTCATATCTAAATTCATTCGAGTGAATAATAACTAACTTTTAGCCTAACAATATTTCTTCTCATCCCCTTTCTCTTCTCCCTTGATTAACAAAACCTTCTTCCATAAATGAAGACCAGAATATTTGTTATTGTAATATGTTGGGGAACCCCGGACTTGATAGGAATAGGATAGTGTAGAACTGTCGGGATTTAAAAAATCAATGGTCACTAACAAAAGTGATGTACCTCACTGCTATATGGCAAATGACAATGCATCATCAAAGCAACCAAGGCTTGGTGTGAGTGGAGCACTAATGCTTGCCTCAAAATTTTGTTTTTGTTTTTTTTTGTTTGTTTTTAAATCCAACAACTTTTGCAAACATGATCCGTTCTCTTTCCTTTACGTTCACTTTATTCGCCAATCATCTTCAAGATTATTGGTGCAACTGATTTCACGTGAAACATATAGAGAATCAAGATATGTCTAGGTGAGAGTTCATGAAAAACACACTACCCTATCGCCTACCATCTAAAAAAAATGTGCGTTTGACACTTAAATGACAAAATTGTGTTGCAGAATTTGGTTTGTGACACTTTGAGACTTCTTTCAATATTTGATAAGACTCCTACACTGGTCAATTAGAATTCTAAAAGACTTCAAGTAGAAGGTGATGGGGAGATGGTATCTCAAACACGAACCTCCAACGAAACTACACCAACACTAGAAATATAGAACGAGCACTCACAATTTGCGGCTAAACTTAGTTGTGTTTTCTGAATAAATTCACTAATTCAATTTGACCAAATGGTCTACAAGAGAAAGGTTTAAATAACAGCTACATCCTGGGAACGTAAGGAATTATAATTCTAGTACAATAAGGAAACCCAAAACAGAAGGAAAACATAAAAGGAAGTCAATCAGCAGTAGGAAAGGTCTCCTAATTTATTTTGAAAGCAAAATGACCCTATCCGAACATTATTGGACTGGTTAAGTTCATAGGTCAATGACTGATTAGCAGAAAGACTATAATGAAATATTACAATGATGAGTTATAATGAAAGAACCCTTAAGAGCTATAAGATCATTTACATACGCTACTACAAAAAACAAAATAGACGATGGTGATCCAACGTCGTTGTGATGCTTTGAAAACCGTTGTTAAATCGACCACAATCTTTTGGAGTATGAAACTACAACGACTTTTCACCATTGTTGTTCGGATGTAAAGACGACATTCTTTTGTTAAAAACCATCGTTGTTTATGGGTAAAGTCGACGGTTTATAAAAAACCGTATTTATGGATAAAGATGACAGTTTTTGTTTAAAAGACTTACGGTATTTTGTTAAAACCATCGTCATTTATGGGTAAAGTCGTCGGTATTTTGTTAAAAAGCGTCATTGAATTTATATAAAGACGACAATATTGTGTTAAAAAGGGTCATTGATTATATGTACAGACGACAGTTTTTCCCATATAACCATCATTTTATTATCTTTAAATATGTCGCGTAATAAGTTATCAAGCTGTTACATTTTAGTTTTATGTTTCCTATGATTCTATACAAAGATTTTAACTAGAAAACCAATTATAACGCTTTATTAATGAATATATACTCTAAAAAATTATTTCTTTCATAAAACTTGAAGATTCAATTTTATTACATAGAATTAGAAACGATGAAACTACATATGATTGCTCACAAATTCTACCACATCCATAGATGATACCTGAATTACATGGTTCCTAATATCAACCTTTTCTCTTTCCTTTCTTGTTCTGTACTCAACATATAGCAAAGCCTTTCTTCTTCCCTTTAACCGTTATAGTCCAAAATCTCAGTATTTTCGGCAGCTTTTTCCCTCTCTTTCAATGCCTTCCCTACCCCATAAAAAAAAGCACCCAATAACAAAATTACTTAAGTGAATAAAATGAAATCACCTTGTGAAAAAAATTAACCTGTTAATTTGTTTTCAAGACCCTACAGGAAAACAAGATTAGGATCAATACATAGCACGTCTTTCTAATTATAATTTTTTTGAGTAATGAACAAACAAGATTCAAATCTCTCGTACTTCCTCCCAAAAGACCAAGAAATGAAAAAAAAATTCCAAGAAAAGAACTAATATTATTATAATCGAACGCTGACCTTGGCATCAGCAGCCACGGTATTAAACAGCCATTCAGGAGGAACAAAATGGATACCACCGTTTTTATTGAATGTAATGAAGAAATTTGAATTCTATGAGAACTCAATTTTTTGGGACTCAAATTTACTGAAATGAACTTTGAGAACAAAAGCAGAGATACAATACGGATACTTGACATCATGATTTTACAATTTTGTAATAGTGATAACTATTATCATGGTTGATTGAACCTCCATTATAGAACCTCCCCCACCCAAGTGGTGCCTCCCTGAGAACTAATTTGGGTTTCTCCAATTCCTAGTCAGGATGAAGTGGACTAACAAAAAATTCCACTTGCAAACAAAGAACGACTTTTTTGTAAGGACTTTGTTTGTTTTCTTCTTTTGGGATAAAGTACAATCATATTTTAAATTGCAAAGAAAGTAAGGATTTTAATATTTATTTTGCAAACTAAGTTCAGGGGAGAAACGAAAATAGTATAAACGGCAGTAGAATGGACCAAGAAAATAAATCATTGCTGGCATGGCATCCATCAATTTATCTCTTGGCGATTGTTGTGTGATGTGGACTTTTTGGGTCCGTAGTTTTGATGGGAGCCCAAGCCATGGCCCATAGCCAACCAAATAATTATTACAACAATAAAATACATAAATTTATACTAAGAGCATCTATAATGAGCTCCTTAAACCATCTCTTTAGACAAATTTTAAGAAGGAATTGGAAAATTATAACTCCAATCGTGCTCCATATCCACCTCCTAAAATAAGGAGACCTCTAGAAGCTCCTAAATATGAGGAGAGAGAAATGACTCATAATAGCTTCATATAATTTAATGTTGCTTTGTTTTATGCATATTTTAAACTTTTAATTATTTTGTATGGAGATGGACCAATTGTATTGAATTAAAAAATAATTCTAATATTTATGACTCTCTAACTAGAGAATATGATTGGAATTCAAATTTTATAGAGAGCTCTTAAAATAGCTTTTGTGTATTTATAGCTAAATTTTAACTTAAAAAATAAGGAGAAAGGTTGTAGATGCTCTAAGTACTAATGAAGCCTGAAATTATTGAATGATGTAATTTATTAAAGATATTACTTCGAGTATATATCTTACGCGAGAATGATATTGGAGTTTTTTATTATCCAAATAATGTCGTG